GAAGCACAGAAAAAGTCTCTGGACCCAACTCACCACCACCCTGAACCCCCACACGATGCACAGCCTCAGCATATGACACCGTATGCTCAGCCTGAAACTTACCCATCTCCATCGCCTTCCTATAGGCCACACAACCCTGATAAGCCTCTTGATGGTTCCCACCGCAGTTTCAACAGTGGAGCGCAATAGCACAAAGTTCATCCTCATGGTCACCCCCACACCTCTGACACCACACCCCCACCACACATGCACCGGTCACATGTCCAAAGCCCTAGCACCTAAAGCATCTCAAAAGAGGCTCTTCATATGCCCTTACCAGGAAGGTAAGAAAGCCCAACTTTACACTAGCAGGGAGCTCCACTTCATCAAAAGTAAGTCACAGAGGAGTGGAACCTCTCGCGTCAAACCCTAGATGCCGAACAGCCACCACCGCCACCCCACTCAGGGACTCAACCACCTCCATCTCAGAAACGTTGTTAGAAACGCTGTACACCACCCCATTTGCCAAAGTACCAGACTGCGACTCAGTAACCACCACCCCCACCCCTAGAAACTTATCAAGCCTCAGCGCCCTGTGGCACTGGGTCTTAGTCCGGCATACCACCACTAATAGCCCACCAAACACAACATTTGCATCCAGTACATCCCCTATTGCCTCCTTCAGCTCCCTGGACACCGTTAACGGGTTAGAAGTAGCAAAACACACCCCATCTACCGCTCTGATGCGGACCACAAAGCCACCCTCCCCAACCTTGTGCTGCTTCAACTGAGCATCCAAGTCACTGTACGACGTGTCACCGCTGCCCCCCACAGTCCCTCTTAGAAGCACCCGTCCCAGAGGATGCCCACCCACTAGAATTTTCAGAGCTGGTTATCTATATAGTAGAGTTGTGACAGTCCTATGGTCTTCCAACTTGCCGACATGGTTCAACTCTACAGCCAGAGGCTGGACCAGCTGGGTGTTAAGGCTTCTTTTGTCAACTCCACCAGACTGAAAGAAAAACTGCTGGCAGAAATACCTGAGCTACCGTAGAAGCAAACTAGCAGAGTGGAGATGTTCTCCTGGCATTCCAGAAAGATGTGGGTCTGGTCTTGTCTGACAGTGAAGCTATTATCCTTAGCAAAGTGGCTAAGTTCTTACGAAGAGATATGCTGGACCACAAGACCTCATTTGATGGGACCTTCCAGGAGCGGTGTAATGAATAGGCCATTCCACCCAGTCTTCTTCGGTTTGTGGGCATGGTTGAACACAGAGCTGACATCAAAAGGACTGAAAGTCTTAACCCTCCCACTGTCTTTATGGGTGACCCCGCAAAGAAAGTTGACCATTGAGCAGGATTGATGGTTTATCCCTTGAGGTCCACGTGGCAGGGGTGAGGTGGTTCTCACTCCTCACCCCCTGCCACATGGAACCAAGGGATATATTAAACATAATGTTATACTGGTGACACCTGTGCTGTGGACATTAACCTTCTATACATACCATACCGTACCAAGTTTATTTATATAGCACATTTAAACACGGCAAGAGAGCCGACCAAAGTGCTGAACAAAAACACACAATAAAAACAATCAAAAATAAAAACTCAATCGATTAAAATCGAGTAATTCAAATCAAAAAGAAAAGGAGAAAGAGAATAAGTTAGACTGAATTAAAAGCCAACAAATAAAAGTGAGTTTTTAACAAGACTTAAAAAGGGAAAGAGAGAAAGAGAGTCTGATCAGGAGGGGCAAGTGGTTCCAGAGCTTCGGTGCACAAACTGAAAAGGTGCGCTCCCCGCGGGATTTACAGGGGGAGCTAGGGACATGTGGGAGGTGCTGGTCGGCTGATCAGAGGGATCTTGTAGGGACATAAGGGTGAATGAGCTCAGACAGGTAGCAAGGTGCTAAGTTATTGAGGGATTTGAACACAAAAACCAGGATCTTAAACTCTATCTGGAGATGGATGGGGAGCCAATGGAGATTTGCTAAAACCGGTGTGATGTGTTCTTGCTGCCTGGTGCCAGTCAAGAATCGAGCTGCTGCGTTCTGCACAAGCTGAAGGAGAGCGAGAGTGGAGGAGGAAATACCATATAGCACTGAGTTAGAGTGGTTGAGACGGGAAGTAATGAAGGCATGGACAAATGAATGGAGATGACGCCTTTTTAAAATGGGCTTAACTTTAGAGAGACATCTCAGGTGGTAAAAACAGGTCTTAACTACCTGGTTGACATGAATGTCCATTTTTAGTTTAGCATCCATCACAACCCCTAAGTTTGTGACACGGGTTTTCAACCCACTTGTGATAAATGGAAGGGTCAGTTGGGGACTTTGAGAAGTCTTAGGGGTGAAAATGAGAGCCTCTGTCTTGGCATCGTTCAGCATAAGAAAGACATCATAAATGTTTGGCTGTAATTATTCTGTGTTTTAGGTGTCCTCCTTAACTTAGTAAACAAAGGCAGCTGTGAGCAGTGTTGCTTCTGGAGACGCACATTTCTTCCTACTCTCTCACTGAGACTGCTGTGTAGTGATGGGATTTATGACTCTTTCATGGGAGCCGTTCATTAGTCGGTTGTTTACCTCAAAGAGCCGTTCAAAATACTCGCTCCTTTGAATGAAGCGAAGCCAAGAGAGCGGGGTGGGGGGTGTATTAAGAGCAATGTGTTCCTCCGGTGTCCGGAGCACGGTGGTTGGGTAGCGTTCCTCTAACGTCCGTCACAGCGGTGGATGGGGGTTGAGCGGGTGCGCTTTACCGACTTCCAGGGAGGTTTGTTACCGGAAGACAAGATGAACAGCTCTCTACAGGGACTCGGCTCTCAACGTTCACTTTGAAAACCCATTCAAAAGATTTGATTCGTTCGTGAATGTCACATCACTACTGCTTTGTGCTCCTCACAGGAGTCTGTCCTCGCTCTGCCACGGCTGGAGCGGTGGTTCTGACCTGCAGTGAGAGATGTTTACTCCACTGAATCCAGGCTGATAATAAATGTGAATGTGGGAACCCCCACTGGCTGATTCTACCTGCCAATCAGAAGTTCCCTCTATAGGTAGGCATGAACTTCAGCCAGCCAATTAGTTGATATTGCGTGTGTTGGGTAAATCTTGCATGAAGTGGATTGCCAAAGAGCAGGTCTAAAAAAAAGAAAAATGGTCAACTGAGCACAGAAAACACAGATTACTCAGATGTGAACACAATTCACTTATCAGGGCTAGGCCTGCGCGACCCAGATGTGAAAGCCCTATATATGGTGAGACTTGTGGCTCGAGGCCTATACGTGTAAAGTAGGGCCTATCTACAAGCACCAGGTATTTGGGCCTCCAGGGGTCTAGCCAAGCTCAACGTGAAAGAGTTTTGCTATGCCACTTGCTGTTTATGCCCTCATTGGCACACCCATCTGCTGGAAGACTGGTTGAAATTTAATGTATTGAATGTTTTGAGTTAAAGAACAGATGAGGTTGGGGCCCCAGGCTGGCCAAACCCAAGCATCATAAACTGGCTCTATGGATGTAGAGATGTCAGTTTGCTGACAGAAAAAAAGCCAAAACTGATGTGAGGTCAAGCAATACCAACCAGACCCAGTTGGTTTATGAATAACTTGTAGACATGGGCTGAACTCTCTCATACTCTGTGTTGCTGCCCCTTGGCATCCAAAAGAAATAAGGAGGAGAGCTTTGACGGGTGCAACTTTTTATTTTCGTCAGGCTGTAGATGCACACATCTCATTCCCAGAATCGCACCGAGCACCTGGTGTCAATCACTGTGCAAACACCGTGAAAACTGAAAATACATAATTTACAAACAAATTAAAGACAATCGCTGACAAACATCAGGAGCAACAAAACAGAAAAGAACAAATACCTTGCTCCTCTTGCCATGGGGTGCAATCAAAGTAATGTCACACAGAGGCTTGGCACAGCAAGACCATAGACTAAACGTACAAGCATTTGTTAGGGCGACACATTCTTATTTAATCAATTTTTGTCAAAATACCCGCACTTACGTGGAAGTTTGGTTTGCTGCAACACGCCAAGCCAGATGGAATGCCAACGCCATGTCCACATCCGGGTTAACGCCCACTTATATGCAACTGAATGAGTGACGTTGACAATCCACCTGCTCACAGCCATTTACACTCTGGAGTTATGCACAGGATGAGGAACCTTGCAAATGTGGAAATTCTCACAAATCAAGAGCCTTAGTTTGGGAGTTTTCCCCTGTGAGTGAGCAGGAGTGTTGACTATCTACAGCTTCAATGCTTGTTCCTGGACTTTAATGTGAGTTGTTTGATGACTGGTCAAAGAGATCAGGATATATATATATATATATTAAATAAAGGAATTAAGGGTGTTTTCACTGGAGTACACAAATCAATGCATGGTATAGAGTTACCGAGTTATACAGTCTTTGAAAACAGACAGAAGTTTAGAGGACATGCATTGACCATGGAAATGTAGAGCTGCCAGGGCAATGGAGAGCTGTCTTATGCTTATTATAAAGCCATTGTGCCATTTTATTTTTTGTTAATCCTTTAAAGTGCGGAAATAATTTTTCACAAAATAAATCATTTGATATAATCAATGTTTAAACCTATGGTTGAAAAACAAGGCAAGGGTAATGTTTTTACTTGTGGGGATAAATAATTTTAGGGGTTGTGTAAAATGTCTGAACCATCTGGTTAGAACTTTTCCAGAAGGACCAGGCATGGATTTCTGTATTTGTATTGTCACATTTGTTCGCAAAGTGTCTAGATCTAATAAAACAAAACTAACCAACAAAACTCTGATAAATCAGACAACCTGTGCCAAAGTTGTTTGACAAAATGCAAATTTAGTCTTTCCAGTTTTAACTCAACAAGGAGGTGATGCAAGCTTGGGTTGTTGGAAAATAAATTATGTTTTACTATTATTAAAACACTTTGTGATTACAGATGCAGATTTAACTGATGTATATATTTTTATTTACATCCTCTCCTCCACACCCGCTTCCACCACCAGCAGCACCACCACCGTCACTTCGCAGCCTTTTCTGCTCGACACTATCTTCATCCTAACTCCGTTGGAAAGGAGGCTGAAATGACGGATGCAGCCATGGAGGCGACACCCGGGGACAGCGCATTTGCATCGGAAGAGGCGCTTTGAGTTTACGGAGCGAAGCCGATGCGTGTGTCTCCCTCGTCTTTACCTTCGCCGATCCCTTCCTCCTGCTCCTCCGCTGGCAGAAATTTATAAAGAACAAAAAATCCGACGAGGGAGGGAGGGGGTTGATGTACGCCGAGGCTGAAATCGAGAGGCGAACCCAGGGAAAGAGGAGCAATTTCTACTCGGGACTTTCCCCCTCTTAGTACCCCAAAAGGAGGGGGAAAAGTCGCAATATTAGAAACGAAAAGGAATGAGCTTCTAGGGGCGTGAAAACGTCTGCAATTGTGGAGACTTTATATATTTTTATTTCGAAAAAATATGGCCGAGAACGTTCTGGACTCTGGCCCGCCTTCAGCAAAGAGGCCTAAACTCTCCTCTCCGGCACTTTCTGCCTCCGCTAGCGATGGTAAGTTTTGGTTTATTTTATCATTTGTAACGGAAATATTCGTTAACATTATCCTTTTTTAGTGACTTGTTTGCATAACAGAGGCCAAAGACCCGGGTTTGTTCTTCTGTTTTTGTCGTGGCTTGCTAATTTTAGCGTGTGTGTGTCGGACGTGAGGAAGGGATGTTAGCTCACATGCTAACAGCCATTTTAGCCGGTGTTGTGCCGAAATGAGCTCCCCTGCCGCGAAACGCACCACCATTAAGGGAAGTTGACTTGTTTTCAATTTTAACAAGTTAAAAGTGACAAATTTATATATGGTTTTCAGTTCATTTGACGACTAGATAAAAGAAAGATGTAGCTTAATGATGCAGTTTGTGTGCTTTTAAGTTAAATTGATGTTAGGATTCGCCTCTTTCTGACCAGGAAGGAATTTCAGCCACTAAATTTACACTATCTTCGAAACTTGCAAAAATACCGATACTTATAGAAACATTTTGCTACTCTCCACGGGATGGGTTAATTGCCATACTGAAACATTGACTAACACACATCCATATATCAAAATACGACCCGTAAATAATTTAATTGAGCAACATACTAAATTGATTGTTTCTTTTGACTTTCTTCTTCAGACTTCCACTTAAGTAATTAATCAAACTACCATCAAATGCGTTTGCCTACAACGATGTGCCATTTTTAGCACAACACCTGAGATAGCTGCTAGCCACAAGGCTAACCGAGTCCACAACTGTCCGTTCCTAATGACCACTTTATTCGGACTGATTGTGAGCTCAGTGTTCATGTGCCTTATTCTGAAGTCTTTGTTGTCTTATAGTTATATCACACTGTTAGTCATTTTCTAACAAAGCCGCGAATTGTGAGATTTCTAGGCTAGCGTCGTCTTAGAGGATCTTGTTTTCCAAACTAACTCGTTGATAATGTTAGCGAAAACAGAGGGTACTAATAAACATTTAGGCTAGTCTATCTTCAGGCCCAGTGTTTTAAGTCGTTATTGAACTTATTTTTCTCGATATAGTATAGTTTAAAAAAGTAATAGTAGTTAATGGCGTAATGTATTGGCTATTACGGCCTAAGAAGAAAAACCGGAGCGTGGATAGCGTCGTGCCATAACAGACATTAGCCAGGGAGTCACGTTGACTAGATTCTCTGTCACATAAAATGTAATCATTTGTTGTCATCTTTACGATGATCGGCTTCGTCTTTGGTTGTCTAGCACTAATCTGTCATTGAATCGATGAAGAAATACTCCAGACGTCACACACGTTTTGTTACGTTGCATGATGTTTTGAGAGCGCTGCAGTGCTTTATAAGAAAAATCCTCCTCGTGTTGGGATGCCATTTATTCTTCCAAAGATTGTTGTTTTCTAAGCGTTAGGAGTGACGTTGACACAAGCTATTTAAACTTAAGTACAAATCTGAAAAGCATGCATCTAGCTGAATACAGACTCATGGTTTTTATTCTATCACTTGGTGATTCTAGCTGTGTCATAGTTAGAATAAGTGGTTAAAATGTGAGATGGGATTCAGTGAAGCATCAGCAAACAGTGAAAAGCAGCTAAATGTCCAAAACCTCTAAATAAGTCTTTCAGTCCATCTATTATGACCAAAACATTAATTTGAGTCACATGACTGTTTCTGCTGATCATTGATGTTATGGATGTTTTGATTACACTTGTGCACATTTTGTTTAACTTGATTTGATCAACTATTTTAATATTATTAATAATTTGTAGAAGTACGGGATGCTTTCACCTCTCCATTCCCCCATCAGGTTAAGCTGTGTGTAGTTGTTGTACCAGGCCACTAGCTTTGAAAGTCACTTCTAGTTTTGAGCTTGGTTGTTAAACTTGTCATCATGGGTGGGTTTTTTTCCATTACCTATTGTTGACAGTTGTGTACCCCTTCCTGGAGTATATCAGCTCAATATGGAATTGACTCTTTGGAAGTTTTGTCCTTCAGTTCAAATGATCTTCTTAAACTTTGTATTTATTCTTTTCAGATTTTGGTTCACTATTTGATTTGGAGCACGACCTCCCAGATGAGCTCATCAGCTCTAATGAACCAGGTCTGGTCAATGGTGGGGACCTCAACCAGTTGCACACCAGTTTGGGAGGAGGACCTGCAGGCTTGGGTGCAGGAGGTGGAAGTGGAGCAGTAGGAGGAATGGGGCTTGGACTTGGTCCTGGAGGGGGCCCCACAAGTATTGGTGGAGGCCAAGATGCAGTGGCTAAGCACAAACAACTGTCTGAGCTTTTACGAACGGGGCCAACCACATCTGGTCAACAGGGGCATCAAGGAGCCATGGGCAGCCCAGGAGGCCCCACAGCCATGGGGCAACATTTGGTGAACATGAAGGCCCCCTCAGGTCAAGGGCCCCAGCAGATGATGGGACAACAGCATCTTTCTCCTCAGCAGCAGGCCAACATGATGCAGCAACAACAGAGTGGAATGATGGCTAACAGGGGCATGATTGGTGTGCCGCAGAAAGGCAATAACGGACAGCAGCAGCCAGGGATGATTGGAAACCAGGTGATGAATGGTTCCCCCAGGATGGGCTTCGGTAATCAGGGGATGGCTGGTGGCAGCAACCTGTTGGCTGACACTCTACAGCAGCAAGGGGCAGGGGGGCAGGTTGGAGCCAGAGCCCAGCAGCATGGAGCCATGAACAAGGTAGGGACTCTCCTTATTAACATGATATTAAACATTGCAGGTGATCCCATTTATTTTTAGAAGGGGATAAATCTCATGCCAGACTGCAAATAGTTATTTTTTACATGATGATCATGTTAAAGCCAAAAAGATAGGACTTCTGCAGTCATAGAAAAATGAATTGGTCAGGCAGGTTTATATTCAACATGTGTGTCGGGGCCCCTTTGCTGTCCTACTAAATATTTTTAGTGCATTCTAATATTTTTCATGTCCTCAGCCTAGTGCCTTTATTAAACTATAACCTGTAGTTTAGAAGGGTAGAGACTGACCACGTTTAAGTGACTGATGGTCCTGTGAGTGACAGTAAGTGTCAGGTTGTCGCTGATTGAACGTGATATGGCTGAGATGAAAATTTGTCGCAATGCTGGGAACATTTGGAGTGTGCGGGAGCATGTCATGTGCTCATCTTAACACTCAAGAGTCCAATGATGCTTTGAAGTCTTGTCAGTGGGAGAGGCTGTTCTTATTGGCTGTTGAACGTAGTAGATAAATTGTGTAGTAAATTATTATGCAGGCAGCTGTTGGGTTTTTTCTATGCAATATGCTTAATACTATTAACTCAAAACACATTAAAGTTCATCAAACTGAGCTAAAACGATGATGAAAGGTAAAAGATCAAACTGAAAATGGCCCGAGGTTGTAATTTATTCACAAGTTTTAATAAATATTGCATTTATTCACCTATGAAATACTTTATTTAATCTTTTTTCTCCAAATTCCACTTTTTAATATTCAGAATAAATGTCATAAAATAAAATATTTTATTATGGGGGGAAGTTTTTAAGTTTGAGGAAAAAACAATTTCAGAAAAGTAAAATAGATTTGTGAGAACGGGACCTACACTTTATCCTACCACGCAAAGCTACGCCTTAATTTGCACACATTTGTAATAAGGCTGATTGCACAGGTTGATCCTGTCTTCTTTGCAGTGCTTTTTGTTGCTATTCATTTTCCAGACAGTCCAGTGGGTAGGATCACCGCTACTTGACTGTGATTAGTTGTATTAGAACCATGAAAACATTTAAATGAAATGCTGCAAAACGATTACCAGATGAGGTTGTCAAAAGTAGAATGAAGTGAGCAAAACAAGACAAGAGGTGATTTTAATGTGTGTAACCGACATGACAGAAGAATTTAATAACGTGGATGCTGTTTGCAGACTATTTCTAATTCCTGTTGGGAAGAGAACATCATGTCTCTTCAGTAAGAATTTTAAACCATTTTTTTAATGAAAAATGAACCAGGATTACTTGAGGTCATTTTGGGATCCCAGACTTGGGGTGTGTCCGAATCCACGGGAAGGATGCTTATGAGTATGGATCCTCGCCGGTCTAGCAAGGCCGGGTCCTTTAAGACCGCTAAAACCGGAAGTCAGCGGCTCTGACTTCGGACAGTCTAGCCTTCACCTCTACGGTGGCCCGTAGGTCCCGTCACAGCCGTGGCGGCAGCTACACGCAAAGGAAAAATGCTAAAGCTAGCGAAAATGGAGCGAGGAGCTACAGCAGCTTCACGTCCGTCAGCAGCGTTTGTTCACAACCGTTTTCAGGTAAAGTAACTTTGTTTATTCTAGAAGCTTTCAGGACTTACATGTTAACTTTAGATGGTTTCATGTAGGTTTTAAGCTACAGAATGAACTTGTTAAACGTACACAACACATTTCTACAGCGTATTATCATGTAGGTAATTAATATAAACCAAATGCATTATAATGTTGAATGTAGTAGGATGTTTTCTAATGTAAATTGGATCATAGGACTTATTTTGCATCAAATGGGGTAAATGCTTTAAAAAACAGGCTTTTTAATAAAATCGCATAGAAGTGTTTTCAATGTGCATTTGTTTATTCAACTTAAGCCTAATAATGATTAGATCTGTCTTAAAAATGTAAATTCTCTGTAGTTTTTATTTAACTATTCCCTGCTGCTTTTCTTTAAACTGAACAGAATCGGTGTACTGCAGGTTATGTTTTGTTTTACATTTTTCTATAAAAAAACAAACTCTTATTTAATCTATTACAGGTCAGCATGCACTGTGCTGCACATCTGCATCGGTGCTGGTGAAGTTGTGGGTTTGGAGGATGAGCGTGAGGAAGATGTGTGTGGAGGAGGTCAGTGGTGCTCTGTCCTGCAGGAGGTACCAGCAGACCACCACTATTGTTAACAGGCAAGTCATTCACAGAGATGTAACAGCCATCATCTGAGCCAGCCCAGCAGTCCCTGTAGATGGACGATGGAGTGGACTGTGAGAGGAAGCGTCCCAAAGCTCTCTCCGCAGACCGTCCTGTATGATGTTCCTCTGACCAGAAATGTCCAGCCACGGGTCTGCTCCAGCCCTCCATCCACGTCTGGATCCTCCTGCAGCAGATCCAGCTGCACTGTTAAAGACTTCCTGCTCACTCAGTTTAAATAAATGATCCAGGAAGAGTCACTCAGGTTAATCCTGCTTTAACCGTACAAAACTGGTCCATACTGAACATGTTCAAAAACATCTGTAATAATAAAACTGGTGATAAAATCAATGACCAGAAAGTTATTAGTATTTGTTTTAATAAATGTGTTCAAATATCAAACAGCTAAATAACATTAGCATGATGACAGTAGAAGGCCTCTCTCCCAGGATGACCAACAGGTGAAGCCTCTCCTGACCCTGGACACCTGCAGTCCTACAGAGAAAATCAGACCACAGGTGACAAAAAGGCAATAAACACATTTTTACATTTATCCACACGAGAAGATAAAAATTATATTCTTCACACAAACTTTTTACTTCATTAAAACGTGTCAGCTGTGTAAATCCCTGAATGTAAAACTACTTTTCACAGAAGAACTTCTGTGGTTGTGTGTAAACAGCTTCACTCTTCACCTCTAAGCTTAATAAAAACGCTTCTTTCCTCCGTTGTCCTTAAAAAAAATGACAAGTTTAATTCGCTACACACACACACACACACACACACACACACACACACACACACACACACACACACACACACACACACACACACGGGAATAACTGGGACCCGTGATACAAACTCGTTCTGGCTGATTTCTGCCTAAAATGTAATTTAAAAAACAAATATACAAACGAAAAATGTCTAAACTGAACCGCATTAAGCCTTTAAGGTTTCTATGGCAAATTTTTAACAAACTTACGTTTAAAACTTCGTAGCTCTCCCCATTTTCTCTGCCTGTTGAAAATCCACAGCCGGCGGGTAAAGCATGCTGGGATAGCCTTGTTCTGTGAGGATACAACAGACCCGTCCTCGAAATGTGGGCGGAGCGAGGACGCATTTGAGGACGTGAGAATGAGTATTCTTGGAATTTGGACAGTACTCGTCGCTGCGCTGTGACGTCATCGCACTCTTACAAGCATCCTTCCCGTGGATTGGGACACACCCTTGGTGTTTTATGACTCAAAGTGGGGTCCTGGCTCTGACTTTGGGAACCACCTGTACAGAGCACTGTTCTTGTAAAAGAAGACAAACTTTTGATCTAACTTGTTAAGGATCGTTGGCATTTTTTGAAATGTCAGCTAATTACATCTGGATCTCTTAAGGTTACAGGGAACAGCATATTGGACTGTTTGAAAATCAAATAATAAAAAGTTGAAAAGTCCCAGAAATATTTTAGAGACCCACATTAAACAGTGGTACTCACTCCTGTTTCTGGAGATTTGGTATACAGCATGTTTTCCTTGTTTCTCTACTCCAATACACCAAATTCAGTGGTTGAATCACCTGCAGTAACTCATAAAGCTCTTCAGAAGCTTGTTAATCACCTGCTGATTGAAATCAGGTGTGTTGAAGCAGTTAAAATACTGGCCCTCCAGGACCAGGAGTGAGTACCACAGCTTTAAAACCTGTATTATGAACATCGAGTATGAAGTAATAATAGGGCTGCAACAAACGATTATTTGGATAATCGATTAATCGGATGGGGTCTCGACACGATTAATCAGATTACATAGGGACATTTTTAAAAACTGCTAGGGAAACGTTATTTTTCTCCTTCCTTCACTTTATTAAACGCAACATTATTAGAAAACAGTTCAATAACAGAAAAACAACATGCCATCACCTAAATTGTCTTATAAGGTGTATAGACAGAGACCCTAAGCTACACCTATCTGTGACCTAAAATGCTTGGTCCAAGTTAAACAGCTTAAAGAGCAAGTCAACCCCTACCAGAGTCTTAACTCCACTCCCGCTTCATGTTTGAAAAATGCAACACATGCTGTTGCCTGGCAGACCGAGAGGGCGGAGCCGCTAACAAATACACACACACTCAGGCTCACGACAGCATTGTGACATCATAATGTACCAGTTTACATCATAGCATACTTCTTAGCCAATAGCGGTGGCAGATTTAAATTAAAATACAGTGCAGAGTTTTTACCTGACAACGGCACAACACTGCCAGTTTTAGGCAGAATATTTAAATTTTAACTAAGATGCACTGAAGTGCCAAATTATTGACGACACGTGTCTGCAGCACGATTAGACACTCGTTTATTTAGTTTATCAGCAAAAAAAAGTTTATTTGGGGGTGACTTGCTCTTTAAGGGCAATTCTCATCTGTTTTGTTTGATCTCATCTGTAGACATTTATTATAATTGGGGATGTCAAACAACTAATTTTTAAATGTAATCAAACATAGGCTGTGAATTAATCAAAATTAATCACTATTTCCAAAAATGACTGGAAAATACCAAATAAAACAAAAGTAAATGAATGCCATCCTCCTTGCGATGGTGCCCTGGGCAACTGCCATAAAGTCACATCAAGAAATGCTGCTCATCATTCCAATGATCCCAAATAGACTCACATTAGGCCACATGAAAGCAACTGAACCCCAAAATATATTAACCAGTACATAACTGCACTCACACACAACACGCCTGCAGCAACAGTTAGGACTCCTCCCTCCCTTTTAAAAGCGTTTTCGCTTCTGAGGACATTGTGGTTGTAAAGCCACATGTTAGTAGTCTAGCCCCGGTGTGATCAAACAGTTTCTGCGGGAATGTGACGGCGGAACCGGTTCGCAGTGGCGCGAGTACCCCGAGCCCCCCCCCCCCCCCCCCCCGGTCTATCTAATGGCGTCGCGCTTACAATTTTATAGACTTTTTTTAACGAGTTTAGGGCATGTCTAGCCTGTGTAATAATCCGGGGCTTGGGTGAATCACTTTTGAAAAGTTTTTAACTTACCCGGACACAGGGCTCTCTCCTTCCTCGCTGATGATTCTGACATGCTTGCGTTTAAGACGCTTCATCATCACTGTAGTATCCCCGTGCCATGCTAAGTCTGACCTACAAACGTTGCATGTCTTCGCCTGATTTAACTGAAAATGCTCCCAAACTTTAGAAGTTTTTACTTTTTTGGGGTCTCGCTGCTTCTGCCATGTTCCTCTTACAAACACCTGCCGGCTCTCCACCGGTCTGCGCGCAACGGCGGGCGGGAGGGGAGGGGGCTTTTGGAAGAGTTGCGCAACACAACGAATCGATGACGCAATTCGTTGCCAACACTTTTAGTAATCGATTTTCATCGAATTTATCGATTCGTTGTTGCAGCCCTAAGGAATAACAATATAATAAAATTTGTTTTACAAACAGAACCATTTATTTTCCATTGTTAATTTAACAGCCGTATAATATGTTCTATTTTATTATGTATTTATTTAAAATTGTTGCAGTAATGAAGAAATAAATTAGGCCCTTGCTGCCTATAGATCTTCCACCAGGGGGCAGCAGACATCTATAGATCTGGATATGGCAGGTTTGTGAATAGAATAACTTTACTGATCCCACAGTGGGGAAATTCACTCGTTAAGGTAGCACACATACTCAATCCTAGAGGGCGTAGCCCTTTTTATGGAGTATCCTGTTGTAAGTCTGTTGTTGAGAGTGTAATCTCTTCAGCCATCGTCTGTTGGGGTAGTAGCATCAGAAGCAGGGACCTAAAAAAGGCTGGTTCTGTTCTGGGGACAACCACTGAAGGAGATAATGCAAAGAAGGATTCTCCAGAGAATCAAGAAAATGATGGACAACCCTGAGCATTCTCTTCACAAGACTGTCCGACAACGGAAGAGTGTCTTCAGTCAGAGGCTTCTTCAGTTTCGCTGCAACACTGACCGCTACTGGAGATCCTTCCTGCCAACAGCCATTGTAATATACAACAACTCTTTGATGACTTGATTATTATTATTATTCTGAGCTACTACAGCAATCAATTGAATTGAATTTGAATTGAATCCTGCCTCATCCGGTCCGAGATAGTGTATTTTATTGTGTTTACATTGTTTTTATGTATTTCAGAGATTTTGTAACATAGTTTAATTTGTCCCTCATTCTCCTCCACCTATTCATGCTATCGCCACCTCTAAATCCACGTTTCTCGTCATTCCATCCACGAATAAAAAATTTGATGCATATATTTGTACTCCTTCCGTAAAAAAGTTCATATTTTCTGACTTTTCCGCAAGGCGTTTTTCAACTTGTTCCGCATCTGCCGCAAGCTATCAAATTTTTTGAGGGGGCATTGGTGGTGCTGTTGAGGAATTTAAAGGAAGCGGCGTCCTGACCAATCACAAGTTTGCGGTCTCTGTCACTTTCAGTGGGTAGTTAAAAAGTTGGGCATGTCCCCGTCAGCCTCTGCAAGCCCGTCGTAGATCCCTTGCGCTGACGCATAATGGCGTTGCGTGTCTCAGCACCCACGCAGATGAAGTATATATTTGGCTTTAGAAAATGGGAAAAATATTACCGTTAAATACACAAGGGCATTAGACTACAGACACAGACATACAAATGTGCATCCATACACCAAATATTGCACCGCGGGTGAATGATTTTAGGAAAAGATTGAATTGTGATTTTTCTAGCAGAAATTGCGAATTCAGTTCAATTCACGATTTTCTTCAAACACTAGCCTGCCAAGCCATCCTGTATATTAAGTGGAAAGATTATCTAGATTCAAATCTATTACAACAAATCATTCACATAATTATTTACTATCTAACCATACAATAAAAACAGTTAAAGCTATTAATATTTTCTCCCATTGCTATATTTATATATTTTTTTCATGTGCTTGTGAAGCAACTCGTGATTTTTATCTAGAGAGGTGCTTTATAAAAACATGTTCTTGTTCTACTCCAAAAATGCAAGGAAGAAATCTGAGGGTAGAAATAACTTTTCTCCAATGTTGTCTTTTTTTTTTTTTTTTTAAAGAAGAAATACTTTTAGCGCTTCTACTTGTTGTGGTTTTAAAGACATTCAAGTCATTTAGAACAGAGGAAAGAGCCGCAGCGATCTCTGCCGCTGTCTTCATTGTTTATGAGAAACTGAGCATCGTTGTGTTTAACGTCCGCGACGCTGTAGTTTTTTAGCTGTGGTCAAAAATAGCGTCTGGCGACAGCGCAAACATCTTTCTTTAGCAGAAAGGCTTTTAGCGCATCTACTTGTTGTTTTAAAGACATGTTCAATTCATTTAGAAAAGAGGAAAGAGCCGCAGCGGACTCCACTTCAGTCGCCATGTTCGACAAACTCGGCGTTGTGGTGTGTGATGTACGCTACTCGGCACTGATTGGCTCAGTTAGAATGCTCACGGGGTGGGGTTATTTGAATGGGAGAGTTCCCAGACTCTTTCTCTGTGCAGAATTAAACAGAGGAGGAGTCTGGCAGACCAGGCTAGGTTTGATCCCAGCTTCTGCTAGAGAATGCTGCTGTTGTGTTTTTAAGCAAGACACTTAACCCACCTTGCCTGCTGGTGGTGGTTGGAAGGACCATTGGTGCTAGTGTTTGGCAGTGTCACCTCCATCGCTGCACCCCTGGGCAGCTGTGGCTACATTGTAGATCATCATCACCAGCGTATGTATGTGTATGCGAATGGACAGATGACCGATTGTGTTGTGAATCGTCTTGGGGGGTTGTAGAACCCTAAGAAGGTGTTATACAAATACAGGCCATTTACTTATAAAAATAACACGGTTTTTCTGATTGAATCAAACACTTATGTGTCTGAAAAAACATCTATAAGAATAAATAAGGTTTGCATTTTCTTCAAAACGCCAAGTAAGAACTTTCGAGTTCTATCACTGGGTATTATTTTGAGTATGTCTTTATAGTCACATATGTAAAAATATCTCACCTGTAAGGTGCTGAAAAATATGTAACACCCATTTTAAAAAAGCTTGAATTAGATTTTTGCTAAGATGCCGGAAGTTTGTTTGATGGCAGGTTATTCAGTACCTTACATGTGCTCAGGTGTCTGAAAGGAATTCAGTGTAAGAAAACGGTCATTTTGGGTCTCCTTCATTGTTAAACTCAACATCCATGTTACAAATGCTTTCTCTCTGTTGTTCTCTGAAACTTATTTTTCTGATTTTTATCTTTTTAGCTGGGTATGATGGGGAACCAGGGGGGCCCTTTTGGAGGTTCATATGGTGGTCAAGGAAATCCTAGTCTAGGAGCAGCAGGGCTGGGCCCTCAACACCAGAACAAAGGTCCGATGGTCAATAGCCTGACTCAGTTCAACGTGGACAAGAAGAACCAGCCCATGCAAGGAATGGGTGCCATGGTAACAGTTAACATTTTGACAGTGAACGTGCTTGCTGCTCTCTTTCTGTCTTATCCTTTCTAAATATATTTTTATTTACTTTTGATGTCTCACATCCAGTTGCAACTTTTTATTTTTAAATTCCCAACCACCTTTCCTCCAGGGTACCCAGCAGTCACAGACAGGCGTTGGTGGTCCTACTGGTGCACCTGTAGGAGGAGCACAAGGGATGGTGTCCAGCGCCCAGGCAGGCTTGGTAGGCTACGGTGCTCAAGCCTCTGCAGCATCTGCTGCAGCTGGAGCCCCGCCCACAGCCGACCCGGAGAAGCGGAAGCTAATCCAGCAGCAACTGGTGCTCCTGCTTCATGCACACAAGTGCCAGCGGCGGGAGCAGGCCAACGGAGAAGTCCGGCAGTGCAACCTGCCCCACTGTCGCACCATGAAGAATGTTCTCAACCATATGACTCACTGCCAGGCTGGCAAATCCTGTCAAGGTGAGTGGAGGGGTACTGCAGGCTCCTGGTGCTAGGATGTGTCACTGTTTTGTCAGACTGGTGTGATGAAAGTAGATCTAACCCCAGCGAAGCAGACCGGGCAAAAGCTGTAAACAAGATCATGTTTTGTTTGTAAAGATGACATGTTTGTTAGCTGTTGGGTTGGATTTTTATGATGATATTTATATTAAACCGTAGGAGCCTAATTCTTTAGGGGCCTGGTGATTTTTACTATGTAGAAAACTCCGACCAAGTCTCAGAACAAGATATTAAACTAAATGTAAAACATAAAAATTAATATATTTTAACACATGAATGTGATGTAATTAATCTGGGATGTAAACCCCCCCCCTCCACAAACTTAAAGAAGCTGTATCAGAAGTGGACAATATACCGGAAATTTACCAAATCAAAATTTTTGTCACCGAAGTCCTCTTCTTGCCCATGCCAACTTATTAGGAATTAGAAAAAAAGTGAAACGATGTGTGTAGGTTGCTGATGTTCATGTTCCTTTAAGCTGCTGTGGACCAGATGTTAGTCATGTGGCTTTGTGAAGTCACGTGACTCCACCCCATCTGGTCTAACTAGAAGAGAAAGAGAGCGAGTATATGGACGAAATGTTGAAGTGGGCGGGGCAGTGTGTAGCTCTTCACCAGCAATGACCAAATCCAAAATGTTGCCAAACTGTTGCTGAAGGACTTTTGTGGTAACAAGCTTCTCCTTGACCAGATTAACTGTTTGCGCTTGAATGAGAGCAAAACTAAAGTCATAATACTCAGCCCCGGTAGAATAGATTGTTCTGACCATGCCTGTTTGGCCCCGTACGAATTGAAGATAGTCAGCAAGTTGGGGATAAAAATTCTTTCAGCCATCGAGTTTGATACACAGGTCATCATGTTTGTGCACTCCTGTTTTTTATTTTTATTTTTTACTTACAACGGTTGTCCAGGATCGAGCCTTTGTTGTCAAGAGCTCGTCTGGATTCTGTGTTGCTTGCGTTTGCCCAGGCCCGACTGGACTTCTGTAATGCTTTGTATGCTGGTCTAAGTCAGGGCGTGGTTACATAGCACCAACTCGTGCAAAACTCTGCTTCTAGGTTATTGACAGGTGGTATAAGCTGGGATCACATCACTCTGGTGTTGGCTGCTGTCCACTGGCTCCCGGTGCAGTAAGTAGCAGCAAAAAAGATCCTGCTCCTTGAGTACAGGGCTCTGCAGGGCAGAGCTCCCCCGTATCTTTCTGCACAATTGCACAGACACGTCCCCTTTTGTTAAGCTGAGCAGGAGATGCTAGTAGTCCCCCGCTCCATATATAGATCGAGGGGGGATTGTCATTCTCTGATTTGGCCCCAACTCTGTGGAATGACTTGCCATTAAGCATTGATCAGACACCATCTCTTCAAGTGTTTGTCTTGAAGACTCTTTTATTTGGTAGCCTTTCAGCAATATGGTTCATGACACAGGCTTGATGTTACTGTTTTTAATTTCTTTTAATTTGCTCTTATCCTAGTCTCTAGTTTTATTTGATTTTTCTCATCTCTTACTGTTTCTAGGGTTCCAAGCCCGAAGTGCAGCAAACACCATTGTTTTTATATGGATTTATTATTGTTCCCCCCCCTAATTGTACATGGCACAATAGTCAGAAAATTCCAGAAATAATCAAAGATGGCAGTCTGATGGAAAATCCCGACCACTATTCAGAAAAAAGTTCATACCCAGAAACACCTAGGTGGTGCTTTTTTGTTAATGACTTCTAAACCATAAGGTGCACATTTATTATCTGTGTATATGTCCCTGATCCTTAGATGAGTTTGCATTACTTTTGTATTGGCCACACCCCTTAACCACCTAAATTTTTTTGCTTTATCGCAAAAAATGCTAAACCTAGTTTTAGTCACCATTCCAACATTTTTCACCAAATCAACTTGAGACTTGGTACATATAACTATGGACAACTATAAGTAATTGTGATGAATGAAATTGCAAAAATATTGAAAATTGTGCAAATGATGCAATGCCAACATGTTTGTGCTAGCTAGTACAAGACACAACTGATTGAGTCACCTTTTTTAAACAACAGTAGCTCAGTAGGTAGAGTGGGTTGTCCAGTAATCGGAAGGTTGGAGGTTTGATCCCGGTTCTGACCAGAGAATGCTGCTGTTGTGTCCTTGGCAAGACCATTAACCTGCCTTGCCTGCTGGTGGTGGTTGTAGGGACTGGTGGTGTCAGTGTTTGGCAGGCCTCGCCTCTGTCGGTTCACCCCAGGGCAGCTGTGTCTACATTATAGCTTGTCATCACCAGTGTGTGAATGACTGCGTTGTGAAGCATCTTGGAGGGTTGTAGATAGGGCTGTAGCGAAGCCTCGACGACGTTGACGGCTCGATTCTAAAAATTTGTCGACGTCAGATCCGGAAGTCGATGCACCACGCCCACTTGTTGCATCCCCAGGAGTTTGTAAATAGAGGAGGAATCTGCCTGTTTTTCCTCTAGTTCGCCCTCTTCTCCGCCTTCACTAACATCTCCGCCAAATACCGAAGACCCGGAACAACGTCCGTCCACTACTAGATTATTTTCCTGTTTTGCCCGCCTTCGTCTCCCGGCAACGGACAACAACTTCCGGGGTCAGATGCGCTGCTTCGTCTCTACCGCAGATGTAGGACATCACCGGGAGCGCTTCTCCCTTCATTAAGGAGCTTCTTTCAGACATTAGGAGAGCTGTTTTGATGGTAGCAGTCTCTCCTCCGTGCTGGTCTGTTTGCTGCTGGGTGTTTTTGGTTTATTTAAACTTGGTAACTTGAACTTAACGTTGGTAAAGCTACTGTTAGCATCTTCGCTAACAGCTTCCTGCGTTGGGATAAGCTGTTACGTTTTGGTTTAGAGTTCATCTTTTTTGTGGTGTAGATCTCCCTTTTATTACATTTAGAGTTTTGTGGGTTTTCGGTTTAGTGTAAAATATCACCTTGAGTTTGGTTTAACCCGTAAGACCACTCGCCTCACGCACATAAGTGACCAAAACAAAGCAGCATGGAGACACTCCATCTTCTACCACCTCTCAGGCAGCAGCCTGCACTCCCAAGTTCTACACGTCACCAGAACATAATCAACCAACACAATAAAAGCAGTGTTATACAAAATGGAAGGCCTGTAGTGTTTATTCTCTTACAGTAACAATTAATCAATTTTTTGAGAAATTTATTTGAGATTTTCTGGTTTTTGTTAATTGTGCAATAAAAAATAATCATTAGATTAATTTTCTAAATAGTCATTAGAATAGTCGACTATTCGATAAAATAATCGTCAGAATAATCATTTTAAAAATAATCGTTTACCCCCAGCCCTAGTTGTAGAACCCTAAAAAGGTGCTATACAAATACAGACCATTTACCATTTAACCAAGATTAAATGATGAGACTCTGGATTCTCAAAGAATGAGATGTAAGCCATTTGTACCAACTTTTGTTGAGATCATAGTGTTAGCAAGCAAGACGTCCCGCCATAATTTTGGACAGCCTTATTTTAAAAATGACTGCATAAGTAACAAGGGATACCCTTTAAATTTGATACCAAGCTGACCCCGTTTTCTTTAATATCCAAGGTTTCCCCCAGCACTTTATAAACTTGGCCACCCGCCAGGCTAAGTGTCATGCCCCGCCCCCTCCCATACCCTACCATGTCCGCTGACACGAACGGCGCAACGAAACTAGAGCCCTCCATCAGCTGATACTGGTGAGAAACAGCAGGGGAACGTGTACAATCCCCCACCCCCGCACTCACAGAGGAGCGCTGCGGGACGGAGCATGCGCCCCCCGCTCCCCAACGGCCGAATCAGCCACAGGCTTAACTAATTTTTTGGGGAAACCCTGATATCTAATATAGAATTTGCAATTTGTGGAAGTAAAATAAAATCTGCATATTGCACAAATCTTTCCAAAAACGTAAGTATGTAAGTACTACTGGAAATATGCAGCTTCATTACAGGGGTTGCAGCATGGTTCCCCGTTTCTCCACAGCGACTGCTGCTGGAGCGCTTGGATGAAGACTTAAGATGGGACAACATTGGTTATACAGACTTGGTTTGAATATTAGGAGTCTGATGTTCCTTTCCCAGTTTCTGGCTAAGACCCTGGTTCAGATTCACCTACAGGGGGCGCTAAAGGTTCAAAAAGTTCATATCCACATAATGGCTTGATGGATTACACAAAATGTTGCTCAGGTGTTCATTAAAAAGTAGGCGTAGCTTATAGACCTAAAATATTTTCACCCCTTTATTCATGAAATTAGGTGGTGGTGTGCTCAAAAAAGTTTTAGCTATTTTCTCCCCATGTTTGTTAACTTCCATGTTCTTTGAGTCACCCAAATGTAGATGAGTATTAAAGGTTTAATTATTATGTAAATTAGTAAAAATTGCATATAATGAAAACCTATTTTTGTTAACTCATCCCAGAATTCTAACCCATTAAAAAAAATTTCAGTTTTTTTTATTTTTAAAATGATTTTTGGGAAATATGCACATTCAAAAAATTTTTAACGTTGTTTTAGTAAAAAGTTTGGAGATTTGTCAAAGCTCTTCATAGCAGTAGTATCTGGGGTCAATTCAAGTTTTGATTTTCAGCCTGGATCCAACACTGAGGCGCTATAAAAAAGAATTTATTCTGTCAAAATGGCAGAATGGATTTGCATGAAACTTGGTGAATGTCCTCAAGATACAGCCCTGTGACAGAGAGAATATGGTAGTGATTGGTCAAATTGGGCATGGTTTCTGTATGTCAAAATTTTGAAAAATTCCCTAAAATGCACTAATTATGTGTAGAAAGGTAAGGTACTCAGATCTGAGAGTATATAATAATGTTAAATACATTCTTCAGCCATGAAGAGGTTTGCTGTTTCTATTTACGAAGGTGTTTTTAGGCTAGCAGTTGTAGCCCAAAGTCATTTGTGCCATACATCTTGAAATGAACTTTCAGGTGGTTTATGAATCGCATAATACGTTGTCCAGATTCGAGCGCGCCTTTGTGTGTTTAATATTATAACGAATTAAATTGAACATTAAATTCTATTGGTCACCTCTCTAGGCTCACATAAATGATTAATTTTGCTGTAGAGGCCATGGGAGGTCCTTAGAAAAATTAAAACTATGAAAGATTATCTAATGTATACCAAAGAGAAGGGTCAGATAGTGAAATTTAAACTTTTTCCCTTTCAAAAATTTAAACTGCGTACCAGCTTTAAAGATGTACTAGGGAATGGGTAAACAAAATCAGGGAACACTCACCCCTTCCCTTGGCTATCTTCTCTGGATCTCTGTCTGCTGGAAGTTGAAGTGGCAGCAGCCGAATGTTTCTGCTTCCTTGTTATTGAGCGGAGAACCTCTCACACCAGCGATGTTCTGGAGTGCGTAATGAATGTAGGACCCAGGGAAGTGTGGCGGTTTAACCACACTGTCTAATCGTTGCTTGTGAGCCGAACCGTGTTATCGGCGGAGGTTTTTAGACAAATGCGACCGATGGAACCACTATTAATTATTTCTTATTTTTCATCTCCACTATATTTTTACAGCTATATTTAAAGTTAGAACATTGAACAAGAGGCATGAAAAAATGTTTTAAGCAAACTTGTTTTCCAACTGTGCTATAGCAGTACAAATTGGATTCTCTAATTTATTCATTTCAAATTTTTCTGACTTTTGCCATCTTTGTTCTCTTCTGTCCACAGTGGCTCACTGTGCATCCTCAAGACAGATCATCTCCCACTGGAAGAACTGCACGCGACACGACTGTCCTGTCTGTCTCCCGCTGAAGAACGCAGGGGACAAGAGGAACCCGCAGTGTGAGTGTCTGTATCCGACCAAAACCATAAACCTAAACTCCTTAACTACTTAGATCTGAGCAGGTGTTAGTGTTTATAAACCGGAACAGCCACTGCATTTTAGTGACCTTCGCATTATCTATAGTGTCTGTCTGTCAGCTCAAATGAACACGGAGCCACACTTCTGACAAAGAAGTCCCAACAAGACTGGTCTGCTGCTAAAGATTTGAAACAACTACGTTATGAGGCTGAAATGTCGGACTCTGATTATAAATGGCTCAATAATATGTACACTGGTGTCTAGTTTCCATCTGGTACAAGTCCCATTAGTCACCATCACACACTGGTGACATTACATCTCCGCATTTGACCCTTCCCCATGGGCAGTGGTGAGCTGCAGCAGTGGCTGTGCTCGGGAAATATTTGGTGGTTTAACCCCCCCAATCCAACCTCTATTGATATTTATATGTAATTAATATTTTATGGAACAAAATTCACCTGTATTTTAGTATTGTTTAATGTTCTATTAAAATCACTCATCCCAGTCAAAATAACATATTTAACCCTCCCACTGTCCTAATGGGTGACCCCACGAGGAAAGTTGGCCATTGAGCAGGGTCCATGTAGCAGGGATGAGGAGTGAGCACCACCTCACCCCTGCTACATGGACCTCAAGGGATAAACCATCAATCCTGCTCAATGGTCAACTTTCCTCGTGGGGTCACCCATAAAGACAGTGGGAGGGTTAAATAAAACCACAGTTGGAAATGAATGTACTTCACTACTGCAAATGCAAAATCATTGACTTTCTGCTGGTATCAATGTATTGTTGGCATTTTTGTTATAATTATGTACAGATTGGCAAATAATCTAATTAAAAATTTGATTCAAAGATGGATGCATTTGTAAATTACATACTACAACGGCCTGCCACAGGAACTGCAGCATAGCTGCTGCCCATATCGCTGCAGACATTCTGCTGGTACAGTTTATTCCTTCTTCGTTTAATGAGAACAAGATCAACTTGTTTTTTCTGGCACCAACTTAATTGTGAATGTGCTACCTGCTAGCATTAGCATTAGCTGACGTGGTTGTGGATTCATGCTTGATTCCAGTCTTTGAAGTGTTTCTGCCTTTTACAATGTTTTATTTAATCTTTCTCTGTTTCCCCCATGACATCTAGATGACCATGTTTGAGGAATTTATTGAATGAAACCTTTCGAGTATTTCTTTCAGCCCTAATTTATAGTGTGTAAAATTATCATTTGCGCAGTAAAAAAAAGATACATTCTTGATCCACTGAAACATATTGGATGAATTACCATCTGTGTTTGTTTTCTTGAAACCACAGCTCTGCTAGGAGGGGGTGGTGCAGGACTCGGGAGCTCTCTGAGCGCGGTTCCCGGTAGTCAGCCGAGTGCTCCCAACATCCACCCACCCAGCCAGATTGACCCTAGCTCTATTGAGAGAGCCTATGCTGCCTTGGGGCTCACCTACCAGGGAAACCAGATCCAGACACAGACTGCCCAGCCCAACATGTCCAACCAGGGGCAGGCTGGCATGAGGCCTCTAAATCCAATGGGTATGTCATCTTTCCTCTAGATACTGAAACATTCAGAGTCTAAGAGCTCAAACTGATCTTTACTATAACAGAATGTTGGCGTTCTCTGTGTATTTAATCCGATGAAATCCTTTAGAAGGCCGTGTAGCACCATGTTCATGTGTTTTTTTTTTTTGTTGTCTTTTTTAGTTGTGAATCCTATGGGAGTCAACGGAGGTGTGAGTGCCCCCTCTCAGAGCCAACAAAGCAGTTTACTACAGGACACCATGATGCATCTCAATGTGAACAACCAAAGGTTAAAAAGAAACACCACATGGATCATTTATGTGTTTTCTGTAAAACGCCTGTGTCTGTAAATGTCTCCCTGTCTGTCTCCTACAGTCTGATGAATGATGCTGGAGGCGTCGGCTCCATGCCCACAGCAGCTCCTCCCTCTGCCACAGGCATAAAGAAGAGCTGGCACGAGGACATCACACAGGACCTGCGAAACCACTTAGTGCACAAGCTGTACGTTTTACAAAGCGAAGAACATGGAAAGACCAGCTATTCTAGTCATTTTTCAAAGTGAGACAGCAGTAGAAAGTTGCGTTCTCCTACATCATTTCTCTTATCTATTTGCTTTGTTTCTGTTTGCTCGTTCGCCCACAGCGTCCAGGCCATCTTTCCGACTCCAGATCCAGCCGCCCTCAAGGACCGTCGAATGGAGAACCTGGTGGCCTACGCTCGAAAGGTTGAAGGAGACATGTATGAGTCGGCCAACAGCAGAGTAAGCTGCTCGCTGAGAGCCTTCTGTAACTCCTCTGAATCACTACACATCAGTGATGATATTTGTTTCTCTCCACTGTCCCTCCCTGTCTTTGTCTTCAGGCTGAGTATTACCACTTGCTAGCAGAGAAGATCTATAAGATTCAGAAGGAACTCGAGGAGAAAAGAAGAAACCGGATGCAGAAACAAGGTCTGGGTCTTGGTCCCGCTGGCATGGGTCAGCCCCCGGCTGGACTTCCTGCAAGTGAGTGTTTTGTGGCGTATCTGGTCTTCAGATTCAAGCAATTGTTTAATCTGACAGTTTATGACACGTAGGACATTCTCCCTTCTTACTTTTATTTGATTATGCGAAGGGATCCCAGGTCTTGAATGTTTCAGTCATGCTTGATGCACCTTTCTTGTTGTGTTCACTGATGAGTGTTTTTCTGTCTGTCTGTCCGGTTTAGACGGCCCACTCCCTGACCCGTCAATGGTGCGTCCTCCTGGACCCAATCCGATGGTTCCCAGGATGCCAGGCCCAGGTACAGAATCTGTTCTGAACTTAAGACTATTGTTCTAGAAATGCTCCAAAAACTCAGCTGCTGATCAGAACCTGCCCATAAACAGCATGATCAGCTTAATCAGGCCGATTACAAATTCTGTAGTTGTTTTGATGAATGAATAAATAAATAATGAAGGAATAAACACAGCATTTGCCAAGCTGGAATGATTGTCTTCAAGTCTGTGAACTCACCATCGCTACAACAAAACTAATTTACTCTAACAATAGCAGATTTTAAATCTGAAACAATTTTCATTCTAGTTTATTTCAACCTCAAAGCAAGTATCTTGCTAATTATTACTGATCAGAATCTGTTTACTGGTCGGACACGGGGGTGGACTGGCATTCTGGCACTGTCACGGTGGGGCCCCCCACCCACTCCTACATTTGGTGGAACCCCCCCCCCCCCCCCCCCCCCCCCCCGCAAGACCGGCAGCGTAAACAGAGCGTGCACGAGGATAACTGGGCGTTCTCTCTCATGTGCATTTTTTAAAAAAGTGGTGAGGGCGGTTCTTTCCTGAAATTCAGAAATATCCTCTGCCACATACATTAAAGGCCAAAAGTTTGGACACACCTGTCTCATTCAATGTGTTGTCTTTATTTTCATGACCATTTACATTGGGAGATGTGGAGTTATGTACTTAGCCCAAAAAGGTAAAATAACTGAAAACATGTTTTATGTTCTATTTCCTTCAAAACTGCCACCCTTTGCTCTGATTACTGCTTTGCACACTCTTGGCATTCGCTTGATGAGTTGATGGTTGCACACGTTCCCCTGCTGTTTCTCACCAGTATCAGCTGATGGAGGGCTCTAGTTTCGTTGCGCCGTTCGTGTCAGCGGACACGGTAGGGTCGGGGAGGGGGGCGGGGCATGACGCTTAGCCTGGCTGGCCGCCAGGCTTATACAGCGCTGGGGGAAACCCTGCGTACTGTGCAACCCAATATTTTTTATTAACAAATAACAATCAATAATTATTTATTTGCATTTTCTTGAGCCAGTATGTGCTAAAATTACCCTTAATAGGGTTAATGAAATGTCACTCAGACCCCCACCGCCCTCTGTGGCCAGAATTTCACATTTGCAACTTCAGAGTGCCAGTCCGGTCTGCTGGACTTAGAAAAAATTTGAGCTTACATACCTGTCGCTGCAGCCTGGTTCCAGTATGTTTTAGATCAGGAGCACAAGTGATTTGTTTGATTTAGTGATGAACCACTCCTGTAGACACTGAGGAAGGCTGGGGAGATGTTTGTTGTTAGATTAAGGTGTTAAAAAGACGAACGCACAGCGAGGAGATAGGTTTTGCTTTCGATTCCACAAAAGGACACTAGGGGGTGCTAAACGTAAGCCAAAACAACCTAGTCTCGCCTGAAATGTTTTCATTAAATGTTCCTGTTACATCTGGAAAAGACAGCGATCCCTCCCTGCACACCATAGTGCTGCTTTTATTGATAGTATCAATGATTATTGCCATCTCATCTGACCACTTTTTAAAATGCTTTCATTTATTTAATTATTGATATTCACTGATTGCTCTGCGGCTCCACAGCTCACCGCTGTAGCAGCGCAGAGCCACTCGAAGGGAATAAAACAATTTTTTTTGTGCCTACATCACGCCCCAGAGCCTGGATTTCCATCTTGGTTGTCATGGTTACCTGTGACATCCTGTCAATAAGCATGTTTATTTATATGCACAAAATTCATCATGCAGCTTACATTGTCCATTTATTATTAGAGAGTGGGTGTGTAGAGGCAGGATGTAGTCGACAAACACCTGAGCACATTTGTTGGACAGCTGTGATTTTTAAAGCAGAAACAGAGTGGAGCCGTGCTTAAAGTAGTGCTAGTCTAAAGTAGAGTAAGTATTCTTTGCAAAGTTTTATAAATGATGTCCCAAACCTGGTGTATCCCAATACTTTACCTCAACTGTTAAAATCAGAAAAGTTGGCGTCAAAATGAGGCAGTTTGTTCTTCTATGTTAAATATTGCTTAGACAATAATAATGTCTCAGGTACAGCATAATCCTCTGTAGATTCTTCAGAAATTAATCTATTTTGTGTGGGTCCAACCAAACTGTATGATTAAATTCACCTACACATGAGCAGCACGTGACAAAGATGATTTATTTCAGTAATTCCATTCAAGAAGTAAAAGTTGTTAGATTAATTTATTACACACAGACGGATATTTTTCAAATGTTTATTTATTTTCAAAATCCATTCAATAATCCGGGGGAAATTCACAAAGAGGTGACTGCAGCTGCAGTAGGGTTGCAAGGACTAACCGGTTTGACTCGCGTTAGTGACTGAACTGATTTAACAGTAATATTAGAACAATCCAGTGAACAACGGTTCATATTGTGTTGTTCTACGTTTCCCCCAAATCTGAATACAACAAGCCTGTACTGCAAGCCATTTTAATATTTAATCAACTACACCACTCTGTGATTCCTGTTCTACTTAGCAACTGTATAATTCATCATTGTCCAAATAATATTCTTACTGATGAAAATTCAAAGGATACGAATAAATAGAAATTATATTTAAGTAATAAGTAATATTCATAATGACAGCTACACTAGTAGGAATTTAGCATTTTAATTCATGAAGGTGTCTCCATCCTTCAGTGCTTACCCTGACCAGCTGTCGACAGTTGAACCTTTTTGTCTTTTTACAGAAACTCAAAAAAGCCTATTAGGCAAGTATAATTAAAGGTGTGGTTCACTGAAAAAACATTTTTAGTGATTATTTCTGATAATCAATCACTCGGGTTTTCATGCAGGCTGAACATGAAAATAGTCTCCTACACCTATCTCCTGCACCAGCACCTGAATTAACAGATCACACTGTAAGTGGCTTTGGACAAAAGCGTCCGCTAAATACATAAATGACAGGAAAGAAGACGATCACACCGTCAGGTGAAGAAATGCTGAGAACGATGCTAAACACTGTGAGGTTCAGGATGGACATTAAACACGCCTGAAATCTTAATCGTGATCAGAGGTGTTGCTACTGGGCAGGAAGAACACACACTCGGTGTTTAGTTTATTATCAGTCTGTGCATTTGAAGTGATAACATGTAAGAGGTCTAAAGTAAATAAGTGTTGGTTTTTATTAGTAATTTCTTTCTTGAATGTGCAGTCCAGACAACTTGTTATTAATGTGGGTGTAATTTAAAGAGAACTGTGATCTCAGTCATCAATGATGAAACACCGATTCCCAATTTAGCAAGAATGGTGCGCTCCTCAATCCTCATGATGCTCTGGCTATCTTCTTAGGTATGAACCAGTTCAATCAGATGGGGATGCAATCTATGGCTCAGAGGTCCACACCGCCTCTGCCCATGGGAGCACCTGGCAACCAGGTCAGTACTTGGCACACTGGAATGTTTTTAAATTTTATAAAAGTATTTTAGGGTTATTAGTAGTTTAAACACCGGCTTGGAGTTAAAAAGCTCCAGTAAATATTGTTTATTTGTGTCTAGATGGGAATGGTTGGACCCAGAGTGGGGCAGCCCAATGTCAACCCGCTGCAGAACCAGTATCTGCCACATGGACAGTTTCCTGGTTCCGGACCTGGAGTTGGAGCAGCACAGCCTGGGATGGCCCCACCTGGAGCACAAGGCGGCATGGCTCGGGTATGACGACCAGACACCTATTTAGTTTCCGGGTTGTAGATCTGTCACTTCTGTCCTTTTTGTGAAGAAAAAACAATCTAAACATGTTAAAAATGTTTGATTATTATTATTTTACTTGAGATGGTTCCTGACTGTGTTGAGAATAAAGGGGATGTGTCCATAAGTGGTCTGTAGTACAAAGGGCACACAGAAAACTGTTTTTCTCTCGTCACATTCACTTTGCTGCTGGAGTTGTGATAACGTTTAAATGAGATAAATTATTGACTAGGACTTTAATTCGTTGTATTTATTAACCTTGTTCTTCCATCCTCAGACACAGATGGGAACTCCTCCTCCTCTCCCAGTAGCTAGTCCCCTGGCACAGCCAGGCTCAGCTGGTGGGGTCTCAGCAGGGGGGCACATGGGTCCCAACTCATCTGTGGGAACCCCTGGTCCTTCAGTGACTCCAAACCAAAACCAGCAACCCAACTCCATCCCCCACCTGGGAGCCATGCGTGGAAGCTCACCCTCCCCTGCTCACAGCCGGTCCCCCACCCCCCACCAAACGCCCCCCAGACTAGCCGGGTCCCAGACGCCGCAGCCACATACTCCTAATGCGCCACAGTTGTCTGCACCGTTGTCACTTCAGCAGAACCAGCTCAGCCAGGGCCCCGGCTCCAACAAGCCCCTCCAGCAGCAACACATGGGACCCGCCGGCTCCACCACTCCGTCTCACCCTGGATTGGCCTCCAGCTCAACACCACATGGTGGACAGATGCCTCGCACTCCGGTTCGTGTTGTCATATCCTCCAGCTACATTTCAGTACAACTTTTTCCTCTTATCTTTTGTTGTTTCCTTTTATTCCTCACGTTACATTTGCCATTTCCCCGCACCTGAGTTGGTCTGTAATTCTCTTTGCAGTTGTCCCAGAAGGGCTCGTTCCCAGCAGACAGTCAGGCCCCAACCCCAGCCTCAGTCAGCAGTCTGGACACTTCGTCTCAGCAGCCACAATCTGACACCTCAGCTGCCAACCTTGACTCCAAGATGGAAGTCAAGCACCAGGATGAGGAGGAAGAGAGTGACCCCGGCAGCTGCTCCAAGGGAGGGAAGCTCAGCAATCACAAAACAGAGGAGAAGCCAGTGAAACCAGAAGTAAAGAAGGAAGAGGGTTATGGAGAAGGAGGGAAAGGTGTTCCCATGGAGACATCGGCAGCTACACTAACATCAGAAATAAAGACAGAGGACAGGAAGCCAGAGGTGAAGAAAGAGGGGAAGGAAGAACAGGAACCATCAGAGGCAGCTGCTCCACAGGCTCCTGTTAAGAAGAAAAGTAAGACTGATTTTACTTCTGTCGTTACTGGTCCTAATAGTCACAAAACTCCCAAAAGTTTGGAGGTGAAAACTTTTCTTGACTGAGCATTAATGTTTCATCCGGTCTTCTCCACCAGTCTTCAAGCCTGAGGAGCTGCGTCAGGCCCTCATGCCTACGTTAGAGTCCCTCTACAAACAGGACCCAGAGTCTCTACCATTCAGGATGCCCGTTGACCCACAGCTCCTCTGCATACCTGTACGTACACCCGCCTCACACTCAGTTTTGGTTTAGCTCTCCTCCACCTCATAAGAGCTATGAGAAGTCTACAATCCTTTGGTTGTTTGAGCTTGTCCAGCCTAAAAAAATATTTATTTAGCTAGTGACATGGGTGATCCTGTTGTCCTGCTGGATTTAATGGCAACTTTTGACACGATCGATTATGACATCCTTCTGGACCGATTGCAGCACTGAGTGGGGATCACTGGGCCAGCCCTACAAAGGCTCCACTCCTACCTTCAGGATAGGAGCTTTTGTGTTAGGATGAGTGAAGCCTCATCATCCTGGGGGAGACTCCCCTTGGGCATGCCACAGGGCTTAGTCCTTGGTCCCCTTTTGTTTGCTGTATACTCCCCTCGGGGCATCTCCTTCATTGGCATTGTGAGAGATTCTATCTTTACACTGATGATTGCCAGATCTATCTTCCCTTCTGACGGGGAGTTGGTGGATCTGTCTCTCCACTGCTGGACTGTTTAATGGACATCAGATCCTGTAATTCTTTACACCTGAATGACTCTCTAACTGAAGTCATAATTCTCAACCCTGGCAGATGAGATGGATCTGACTCTGTTGTGGACCTTGGTCCTTTAGCACCCCATGAAAAGAAAGTAGTCAGCAAGCTGGGGATAAAAATGGACCTGGGGTGCGGTTGCATGGCACTAGTTTTTTTAGAACTCCGTTGCTAAGTTTCTTACAGGCACTAGACGCTGGGAGCACATCACTCCAGTGCTGGTGACCCTACACTGGCTCCCGGTGATGTAACGAGCAAAATTCAAGACCCTTCTACTGGTGAACAGGGCTCTTCAAGGCACTGCTCCCCCTTATCTGTCAGAACTGCTATATAGGCCTGTCCCGTCCCAGTCTCTTTGCTCGACAGTGCATGGACTATTGGTGGTCCCCCGCTCCAAATACAGATCAGGGGGGTCGCGCTTGAAGACTTTTATCTGATGGAGTTTCTGTGATGGGGATCATCATTGCCAGGATTTGTTCTTGGTTTTATCTTGTTTAACATATTTTTATAATCATTTTATGTTTTTCTTTAAATCAATTTCCTTTTAATGTTTTATGCTTGTTTTAATTTTAGTTTATTTTGATGTTCCATGACACCATATTTGTTCTAATCATGTGATTTTAATTATTGTGTTCAGCACCTTGGGCGTCTGATAAGGTTGTGGAAGGTGTTTTATGAATAAATAAACTGAAACTGAACTGAAAATTAACTCAACATAATGTTGACAGGACTACTTTGACATTGTGAAGAACCCGATGGACCTGTCAACTATCAAACGAAAGCTAGATACAGGTAAGTAAACAGATCATGGATTGCCAAAGTTTTGTTTCTTTTCAAATATTTTCTGAAATGTGTGTTCTGCTCGCAGGTCAGTACCAGGATCCGTGGCAATACGTTGATGACATCTGGCTGATGTTCAACAATGCCTGGCTCTACAATCGCAAAACATCTCGAGTCTATAAGTTCTGCTCCAAGCTGGCTGAGGTGTTCGAGCAGGAGATCGACCCCGTGATGCAGAGCCTCGGATACTGCTGTGGGAGGAAGGTGAGGCAAAGGGCTATTTGACAGGTCCAACAGGTCTGAAGGCGTTCTAGTCATCTCTGTCTTGGGATTGAAGAGAAGATGCTCCACGGTGTCCTCTCAGAGCAGGACACACTCTTATTTAGTGATTTGATGATGAGTCTTTAGATTTTTTCTCTGACTTGCTGTTACATCATGACTTCTGTACTGCAGCTACGCCGTAGGGGTTAAGAGTCAGGTACATGTATGAACCGTAAATGAAAACTGAAGAGTAGCATGCATCGCTGGAAAAGCTGTGAGCTAGTTGGAACAAAATACACAAATTAGCCAAACAAACAAAACCAGTCATGATATCACATGAAACGATTCACTAAAAATCACCAGGAACATATAGAAACTTGTCCTAGCTGGGGCATTTGTTTTGCACAGAAAGGTTTCAGAATGGTTGAAAACTGACCTGTTTCCTCCCTCTCTGCCCATCAGCTGGAGTTCTCTCCTCAGACTCTGTGCTGCTATGGAAAGCAGCTTTGCACTATTCCCAGAGATGCCGTTTACTTCAGCTACCAGAACAGGTATGTAGATGGAGAAAATCAGGAACGCTATGAAACTATTTTACTTAAATGGAAGTGATCCTTTTAAACCCTCTTGACTGGGTGTACAGAACATGTTTGGGGAATTAATCCGTTGTTAACATGTTGTTATGATTCTCCTAAACACTTCATGTTTCTATGTGGTTTCCAAAGCACTGGCATTTTAACCGTCAGTCCTTCATAGAAGCTCCACTCACAACCTGTTAACTAGTTTTACCTGCTTCAGTTCAGTCAGTCAGGTAGATCTGAGGTGATCCAACCACAGCACGTCACGTTAATCTGGAAGCTTCTGCACCTGGAGTCTGTTTCTGATCCCGTAGTTCAGATAAACACAACAGCAGAGACCCTAAAGTCTTGTTGTTGTTGTCTAGGTAACAAAGTTACAGCTGGGCTTTAGGGCCCAGACCTCACGGTCTAATCGACTCTCTAACCCTCGTTCCCTTGAGATAACACAAGTTATTGCTTTTGCCTCTCAGTTAATCATCCGAATGCTTTTACCAAAGAAAAGCTGTAGCAAAGCAAAAGTCTTAATGAAGAGCTGAGCAGTTGTCTGTGCTTCACGTGTTGGGACCTTGAGGGACCTTTAGCTCCTGTCCTGTTAGCTGTGATGGTGGCTGCTGCTGCTGCTCATCCTCTCATGTCCAAATTGCTAATCTGTGCTTTGCCTCGGCTCTCTGCTGTGTTCTGTCCTGGATGTTTGTCTCGTCCTGTTCCACATTCTCCCCCTTCCATTTTGTTGGGATGTCAACACTGGCTTGCTTTTGGCTTGACCCCTCCCCTCAACCTTCAAACCCATCTCTCATCCTTCCACCTCTCAAAATCATGACTGGCTGTTGCGATGACGACCCCCCTGCTGTCCTGCTCTCTTTTCTTTCTGCTTGCTCCGCTTGTGGCCCCCCCGCCTTCCCCATGTCCTGTACCATTTGGTGACTGCCCTCCCGTGCGCTGTCTGTGACTGACTGTGCTGTGGGGAATGGTGTAGTTCACCAAAATTTGGGCTTATTGCTCACAGGTACCACTACTGTGAGAAGTGTTTCAACGAGATCCAGGGGGAGAACATTTCCCTGGGCGATGACCCCACTCAGCCACAGACGTGAGTATTGCTTATGTTGTAATCTTTTGTTTTTATTATTATTATTTCACAGACAAACCCTGCTAATACCAATGCTGCTAAGCCGTGACACAATAGTTATTTAATGTTTGTACATGGTTGTTTTAATTTCAGGTCAATAAACAAAGATCAGTTTGAGAAGAAGAAAAATGACACACTGGACCCTGAGCTGTAAGTCAAGAGAGCTCAGCATGTGTCGGGATAAAGCTGTGGAGAAATAAACCTCAGCAACTCTAATGTGTGTGTGTGTGTGTGTGTGTGTGTGTGTGTGTGTGTGATCTCAGGTTTGTAGAATGTAAGGACTGTGGGCGCAGGATGCATCAGATCTGTATTTTGCACAATGAAACCATCTGGCCATCTGGGTGAGTACCTCCTCCCTCTCAGAGGTCTGTCTGCTTGTTAAAAGGATCTTCTCTGTTTGGTTGACTGACTGGTATTTTTGTCTTTTCTGCATCATAGTTTTGCGTGTGACAGCTGTTTAAAGAAGACAAACAAAACAAGAAAAGAAAACAAGTATTCTGCCAAACGTAAGAGACAATTGTTTCATCATCACAGAGCTCTTTTTTTACACGTCAATACCTCGTTTGTACAAGATGTTGGTGCAACCTGTGGCTCCAGGGCCCTCTGCAAGGGTTTGGAAAAGAATCATAGCTGTTTTCATAACCGCAGCATGTAAGGGCTGGTTTTAGCTGTTTAAATGCAAGTATGGATTGGAATTATTGTTACAGGATTATACTAATAGCTCAAAGGGTTAAAACGGATCAGTCGGTTTGCTCTAATTGTTTGTTTGTGGTGGATTCTGTTTTTACTAGGGATGATCCGATCACATGATCGGAAATTGTCTCCGATCTCGTGATTTTCAGGAAATCGGGTGGGAAAAATCGGATTTAACAAAGTAAAACAACAAACATTACCCAACCCATCCTGAGAAAAAGATTTTCAAACGGAAAGGCTTAGTTGTAAATTCAACACCTTCCTCTGCATCAGTTAATCTTTGTTCCACAGACAACGCTGTAAGTCCCCCAATTTAAGGTAGTCCAGGAATTCACACACCATATCATGTAGCAGTTAGCTAACACAGAGCATACGTGACACTTCAAGAGAGAGGTAATGTCTGTAATTTGGATGTATTTTAAAATGAACAGCAAAGGGAGTGTACTAAACCTGTGTAATGTGTGCAAACTGGGCATTTAACAAGGTGGAAAGGGTAGTGCTACGTTCAACACTGATGCACCACCTTAAAAAAAACTGACCCTGCTCAGTTCGCTGAAGCCATTCAGCTAAGCCAGCTGACACCAAAAGATACAAACCAAGAAATTTCTACGGAAAGCAAACTTTATCACACTGGATGAGCGTCTGTGGTTGCAAACGTCGGGTCTGCGGTCTCCTTGAGTCATGGTATGATCTGCTTTCTCTTCCTAACTTTTACAGACGCAGCAACTCTACAGGTGTTTAGTAGAAAACAGTTACTCTGCTGCTGACCGTCATGTGTCGAGCCATCCCTGTCGCTGAAATATAAAGGATTAAAGGATTTAAAATATGAGTGGCAAGGCTTCTTTTACTTTTATTCTTAATATTAACGTGTTTCTTATTAATGTGCTTCCTAAACAAGTGATGTTTTATAGCAAATAAAACAAAAGACAAATACAGAAAGAAAGAAACGCATTAATGATTAAAAAACTTAAAGGACAACTCTAGTGTCTTTTTTTTCTTTATGCATTTCTAAATAATCTGATCATGACTTGGTATCGGCAGATTCTCAAAATCAAATGACTCTGAATCGGATCGGGAGCATTAACACGTGATCAATTTTAGGTAAAGATCGAATTGCAAGTTTTCTGGCAGAAATTGCAATTTCTATTTGATTCATGATTTTCTTCAAATTGAGGTCCAGCACTTTCACAATGTACAGTAACATTAACAAATATGGCAGGAAATGACATCATGCCATGTAAACCTTAAAGGCTATTGCTCTAATAATGCAAGGAGGCAATCTGAAGGTAAGAACTGTTTTCAAATGTACAGAAACACACATGCAGAGCCCCCCACCCCCCACCCCCCCCCACCCCCCACCCCCCGAATGTTTAGGAGATATTTTGAGATAAATGTATCTGTCACACAAAAGGACTGATTCCTGTACAGGCCTGTCCTGCTGACACAGATTTAACCAAGAACTGAAAACCTTCTCCTTTTGTAAAATTTGATTTACTAGAAAATTATGATTCAGGAAGTAAATTTTTCCAGATGGACAGGTTGTTAATGCTAGCAACAAAGCTAGCTGTTCTTACAGTTGTTGACTAACTGTCTCACAGGGTTGCCTCAGACGAGGCTGGGGAGTTTTCTGGAGACGAGGGTGAACGACTTCCTGAAGCGTCAGGCCCTTCCAGACTCTGGAGAGGTCTTCATTCGTGTTGTCCATGTCTCGGATAAAGTGGTGGAGGTGAAACCAGGCATGAAGTCCAGGTAGGAAACAAAAGACACATGGACAGTTTAACCTCCCACAACTGTTCTTGTTTGGATTTTAAGGTTATTGATGCTTTTGTCTCCAGGTTTGTGGACAGCGGAGAGATGTCCGAGTCTTTCCCCTACAGGACAAAGGCACTTTTTGCATTTGAAGACATTGACGGCGTGGATGTTTGCTTTTTTGGGATGCATGTCCAGGAGTACGGATCAGACTGCCCTCAGCCCAACCAGCGGTAAACATGACGGGCTTTTCAAACAAAAACACTGCAGCTTCTCCTCTTTAAATATACATAAGCAACAGTTTATTAGCCTTGAACCCTTTGTTCTGTCCTCTCAGGCGAGTATACATTTCCTACCTGGACAGTGTACACTTTTTCCGGCCTCGCAGTCTAAGAACAGCAGTTTACCATGAAATCCTCATTGGCTACTTGGAGTACGCCAAGAAGTTGGGGTGAGTCCTGAGACCAGACTAGTGTTCAGCACTTCTCCGGCTGGGAAAATTATAGTAATGTTTTCATTTAGACGTCTCATTTTCTCGTTAGTAAATACGTTTTGGTCCCTTTTCTGTGTCCTTAGCTACACCACTGGTCACATCTGGGCTTGCCCACCCAGCGAGGGTGATGACTACATCTTTCACTGCCATCCAGCAGATCAGAAAATTCCCAAACCCAAACGCCTTCAGGAGTGGTACAAGAAGATGTTAGACAAGGCTGTGGCTGAGAGGATCGTGCACGACTACAAGGTAAATGCTCTTTTTTAGCAGCGTTTATTAACCATGCTTAAAATGACTCTTGATTAGTGCAAAACCCTAATTTACCTCTGTACTCACCCTGAAAGGATATCTTCAAACAAGCGACGGAGGATCGTTTAACAAGTGCCAAGGAATTGCCTTACTTTGAGGGTGACTTCTGGCCCAACGTGCTGGAGGAGAGCATTAAAGAGCTGGAGCAGGAGGAGGAGGAGAGGAAAAGGGAAGAAAACAGCACTTCTAACGAGAGCATTGATGTAAGACTGAGTCCTTGTTCATCACCTCTGATCCTACGTGTGTTTTATACTTAAGAACGGCCTAAAAATAAGGCTGGCACTGTAGCTTGTTGTTTAGACGATCACTGATTTATTTTCTTTTTTTCCCCAAAACACTTTTATGTGCAGGACACAAAGAGTGACAGCAAAAATGCTAAGAAGAAGAACAACAAAAAGACGAGTAAGAACAAGGGCAGCTTGAGCAGATCTAATAAGAAGAAGCCGGGGATGCCCAACGTCTCTAATGACCTTTCTCAGAAACTTTATGCTACTATGGAAAAACACAAAGAGGTAGGAGCAGAGGAATATGCACAAGATGTCTCCTGGTTCTGCTTTTTTCTTTGTGTCCTAAATGTTTCAGAGCAGCAAACACATTTAGTTTGTAGTTTTCCCTGTAATCAGAAGGTTGCAGGTTCAAACCCAGGCTCTCAGTTATGTTCAATTCAAGTTTATTTATGTAGCGCCAAATCACGACAAGAGTCGTCTCAGGGCACTTCACATGGTAAACATTCCAGTACAGGTCAGTTCATTAAGCCAATCAGAAATAATGTTTCCTATATAAGGAACCCAGCAAATTGCATCAAGTGGCTAACTGGTGTCAGTGACTTTACAGCAATCCTCATACTAAGCAAGCGTTTAGCGACAGTGGAGAGGAAAACTCCCTTTTAACAGGAGGAAACCTCCAGAGGATCCTGGCTCTGTATAAGCAGCCATCCTCCACGACTCACTGGGGATGGAGAAGACAGATGTTGATATAGAGCAACAGATGTTGTATCCATGAGCAAGATACTTAACCCTCCTTGCCTGCTGGTGGTCAGAGGAATTGGTGGCATCTGCCTCGTCTCCATCAGAGCACCAGCGTGTAAATGTATGGAGCGCTTTGGAGTTCTCAGACTCAGAAAGGCGCTTTACAAATGTAGGGTTGGGAATGATTTGAATTTGAACAATTCCGGTTCCTCGTTTCGATTCCGGTTCCTATCGATTCCCGATTCTGATTCTTTCAAGAGTAGGGTTGGACATTGATCGGAATGAAGGCTATCAGTTTTTCCTGGAATCGTTCAAATTTTAAAATTTTGATTCCTAGATTCCATTTCCAGTCCACGCTGTGTTTGACTGCTGTTGCTGTGTGTGTTTTTATTTCTGCGGTGAGCCTTAAAAACTCGCCTCACTTTGCCCAGAGTTTGTTCTTTAAAACCGGGTCTCTGCAGGCTGCAAAGTAGGAGCGACAGACGTGGTATGATCGGCTCTGAAAGGCGTTGATCAGATTTTTCAGATCACGTTATTTTTTTTACGAAAATCAGCCTCAGATTCTTCTTCTGGTCTGGGACTGGGAATTGAAACAGAATTGAAATGACAAAATTTGAACAATTCTGGGAACAACTGACAGTTACTCCTGGTTCCAATCGATGCTAGATGCCCAACCCTATACCAGTGTTGGATGTTCATCGCGTTTAGTCCGATACTGAATTATTTGCTGATCTGAAGTATTTAAAGCAAAAGAGAGAAAATAGAATAAGCCTGTATTTATACACTTGTTCTTGCATAACTCCATTTAAAAGGTCAACTGTCTGCTCTGCCTTTGTCTTCCTCCTCTAGGTGTTCTTTGTGATCCGGCTAATTGCCGGCCCCATGGCGAATGCCTTGCCCCCAATTATCGACCCAGATCCCCTGATGGCGTGTGACCTCATGGATGGTCGTGATGCTTTTTTGACTCTGGCCCGGGACAAACACCTGGAGTTCAGCTCTCTGAGGCGGGCTAAGTGGAGCTCCATGTGCATGCTGGTGGAGCTGCATAACCAAAGTCAGGACCGCTTTGTTTACACCTGCAATGAATGCAAGCACCATGTGGAGACTCGCTTCCACTGTACCGTTTGTGAGGTAAGTCTGTCTGTGATGTCTCAGAGCTGGTTGTAAACATTGTCGTACTTTCATCAGACTTACTCTGCTGCTCATGCCCCTCTGTTGCAGGATTACGACCTCTGCATCACGTGCTACAACACTAAGGGCCACGAGCACAAGATGGACAAGCTAGGGCTCGGTTTGGACGATGAAAGCAGCAACCAGGCTGCTGCGACCACTCAGAGCCCCGGAGACTCACGTCGCCTAAGCATCCAGCGCTGCATCCAGTCTCTGGTCCACGCGTGCCAGTGCAGGAACGCAAACTGCTCTCTGCCATCATGTCAGAAGATGAAGCGTGTCGTTCAGCACACAAAAGGTTGCAAGAGAAAAACCAACGGCGGCTGTCCCATTTGCAAGCAGCTCATTGCACTGTGTTGTTACCATGCTAAGCACTGTCAGGAGAACAAGTGTCCTGTCCCGTTCTGCCTGAACATCAAGCACAAGCTGCGCCAGCAGCAGCTGCAGCACCGGCTGCAGCAGGCTCAGATGCTGAGGAGGAGAATGGCCAGCATGCAGAGAGTAGGTCAGCCCAATCCAGGGATGCCACCTGGAGGAAAAGGTCTGCCCTCTCCAGGAGGCAACAATGGTGCAACGGGTCCGGCTACCCCTACGTCCGCTGGTACACAACCACCAACCCCACAGACACCCACCCAGGGAAACATGCCTGCTCTTCCTCAGCAGCAGGGGGTCGGTATGGGTGGAATGGGAACTCCAGGCCAGCCACAGCAGGTTCAGCAGCAAGGCGTCGGTGCTATCCCCCCTCAACACCATCTTCATCAGTTCCATAGTGGAGGGGCGATGATGACTTCTCCTCAGCAGCAGATGGTGACTCAGCACCAGCAGCAGACTCCCAACATTCAGCAGTTCCAGCAACAACATCCTGGTGGTTTGCCTCCATACAACCCCAGACCACCTGGAGCATCTCCCCCCTACCAGTCCCTGGGAAAACCTGGAATGGGTTCAGCCACCCCACCCCAGCAGCAGCAGCAACCACCCAACCAGGGACAAGGGTCCATGTCTTTACAAGGCCAGCAGCAAGGTCCCCCTTTGGCTGCAGTGGAAACGGCCCTACAAATCCAACGCCTAGCGGAGACCCAGGCACAAAGGCGTGTCCCTGGGGGAGGTATGATACCCCCACATCCTCACCTCCAGAACAACCAGCCCCAGATGGGATTGTCCCCCATGGGGGCCCAGGGCATGGCTCCCCAGTCTCAGGGAGTTGGAAGGACTGTGTTAGATCCTCAGCAGCAGGGAATGCTAGCTGGAATGCAGCAAGGTGGGCCTCAGTCCCAGCTACCACCTCAAGTTCAGCAGCAGATAAGTGGTGGACAGCTGCAGCCAACGAGCCAGCAGTGGGGTCCTGGGGGTCCAAATATGAACCCACAACAAAGGACAGGCCTAATGGGTCCCATGGCCCCACAGCAGTCAGCAGTGGCCCAGCAGCAGCAACCAGTAAATCCACAGCAGCCACAGGCAGGTAATCGCGGGTTGATGCAAGTCATTAATGTATCAGGAGGGTCAACGGGGGCACCTGGCTCAATAGCAGGGGCAGCTGGATCAGGAAACCTACCCCATGGAGCATTACAAGATCTCCTGAGAAAGCTTCGCTCTCCAAGCTCAGCCTTACAACAGCAGCAAGTTCTGCACATCCTCCGCTCCAACCCAACCCTCATGGCCGCCTTCATTCGGCAGAGAGCAGCCAGGTATCAAGGTGGTCAGGGAGGTCCTGGAGGACCAGGAGGACCCCCACCAGGAGGTGTAAGGTTCCCAGGAGCTGCTGGTGGATTACCTGGTATGGGGGGGCCTGGTGCCAACCAGCTTGCTAATTTGGACAGCCAACAGCAGGTCAGTGTAAACCAGCCAGGTCAGCCGGGAATGAGTCTAGCTCAGGGGGGGGTTGGAGGGGCAAACATGCCCACCATGGCTCAACTTCAGCAGCTACAGCAACGTCCGATGCTACCCGGTAATCTGCAGCAACTGCAAATGGCGTTGCAGCAGCAGCAGCAGCAACAACAGCAACAGCAAGGAGGAATGCAACTAGGGCAACAAGGCAATGTGACGAACATGAGTCCTCAGCTCAGAGAGATATTTATGAGACGACACCTGTCTCAGCAGCACGGGCAGTTCCAGCAGCAGCAAGGCTTCATGCAGCCTGGCCAGGCACAGCCAGTGATGTCGCCCTCCTCTCAGCCCCAGCCTGTGGGTGGAGCTGTAGGTGTTCCCTCGCAGCAGCAGCAAGGAGGTCCACAGGTTGGGCCAGGTCAGCTCAGCCAGCAGCAAGTATACTCTAACTCAATGCAACAAGTAGCTGCAGCACTCCAGCAAAGGTTCCAGCATTCAGTGGGAGGTCATCAAGGCCAGGACGTCGGAGCAGGAGGACCCCAAGTCCAGCCTGGACAAGGTGGACCAGTGTCCGGGCAGCAGCAAGGAGGAGTTGGTGGGGGACCTCCGCTGCCACAGCCATCACAAAGCATGGGTCACCAGAACATCCATCAGAGGATCCTGCAACATCAGCACCTTGGCGGGGGCTCTCCTGCCCAGCACAGCAGTCCCATGAGTCCCCAACAACAGATGGCTCAGTCCCCACACCTCCAAGGTCAGGGAGGACTCGGGCCAGCAGGATCCCTCAGCAATCAGGTCAGGTCTCCTCAGCCCTCACCAAGGCCGCAGTCGCAGCCTCCACACTCCAGCCCGTCCCCACGCATGCAGCCCTCATCCCAGCCTCAGCCCTCGCCTCATCGCATTTCCCCTCAGACTCAGACGGGATCACCACACCCGGGTCACCTAGGTCAGCATCACCCCGCCATGGCCCCGCCTCAGCCTCCACAAGCTCAGCAAGCAGCTAGTTCTGTAGACACTAGTCAGTTCAGCTCCGACCCAAATTCTATCATGTCCCAGCTGAGTGGGATGCACGGAGGACAGGGTGGCCCTGGGGACATCCTGGGGGGTGAATAACGGCAGCAACAACAACCAGGAGCTTGGGATGAACATTAACCACAGCCTTCTGTAGCCTTGACTCCAAACGCTCATTCTGTCTTTATGCTCTGATCTTTTACTTTAAATTTTTTTGTCCCCAAAAACAACAAACTGCCATGAAAGAACAGAGCGAGATGGGGTCTTAGAAGTTTTTATTTTTATTTAAACATTTTTGTGATGTACAAATATGAACTGAAGCTTCCTTCCTATGGGAGATGTGATAATAATCTTAGAAGTCAATAAAATGATAAATTAAAACAATGGTAAGTTATTGCTGTTAATATATACCTATATATTTTTGCCAATTGTGTACAAAAAGGCAGAAGGGCAGTGTTTCTGGTGGAGATATTTCTTCCTTTAAATATACAACAATATTTTTAGGGACTGAGAATTTTGCCTTTTTATGAAGATTTTTAGGATTTCAAATGTGGGTAAAAATGAAAGTGAGTTGACGATGTATCATTTTATATCTATAAATATAGTTTTTCCTCAGACACCCTGTCATGATTGTATCTATTATGTGTGTTTATTTTCTATTTTTATTTTTGTTCCCTTAATGAAATTATAAACAAGCATCAACATATCTTCCATCACAGCAGATTTCTTCTGGAGCGTTTTCACAGACAGAAACTCTTTTACACGCGACTGCAGCCTTTTTCATTTGTGTGTTTATTTAAAAGTTTCCTTTCTGCCATACATGTAGAATGGGTATCTTGTGATTAACCACCTTAAAAGACAAACACGAGGGGATTAACAGTCAAGTCCTATTCTAGCTGTCGGTTGCATGTTGCCCATACTGCGCTGGCTCATGTTCTTTTGTACATATGTTTAAGCTGCAACACGTGGCCGACTGTTTTTATTTGGTTTAGTAATGTTTTTAAATCCTGCCTGTATTCTAACGTTTTTTTCTTTACATCCTCATGTCTGCCTCTCTGCCACTTGTTTTAATTTAATGTTAGCACTGTACAAATTAGAAAATGTTGGACTTGGGTTTTGTTTGTAAAGAAAACTATGGATCTAAAGGTGTGTACATACTCGAACAGGACTCTGCTCCTTTCCCCTCCTCCATTGAACATGTGTGTGTGTGTGTGTGTGTGTGTGTGTGTGTGTGTGTGTGTGTGTGTGTGTGTGTGTGTGTGTGTGTGTGTGTGTGTGTGTGTGTGTGTGTGTGTGTGTGTGTATAAACTACAGAAGTGCTCCTGAGCTACTGTACAGTATTCAGATTTTTTTTTTAATTGTTTCTAAAATGTACAGTGTGGGGTGTAGTAGGTCACGAGCACCAATGCGCCTTTTTTCCAGTGTGTTTTTGACAAAAAGGTTTCTTTTTGGGGGAGGGGTGTTTCAATCGCCCTCAAAAGCTTACGACGCAGAATCTGCACAAAACGGAGCCGAAGCGAGGGTCGACTGATTAAAAACTTTGGTTATTTAGCTTTTTACGGAGAGGACTGAAGACACGATGTTCACATTGCTCACTATTTTTGTTCCCGATAAAGTTGGACTCGCTGGGTATGTTTTTCGAGGGTGGGGAGGGGACACATCAAAACCAGGTTGCAATATATCTTGAGACTTATTTTATAAGAAAACAAGGATAAAAACTGTCTTTTATATATATAGATATATTATTTAATTTTATTTTTTGGAAATAAAACTTGAAGCTACAGGAATTATTAGATAAAAATGTTTTCTTTTTGTATTAAAAAGGTGTTATAGAAATACAAAAAGACACTGCAGACAGTTATTGGGGTTTGCCCTGGAGAGGCTGTGGAGTTCATCCTTTACATGAAATGTTTTCTGTACATGAATATTGATGTAAACATACTGAATCACTGTACAAACTGATGGCAACTGAACAAAAAGGTTTGTTTTTTCCATTTCTTAAAGAGAGACTGGAAATAAGACTATTTAAATATTTGTTTAGTATTCAAATGGAATCACTGACCACTTTGTTTTGTTTCTCGTAACATTTTCGGTGCTTGCTGAGATGATGCAAAAATAACCGTTGCTCCATTTTCATTAGTTTCTTTTTATAAGTTATTTTGGTGGACTTTTTTTCCTTTTCTTGCCAATAAATTAATTGTACAATAAAGTATGTTTGTACCATTGGAAAAAATTAACTAGTTGTCTTTTGTCCTCAATATCTTTACGTGTATAACTGGAAAAACAATCGGAAAAGTTTCTGCTTTTACAATTTTGGGTACATCTGCTTCATAATGGAAAAATCTAAATCTTATTGTTTTACATGTTTAAGTTGTAACGCTATCCAGAGATAAAATTCTAAGGAAAACAAAGGACACTAATTTACATCAGCAGATTGTAAAGTTGCTGATGTATAATAATATTTATAACCATGACGTCCCGTCAAGGTTGAAAAAAAGTTCCAAAATGAAAGTTGAACTCGTGTCTTTTCTGGTCGTGCATTCAACCTTTCCACGTGTCACACTTGTACGTTTAATGACCATCAGTGGGTGTCATTACTGTACAATAATACAGTACACAGCAATACATATTACTATAAAAATAAAATTATAAGTGACATCTGAACCAGCATCTGGTATGGCCCAGCCTGGATTCAAACCCAGGTGCTTTACTAGTTGAGCTATCCACGATTTGACATTTGAAAACTGATAAATATCCAGCTTCTTCTCTACTAGAGGAGTTTGTGCTCCGCCCAGTGGCATTGTGACGTAACAAATCCAGTAAGTTTTACGTAGAATTTTTTTTCCGTCTGCTATTGATTCACAGCAATTTCAATGCAGAAATACTCAAAAATGCAATTTTGAGCTTACATTTCTGTAGCATAATAAAAATGCTTCAAGAATATGTTAAAAACAGAAAAACACGATTTTAATTAGAGTGGGTCTTTAAGTATAAATTAGGACAAACTAATCACACAGGATGTCAGGCCTACTTAGGGAGAACATGTATATTACTGAAACATTTAGTTTAAAACCCTTATAAAAAGCAACTAATCATTAAACTTGATTTTGTGCTCTATTGAAAACATGGACAGTGTTGCTAAAATAGCAGAGAAGAGCTGCTACAGGAGCCCAGATGTCCATACAAGGAGTCGGAGGGCATAAAATGTGTTTTTAGGAGTGCCAATTCTTGCTAATTGAACCATATGGACAATATGTCTCAAGATCAGCGGGCATAATAGTGGCATATTTTTGCTGCCGCTTGTGTTTTGCCCTTGATCTGCAATCTTTTCCTATGTTTTTTTAACTGCCACTATCACACAAGCTGAAAGTCTACCACATTCAAAAAGCATGACAAAATCAGAGCATGCCTGCAAAGCCAAATGTGACTAAAATATTTTAATAACTTCTTGTCAACATTGTTTTAGTGATCGACTAAAGCTGAAATCTAAATTCAAATACAGATTAGATTAATTACACAGCCCAATTTTCAGGTCTATTTACTGCTGCAAACGCCGTGCTGAGAATGAGCTCACTGAGATCATTATAAACATGTGCAACATTTATTGAGTGTTACCATAGAAACAGTCTATGCAACAACAACACTTCATAGACTGGAGCAGGTAATGTGCAAGGTTACATCACGATAAAGTGCAAGGTTCTGCGCTCAGTGTTGGACAGAAGCAGCACAAGCGACAACATCAGAGAACATCAAGCCCAGCGTGCTTGTTTTATCTGGTCAGGACATTAATACTGTGTGTGGCATCGGGTCAGTAGTTTTATCAAACTGTACAAAAAACCTGTTCAGTCGTCTGTGAGACAAACACACATAATACATATACTTTCAGGTCAATGTAGAAAAATAACATAAAAGATTGTTTCCCATTAATATCCTCTTACCTTTTCATCATTTTAATGTCTCAGTATTAATAAAATCAGAGGAGAGTGCAAAAGTTGGGGAAGAAAAAAACTGTTACACTCATGGTGTGTGTGTGTGTGTGTGTGTGTGTGTGTGTGTGTGTGTGTGTGTAAGTGAAACACCTTTAAAACTCCACACAGAAACAAAAATCATCAGGCACTTCCATTCCCCGCAGCTTCACTGCCACACAGCTGGATTCAGCCTCATGAGATGCTGACCCGTTATCATCAGTGACAAACAACACGTGGCCCGAAATATCACTCCGGGAGTGTTCTCTGGGGGGCCGGCAGAGTCTAACCAAAGCACTAGCTTCATTTAGTCATTTTTATTTGTTTCCATCTTACATCTAATACACGATGTGTGAGTATATCTATGCTTCCATGACAACCAAGCTAACTGGTCCACCTCAGGAGGGTTTTGCAACAATCAAGAGAGGCACCTGGCTGCAGACCTCCACTGTCAGGATGACTGCCACTGTCAGGACGGGAAATGCACGGGATACATTACAAAATAAAACGGCAAACGTACTTACCATCCTTCAGTTCTTTTTAAAACACAGAAAAGGTTTATTTACCTGCAACGTTTCGTTTGCGGCTGCAATGGCTGATGCCGATGGTGGCGTCACTTCCTTCGTTTCTGGCCCTCTGCTGCCCACTCTCCCCTCTCCGATGATGCAGTCCCATGTGCGTTCCAACGTGTAAACTCCATCATCCCTGTTCATGGTCCCACATCCACGTCTCCTTATCTCGATTGCTTCTTTTATCCATCTTTTGTATTTCTGTTGTTTGGTGTTTATGATCCTTGTGTTGTCCCAGTCCATTACATGGTTTTCTCTTGTGCAGTGATCTGTTACAGCTGATTTCTTTATTGTGCTTTCTGCTTCTTCTTTTGCTGCTCTTGTGTGTTTTCGACTTGCCTCTTTTTCGCACTCCTTTCTATGTTCTGTTGTTCGTGTGCTGAGTTGGCGTCCGGTTTCTCCTATGTATGTTTTATTGCAGAGTTTGCATGGGATTTTGTAAATGACTCCACATTTGTGTCCAGCTGGTATCTTGTCTTTTGGGTGCACTAGTCTGTTTCTAACTGTTGTGTATGGTTTTGTTGGTGTGTTTATGTTGTGTTTTTTCATTGTTGCTCTTATTTTTTTGGTTATGCCTTTGATATATGGTAGGGTTATCACTGGTTTTGGTTCTTGTCTTTCTGGGTTTCTGGTTCTTTGCTTTGGTTGTTTTTTTCTTTCTGTTGTTTGTTTTCTTTTGTTTATTGCCCATGTCGGGTCTTTAAAGCGTGTTGTATGTGTCTGTTCTCTTGTTTACGGTCTCTTTCTTCTGTTACCATGTTTGCTCGGTGATATAATGTTCTGATTACTGACATTTTGTGTATGGTGGGGTGTTCTGATGTCCATAATAGATATTGGTCTGTGTGTGTTGGTTTCCTGTATGTGTTTATGTTTAGGGTCCCGTCGGTCTGCCTGGCTATTTTCATGTCCATAAATGCTATGCTGCCTTCTGTTTCTGACTCATAAGTGAACTTTATGTTGCCTGTGTCGTCAATGTTATTCAAGTGTTGTGTTAGTGTTTCTGTTTGTCCTTTTGGTATGATTTCCAGTATGTCGTCTACGTAGCGTTTCCATAGTTTCATTTTGCAGTTTGGGGGGGCAGTGGCTATGGCTTTTTGCTCTAGGTCTTCCATGAAAAACTCGCACAGGGTGGCTGATAGCGGGTTACCCATGGCGAAGCCTTCCAGTTGTTTGTATATTGCGTCATCGTATGTGAAGTAAGTGGAGTTAGCTACCAGTCCTATCAGTTGTGCTATGTCATCTGCTGTGAGGTTTGTTCTTTTGTGTAAAGTCTTGTCCTGTCTCATTCTGTTAACTACTATGTCTATGGTTTTTTGGGTTGGTGTTTTTGTGAACAGGGATGTGACGTCATGTGAGATGAGTATGTCGTTGTCTTCTATTGTAATCTCCTTTAATTCTTTTGCCAATTCTATGCTATTTTTGCAGTGTTGATCTGTGTTACCTAATAACGGGCTGATGATTTTGCTGATTACTCTTGCCATGTTGGATGTGAGACCATGAACACGGACGATGGAGTTTACTTGTTGGATCGCACATGGGACAGCATCATCGGAGAGGGGAGAGCGGGCAGCAGAGGGCGACAACGTCCTCTGCTGCCCGCTGATAAACGAAGGAAGTGACGCCACCATTGGCGTCAGCCTGATAATGTTTGCAGCCGCAAACGAAACGTTGCAGGTAAATAAACCTTTTCTGTGTTTTAAAAAGAACTGAATGATGGAATTTGAAACTAAACACAGCAAGAACACACCAAAAACGTACTTAAGCTTGTAATTGATACTTTCAATATAAAATATTACGTAAAATATATCAATTATTTCTCTATAGTTCATATGTAGTTGTCATTTAACACACTTTTGGTTGCGATTTTTCAAAATGAATTAACGAATGGCCGGGATAGGTTTCAACATAAAACGCTAACATACACCAACATACTTCCGGTCGTCATATTTCTAAATAAAATCCCAAATGCTGTTTTGGTTGAGTCGCTCTCCTCAGAAACGCATTCATTTTTTAATATTACGTCTTAGATTATGACAGAATATATCATAATGACCAAGTTGTGCAACAGTAAAGGAAAACACACAACAAAATGACAAACAAAGCTAAGGTTTACTAAATAAATGACAACTATATATGAAATATAGACAAATAATTGATAGATTTTACATAATCTTTTATATTGAAACCTATCAATTACAAGCGTAAGTATGTTTGCCGTTTATTTTGTAATGCATCCCATGCATTTCCCGTCCTGACCGTCCTGACAGTGGAGCCTCCACCGGATGCAGCCTGACAGTGGAGGTCTGCAGCCAGGTGCTCTCAACAATCAACCATCAGCTCTCCACCACGGTGCTGACAGCTGGGATCAGCTGTGATATTTGGTTTGCACCAAATATGGTGCTGTGCATTATGGGTAATCATCTATTCATTTTATAACACTTCTCAAACTGATAGGTGGCTAGAGTTAGTTCCCAAAGGTCATTGGCATTGTGTTAACACAAGCCTGTATGCTCCAGACCAGCAAATACTCTTGCTCTCATGGAAATAGTCACAGTAATAATTCCCCGACTGCTCCTTAGCTTAGTGTTTGTTAAAGAATACAGCTCAATTTTGAGATCTTGACTAAAACTACTTACCAGAACTGAGTTTCTTTTAACTCTGCCGGTCACTCCCCATTACAAAACAAAACTCCCCTGCAGTACAACTACAGTGCAATTCATGATACATTCTTTAATGTAGTTCCAGAGATTGGGGACAGCTTTAGGTTTTGAGATGGAGATCCGGCAGTAAAGGGGTTACCTGTACTAGAAGAGAGAAGGCATGCAGGCGGATCAAATCGTGTCTCGGAGGACTTTGAAACGCGTACAAAACTAAGCCACACGTCGTACGGTAGTAACAGTCTAAATGGTTACAGGTACAGCTCTATGTGTTAGGGCGGCTCCGCCCACCTCACTGTGGTTTGAAGTATGTACAATATGTCTGGTTAGGTTGGGGTGGAAGAAAGAGAACAACCGGTGGTTGCGTTTACATGCACAGAGGACTCAACTACACCGTTCAGATGTGGAGATGAATAAAACTCAACGTCTATTATACAGCGCAAACATGAAGAGGTAAGCTTTAAAATTCAGGAACAGAAAACTATCGATAACTTGTCCAGTTCTTTGAAGGTTTTGTGACGGATTAAACGGACGTCTCCATCGTAGTTATGTATCTTCAGTGATATACAAGGAGGACAACGTCTCTCCACCAGAATAAACTTTTAAAGCATGTTCTATTTAATCTGTCTGGTGTGGCAACACCAGCTGGAAAACATTAGGAGCACTAAAGGTCTAAACAAATATATGTCATCTTTCAAGCCAGTTTTAAACTCTGTATGGAGAAAATGATGGAGTTTTACCCATTTTGAACAAACGCTGAAACAACAAACTCTTGTGTGATCTCTTACCATCCAAAGTATGTGTAGCAACTGCTATTCTTAGCTATGATGATACCAAGGGGTGGGCTACATCTGTGAAAGTGACAGGGTTCTGGCTAAGGCTGATTAGTGGGACCCAGTTCTGGAGCCAAAACAAAAGTGGCAAGATGCAGTTCCACCCTTCTCCACTGGGGGCTGGCACCAGAAGTGAGCAAATCCTCATTGACTTCCATGTTAAAAAATGCCATTTTCACAGCAGAAATAAGCATGTTTACAGTCTGGTTCAAAAAAACATTTTAGGTTCAATAGATCTAGTTCACTGTAATGACAACTCTGAGGGGGGTGAATGTTTTTGTAATTCTTCAGTTCAGGTGCAATTAAATGCTTGAAATTACGAATAATTAGGTTTGATTGACAGGAAGCATGAGTGTCAAAGCTAGGGCTAGCAGCTAGCTCCGGGAATGCCTCACTGGGCCTCATGTTAATTCATGTTCGGTCATTTCAAACTTTAGCTGTGCCCTCTGCGTGTTCGTGTTTGGATGTTAATCATGGAGTTATTTGTACAAAGGGGGCAAGCTGTGGTATTGATAGCACTAAAAAGTCATCCAAGAAGTCTCTGCTACATTTTTATCAATAAGTAAAATTATGTTTCTGTACTTAATTTCACTGGTTGAACTCCATTAACTTTGGGTTAGCATGTTCCGATCACAGCGATCTGAAGCTCTTCTTGTATTTTAGCAGTCCATATTAGAGCTCCAAAGGTGAACAGCATGACTACAGCCTTGCACAGAAGCCAGGCGACGGCTCGGCTGCCCTGGAGCTCCTAGCTCTGTCTTAGCTTTGGGGGTTAGCTCAGTTAGATAGTAGCTACAATGGTTCATTTGCTCTCTCCCTCACAGCCCCACTGTCAGCTCTACCCCTTTACCCACTTTTGGATTGTCTGGGCGTAATGGGACGTGTGACACGGTCAAGATGGCGGTGGTGGGAACCGCCTTTTTGGCTTCACAAGACAAGAAAAGACAGAAATGGCCACGGTCTGTCCATTATTTATGTCTATGGTTCAACTTCACATTTCATGGAGGACTAGAGTCACAGTCCTGCTAACTAGAACAGATTGTCTACTAAAGCCCGCCTTTAAATGTGGTCTTCTGTTAAATTGGATTTAAATGAAAAGATACTCACTGGATGTACCTCTGCTGCTTTGGGATCACATGGAAATGTTTCAGGACTCCGGCAGGCTGATGGTTGTTTAAATATTACTGACACGTGCTGGAGCTGTGTTCTGGGTCCTTGCCCTGTTATAAAGTGAAATTGGACCCATTCAGGTAAAGGAGATGGAACGGAAATTTAATCAAATTAATCCTTAGATTTGTAATGATTCAAGATGGCCTCCACACCCAACTAACCTTAGCCATTACATAAATGTCCAGAACTCCTTCAGTCTGGTGGATAAGATGTTAAAATTTGGCTTTGTTGTAGCCGAAAGTCCCCTTTAACACATATTCCAAGTCCTACACATTGTGTGAGATCTTTGGTTCAACCTTTGGCACTAAGTGTGGAAGTTAACCTGTCTTGTCTGGTAACAACACATCTCATGAAATACTGGACTGGTTTAAATTAAACTCTGAATTAATGAATAGTTGTACATACAACTGATTCACTTTTCAGTTAATCCAGATAAACATTAGCAAGCATAAAAATGGCTACAAATCAGTTAGTTTTACAGAAATTAAGCTACAGTTTGATGTGTTTATGGCTGAGACTCATTGAAAACACGCTGCATGAGATCACATAATGGCTTGGTTTCCCAGGATCTCACTAAAACAACTATAACTCCATCATTTGTCAATGTTAGATTCACATCCACCACAATAGCAGGTGATCTGGTGTGTCTGACATTCAGGTGACTGTGCATGTAAACGTACCACCCACCGAGCCGAAAGAGCACACTGAGGGGAACTGCAGAAGGAACCAAACCCCCAGTCCTGATCCCAGACCAGCGCTCACACACTCTGCTTCCCTTTCACAGCGTCCTCGCTGCTAATAAGCTCCCTCGTCACTGCTGCCAGACCTCCAGGCCCCAGTTTCTGAAGAAGCCTTTGGCCACTCTCGACTCTCTGAACGTCACTGTGAGGGAGTTGAGGGTGACGTCTGTGACTGTCACCTCTCCCGGACCGGCGATGGGTCTCCACGGTTTTTCCGATGCAGCATTAGTGTCTGTTTGAGCAGCGGTGTTCCAGCTATCCGTCACATCCTGTCCTGTGTGAGACAGGAACACAGAGAGAGCTAATTCTTCGTGTTAATAAAGGAGGGGATTCACTTTATGACACATGATAATTATTGGGGTTAACATAGAAAATAGTTTATTTCAGCGTCAACAGTCAGACCAGCTGCTGTCAGGTTATGCTAGACTCTTTAAGCTGAAACTTTATTTCTACATAGGTAGCAGAGCAAACATCTGGTTCTCTTGCTCAGGATCAGGTAGGGCTTTGGCTCCATGGCTGTTTGAGGGGGGTTGAAGGTCCACAGAGTTAAAACTGGGTCAGGACAGTGATTAGATTTATCTGAGTGAGAATACCATTTAAGATGCTTTCACTCGTCTGTTTCTCCTCCTGCTCATCTTCTTCCTCCTCCTCATCCCAGTCTTCTTGTGAAGAACTTGACGGGGTTGAGTCAAAGCATCGGTTCCGTGACCTCGTCTTTTTGCTTTTATGATGTACAGTTCGCGACCTCAGCCTGCAGGCCACCCATGTTTCATCGTCGTTGTCGTCGTGATCCAGGGAGCGTGTTAGGGAGAGACGGAGGCGAGGCGAAGGTTTGGAGGGAATCTTGTGAGCGCTGCGTAGATCCATGGTGTAAACAGTGCTCTGAAACCAACAAAAAACACTTAAAATGACTGCAACATCATCCATGGACAGAGAGTTGTTTTATACCTGCTCCAGACTTTACCTGCAAGAGGAGTTTCTTTGCTTTGGCACCTTTCTTCCTGTGGCCAACAACTCTGTCCTTCTCTTCTCTGGAAAATCCCAAACCGACCATTAGGGAGCGGGCAACACCCAACCACACAGGTCACATGTTGAGTCCTTCTGCATGTGTTAGGGTGCTGCAGGGCAGTGCTCTGCCATATCTAGCACCATTACTACACAGGCGTGTCCCCTCTCGGGCCCTTCGTTCTGCTGAGCAGGAGCTGCTGGAAGTCCCACGTTTTAGACTGAGATCATAGCGGACCGGACCTTCTCAGTAATGGTACCAACCCTTTGAAACGAGCTCCCTCTGGCAGTAAAGCAGGCTCCATCTTTTCAGGTGTTTAAGTCTAGCTTGAAAACCAATTTTTACTCGTTAGCTTTCCCCCAATATGATCTTTGACACTGGTTGTTTTCTATTTAGCCTTGCTTTTAATGCTCACACCTGTGTTTAGCTATATCTTGTTCTTATGCTATGTGAATCCTGCTTTTATGTTTTTATAAAACGTTGCACCTTTGGCTTTCGTTACGGTTGTAGGTGCTGCACAAATGAAATTTGACTGATTGTTTGAGATCTTGTGACTGAGTGGTAGAGTGTTGAGTCATCATTTCCTCATGATTTTACATACAGTACAGTTGTGCTCCATTCTGCAGCAGCACAACTTTCCTGTGTTCAGACATGTCAGGTATTTAAGGACAGGGGAGACTTACTTCTCCTCAAAGGCCTGCACCAGGCGCCGGTCCAGAATGTGTTCCTCAGGCTCCCAGGTGCTGTACCTGTGGCACAAGAAGGTACAAATAATTATATGTTATACTAAATCTAAAATAGCTGGATAATTTGCAGTCGACATCAGCCGGAGTCACATATTTGTACCAGGAATACTGACTTGGGTTCACACCCTGGCTTCATCTTCTAACATCAAAGCAAAAAGTATCATCTTCTGAAAGATGTCTCTCATTCATTCATTACAGCAACCTGCTGGACCAAACCCTCTTCTGCCCACTGGTGGTGTATGAAGAACGTTGCACCATAAAACGATGTAGTTGTGTTATATTAATAGTGTTTTATCATTTACATTAACATTTTGCTTGTCTGATCATTTTAAAATGTATCGTCATTTTAAGGATACATCTATTTTATGACATTTTGACTTGCAGAAGTACAGAAAGCAAGGATGTGTTTACAAGGGCTGCATTCCATTTACAGAAAGTGTGGCTCCATGTATTTGCATGGGTGGAATGCAGCCCTGGTTAATACATCTGGGCTTTCCCAGCTAACGCAGGTCAAAATGTCTTTTTGTTTTTGAGAAGGAAGTGTGTAAATATAATAGGGATGGACAATATATCGGCATCAATATCGGTATCGGCCGATGTTAGTCATTTTTTAACATATCGGTATCGGTTTGATAAATAAAACTGGGCTGATTTTAACAACCAATATGTTTTCCATCTTGTCTCTAATTGTTTGCCTGTCTCAGAGGGTGAGGGGTGGGGGGGTGGGGTGGGGGTCACTGATTTAGTCAGTATATCAATATTGGCAAATATCGGTTATCGGCCATAACAGTGATCTCAATATCGGACATCGGTATCGGCCCAAACATTTCATATAAACATTCTATCCTTAAATGTATGTAAAATCAGAACAAACACTTAAAAAACCATTAGAGTGGGAAACTGTCCAGTTAATTCTAAAAGTAAGATAATGGTGATGTCAATGTTTCTGGGACAACTTTATCTACTTTAAAGTGGCACGTAGCAGGACAGCTAACAGCAATAGAAGCGCTAAAGCCGGGGCCACATTACACGTCTCAAAGGACTACCTGTCACACTGCAAGGAAAAGATAGGTGGACCTCTATGTGGTCCAAGACTACAGTCAGCCAAACCACATGGCGTCTCGCTCTAGGACACACTAATTAAGCGCCTAGTGATTTTTATCTTGAGAGGCGTAATAGAAATGACATTTTCTTCTTTTTCTTCTTCTAATGCCGAGAGTATACTTGCCGTCACCAAAAGCCGACAGATACCCAAAACAACGATTAAAAAGAGAAAATGCGCTGGCGTCAACACTTCTTGCACGAGACTCCAAAAAGGGAGTGGACCACATGTTCCAACGTGTGGCCTCCACTGTTGCTAATGTTGCTGATGCTACTCTTGCGTTGTGCACTCATCTGCATCATTCCCTGAGTGTACTTTCAATGATTAATTGCAGACCAGAGTCGTAGGTTTTCTGAAACAGCTTGAAGACTGTTGGAAGCTAAATTTGGTCATGAGAGCGATCAATAAGCTGTCGCTGTGTCGGTCTCACTGAACAACCACAGACCTACAAACCATCCGTGTCACGCTCACCGTTTTTTTGTCACAGCTATGTTCACAATGAAATATTTATGTATGGGATCCTGTATGAATTGTTGGTTGTTAGTCTTAAAAAACAATTTCAGTTAAATATACCATGAAACACACACAGTGATATTTAAGGAGTGAAACCAAGATTACAGGATTTACAGAAATGTGCAATAATGACTTAAACAAGGTTAGGCAGGTGCATATCATGACGATTAAGAAGGCTGCCCAAACTTTCGCATCCCACTGGTTTATAAATTTTGTGTTTATATTATAAACAACATAATGTGAGAATAATAATGGCAAAACAATGTGTTTTAGCATTGTCACCCAACTAGAGATGCATAATCCCAGTAGTAAGGAGAGCGGCTTAAAGGTCCCATGTGTGAAATCCATTGGAATCATGATTTAAAAAATGCGACTCTAGCGCCACGCAGTTCAGACAAGGTATTGCAGCTACGGTGGCCCACTCATGAGCTTGATCCATCGACTTGATCGTATAATCAGTTTCAAATCTTTCTAGCCTAACCCACACAAAGTATATAACTACTGAACCAGCTTAAAAAACAGCTATAATTATGACTGTTTAATCAACCTACCAGTCCTGAAGGAAGCAAGCTAGTTCTGTTAGATCTTGAAGCTCTTATGACTCACACACGGAGGAGGGGTGACGTCAGCTGGGAGGTCAGGTGTTGTGAGAAATTGTGCTTCCCTAAAATATTCTGCCACCCCCCCCTCCGTGTCGGGAGGTCGCACTTCAGGCTATCGTCACAATATTTGTGATTGACTTTTACGAGAAAATGATGCAATGTAATAATGTCATGCTTGTGCTGCTTTTATATAAGAAGAAGAAAATATCATTTCTATAGCGCCTCTCAAGATAAAAATCACGAGGCGCTTATATCCAAATGTCCTCCTAAAAACAATAAAAAAGGTACAGTAAAAACATTCCTGTTCACTCTTTACAAGCTTATTTATTGTTTTAAAAGTTATGTAAAAGGATGTAATCTCGCTCAGTTTAACTATCTATTATTCAAGGTTATTAAGTCCTCATAATGGACAATAAATTCTGTTAATTTGGAAATATTTGCTCTTGACTGCCTATAGGAAACTGAATATTTCAGGGGAACGTAATTTCCCACAACACCTGTTTCACATGGATGAGAGCAGCTTTGTAAACAAGCTGGCTACCTGCTAACGGATATGGAAAAAGAAAGAAACAATCTTTTATGGAGTGATCACTGACCGCGCCATGGCTGGTGAAGGAGGGTTGGCGAGCCGGGGAAACACCGTGGAGTTGAAGTAAACAATGCTGACTTTTAGCCACCAGCTAATCCGGGGACACACTGTGTATGCGGTTTGTAAACACGGATTACCAGCCGAAGGTGAACCATGTCCAAAGTTAACATTTGAGAAGAAGCCCTTGGAGAAGTACGTCATCTCTAACGCGTGGAGAACTACATCACTGTTCGTAATGTGTTTGTGGAAATCAAGTAAGCAATGCTGATTTAGCCACTGGCTAGCGGACGAGCGCTGGAGTGTGTTGGGAGAGACGGCAGGCTGCGGGAACGGACAGAACAAAAGCACAAAAGAAAGAAGAATTGAGTTGAAGGAATTTGGAACCGACACGTTGGGACGAGATCGGGGGTTCTGGTATGAAGAAAAGATGAATGAGCAACTTGAGGTGAGTTAGGGAGTCAGGGGGACACCACTCGAAGGCTGGTGTCCAGCTAATAGCGGGCGGGGATCTTAACATATACGGCTTCCGGACATGATGACGGCCTCACAAACTTCATGTGTTTTTCAATTTAATTGTTTATTATTCAAACTAACAAGTACAGCAACGCTGTAGCTGTTCTTTTCTACTTCTTAGTTGAATTAGCAGACTCCATGCTTCCAGGATGCACTGCTGCCCTCTGCTGGTTATTTCAGATTACAGCCATAGTCCAAAAGCACAAAGCTGAGCTCGTATGTCCCTCAACAGCTACTGTATTTCAAGATGGTGGATGACCATGGAGCGTCGACCACAGTTTATGCATTTAAACATGTAAAATTTCAAGCTGAGAAGAATCTTTAGAAGTGATGTTGGTGAGAAATATTAATTAAAAAGGACAAGTTTGTAAACTGGAAACACGGGATTTGTAGTAAACAGGTAAAAATGTCACACACCGGGGCTTTAAAGGGAGTTGTAACCTTTTAGAAACACCCAAGCATTATGCATGATTTCATGTGCCAATCTAAATATATAGCATGTTTATATGATCAAATCCAATAAAAGATTTTGGACATCTGCACATACTCACTTTGGCGGCCACCCTTTCCACTTTAGCAGATACTCCACGTTCCCCTGAGGAGAAAACATGCAGGAGCTTCAGACAGGGAGGTTTGTCACAGAATCAGCTACTTTTACAAAGATAAACAGCCAAACACAAGGAGAAGAGTCTAAAACATGTTCTAAACCACCTTTCATCTTGTGAATCCAAAGTGGAAACGATTAAGTTATTTTATTAGTTTATTGTGTTCATGTCCAAATATCCAACTGATCTAAGTGGTATTCAAACTTCTGGATGCAGCTGAATTTGGCTAATATCTGACCCCGTGAACACATTCAACCTGCATCTTGTTGCTGCTCAATAGGGTCGCCGTGGAGAGGTGCTGCTCTTCCATCAGACAATACGTGCTGTAGGGTTTAATAAAGCACTCACGCCTTCTTGATGACGTTAGTCAGCTACGGTCTCTAAGCTTCAAAAGGTATTCTCAGCAGGTGAAGTCACCACTTCCCATTTCTGCTATACTCATCCAGCTAGCTTAAAAAACATGTACTGAATGACTCAATATGTTGTTGGCCTTAAGACAAACATAGAGCATGTGAGTATTCTAACATGATGTTAGTTAGGTCACTATTACGTACACATGTTCCCTCATTCATATGGTAGCAACTCAGTGCTTTCGGACACCTAGCCGTGGAGAAGATGACTTGCTGAGCTTCAAGCCGGACGTTAGGATGAAGAAGAATTTAAAAGACTTCAAACAGCATGATTATTGGTGCCTGACGGACTGGTCTTAGTATGTCAGAACCAGCTAATCTTCTGGGATTTTCACCCACAACCATCACAAGAGTTTACAGAAAATGATCTGGAGATAATTTCCAGTACGCAGCAGTTGTGTGGATAAAAATGTGATGCGGTCAGACTGGTTTTAGATGATAAAAAGACAACAGCAGCTCTAATAACCACTGGTTCCTACCAAGATCTGCATCTCTAAACCACAACATGTAGGAGCCTGACTCAAGCACTAGACGAGCATACCAGGTGTCTCTCCTGTCAGCTGAGAACATAAATCTGAGGCTACAATTCACACAAGATCTCCGAACTTGACCAGAAGAAACTGGAAAACGTCTCCTAGTCTGATAAATCTGAATTCCAGCTGCAACATTCAAGATCCTTTTTTTGTCATTGCATAGGTGTACAATGACATTGAGTTTGCACTCATTAAACAGCTCACGTAAGGAGGTGGTAAAATGTAAGTAAAATAAAATAACAAGGCTAAAATAGATCTCTCTCTCTCTCTCTCTCTCTCCCTCTCTCTCTCTCTCTCACACACACACACACACACACACACACACACACACACACACACACACACACACACACACACACACACACACACACACACACACACACACACACACACACACACACACACACACACACACACACAGCCAGTTTAAGGTGCAAAAATGTTTAAAGTATAAAGTATAAAGATGGTCGGGTCAGACTTTGGTGTCACCAACATGAAAGCATGGATCCATCCTGCCTTGTATCAATGCTTCAGGCTGCTGCCGCTGGCGGTGTAACGGTGGTGGGGATGTTCTTGTCCCACTTTGAACTCCACAGTCGCCATATCTCAGTCCAGTCCAGAACCTTTGGGATGTGGTTGCAGGAGATATTCTCATCATGGGTGTACCTGTGTGATGCTCTCATGTCAATATGGACCAGAACCTTTGAGGAAGGATTCCTACACCTGGTTGGATCCATAACACAAAGAATTAAGGTGGTCCTGAAGGGAGTGATGGTCAGGCAAACGGAATCTCTTCATGTTTTTGAGTCTTCTTTTAAAGCTATTTTTTGCACTGGCTTCAGCTTGGTTCTAATTGTTGGTTTTTACAGTTCCTCTTTTTTGATTTGTTTGTACTTGTTTCTGTATTCTGGTGACAGGACTTCAGTTAGCTGTGTTCTTTTATAATAGGGTTTAAAATGGGCGAGAGTGGCACAGGAGTAAAGTGCTTGCCCCGTAATCGGACAGTTGCAGGTTCAAGCCCCACTCAGTCTGCCGCTGTTGTGTCCTTGGGCACTTAACTAGCCTGCTGGTGGTAGTCAGAGGGACTGGTGGCATCTGTGGACAGCAGACTCACCTGTCAGTGTGCGCCAGGGCAGCTGTGGCTACAATGTAGCTCATCACCACCAGGGTGTGAATGACTGATTGTGTTGTAAAGCACCTTGGGAGGGTTCCAGGATTCTAGAAGGTGCTATATCAAATACAGGCTATTTACCATATATACAGGTGGAATGGAATAGTCTGCGCAATACTACTAAGGTGTACCTAATAAAGTATAAAGTGGCTGGTGAGTGTATATCACATCACTGATAGAAGAGATGTTTAAATAGACCCTAGCATAAAGGTAATAATGTAGCCCAATTTGGACATTTTTGCTAGATGCAATACGATTTTAACATAAACTTTAAAGTGGCTAATAATAAAATGCTAACAAACATTTTTGTGTATATTTTAATTTAAACCCTGTGATCACAGCTCAGTCCTCTCTGCAGTTCATCAGTATAAATTAGATATGACATTAGCATGAGTATTTGTTTTGAAGGTTTCGTGCCTATCTTGTGCCTGGAGGCCCCCTTCACCCTAGCTACGCACCTGTACATGTAAACACAACATGGCATTGGACCCAAACCCAATAAGCTGTCAAGAGAGCCAGGCCCATCACGGCAGAGTTCGGGCTGGTAAGGTATCCGACTCCGCTGTAAGAACACCTGACGCCACAAGCTGTAGCGCAGTGACAACAGTCTCCACGTTACACCTCCCTAGCCCGCCCCCTTTAACAAACCTGCAGCTAGATAACCAGATTAAGTAAGAGCTGCGCTACTAATCTCCCCGTGCGTTCATTAGCATCCAAAGTAGCATTCTCCCCTCTACACCATCGTAAGCTGTTCATATCTCACCTTTCTAACTCTTTTCTTGACAATTGACTCCACAGCAAACACTTGCTCTCCTATGGCAGAGAGCTCCATCCCTGCGCGCGCCGCCGTGCGTCGGGGTTTTCACTATCAAAGTAAAGTCCTTCCTCTTCCTCACAAACCAGGCTAACGGTAACGACTTCTGACAGCGCCGCCCCGGCTCAGTCCGCTCCCTCCTCAACCCTCGAGGCGCCCAGCGTCACCCGCAGCTGACCCTTGCGGTTGGTCTCTCCGCGCCTCCAGTGACTTTACAAAATCTGCGACACATCTGTACACCGCTCCGCGCGCACTCATCCCCTGCGAGCGCGCGCGCGCTCTGAAAGATGAGTCAGCGCGCCCTCCTTATTGGACACCTAAGGATTTTGTAGTACTCTCCTCTCTAGGCTCACTTAAAGCAGCAGCATCGCTATCAGACTGTATTTATCAATGGAAACGGCGCGAGACCACCCATTTAACTGATTTACACCATTGTTTTATTATTATCCAGCCTTAAGATTAATGGTAACTTGGAAGAAGAAATGAAAGTGGTAAAGAAAAAAATCTTTAAATCACAAAATTGCCTTCCTAAGAAATTCTAGAAAATTCAACTTGACTAATTCTACAATTGTTAGCTCACATTAACAGAGAACATAAGGATATGTTTAACAGGCATTTCAGCCTTTGACTCATGCAAGAAAGGTGTTTTAAGAGGGGCTGCATTCCAATCTGAACAAGTCCTGGTTTTCCTTTAATCAGCAGGAGCAACTGTGGTTTGTGCCATACTAATTGAAGTTAAAACATCTGCCACAAACTAGACTGGTTCAAACAGCAAAATTCAGCATTCCAACTTTTCTAAAATGTAGTTCTCCCTTAATGGAAGCTAGCTCACTATCACTCCTCTTAAGGCCATATGATCTGTGTTGGTCTAATTAACGTGAGATGTTTGATCACATGCCTGTTGGTGCAACAATCTAATTTCACATTTATACACGTTAAAATATTGCAACATACTGTCAAACGCATTTAAAGTGTCATTATGAACATTTTATTGTCAAAGTGAAGTATGGTGACAATCTTAAAGACAAGTAAGGACTGCATGGATTGTCATGGCAATGAAGCTGAATGCTAATGTGCAACCAGAGTTATCGTGAGTTAAAGACTCCGTCAAACAGGTAGTCTAGTTTCACTTGAGTTAAGGTGAATAGTTCCATTCGGATGGAGAGTTAGGATTCTTGTTTAAATAATACGTGCACAACCAATACTGTTTGTTGAAACAAACAACATAACAAAAAGTCCTTGGCAGCACATGTAACACCCTCATTAAACATTTGCTTAAGATGTACGAATGCTTTGGATTGGAGCCAAACTTCACCTTCCTTCTCAGCCGTTCTGACCAAAACATTTCAATGTAAACATTTTAAGGCCAGTATTATTGTTGACAAACAGCACATATAATACAGTTTAAACATTTAAGCTGAGAACTGTTTCTAGCTACAAAACAAAATCTCTCATAAGGCCTGTTTGTCTCGGTGAAGATCCAGCGTGCCTTTATCTGCTGTCTTTGTGTCAGATCTTCTAGCAGACGTCCAGCCAGATCACTGTAGTCCTCCTTACACTGAAGCTTTACTAATTAGAGCCTGTTAATGAAAGCGAATGTCTTGACGGGACAGACAGTGACGTTCTCTCAGAGAGGAGTCCGACAGGTTTAGGACGAGACTCTTGGAGAACGAGGGGGTAAACCCCTTCTTCTGATGAATTCCTGTGCTACAAAGGGCTGCTGTCACGGGGAAGATTTGGACAAAAGGGAACACAACAAAACTATCAATTTATCTAAAACAATTAATAATAATAATAAAATAATATCAATGCAAGCCCCAAATAATTCAGATAACAAACAAAAGTTTCACTTAAAACAAACTATTACTTTCAAAGGAATTTCACAAGCTGACTACAATTCTTGTCGTACTACTCCAAAGACTTTTCAGGCTAATTAGCTTTTACATATCTAACTACATTTTCACTCACTCCCTGTCTAACCATGTTCACAAAAGGGAAACAACTGTAAGGAGTCCGATTCTTCCTAAACGTTAATCAGACCGCATCAATAACCAGTGGATGTCTCTGATCATTTCAACAAAAAGCTGCACGATAGAAGGGCTTTCTTTCTTTGTTAGGAGAGCTGAAGCAAGCATCCACTAGAGGGAGTACTTGGCCTGAGTGTTGCATTGCTGTGTTGCAATAGAAAACTTGTGTTGGCAAATATTCTACAGTAAAGGGTCAGCTCCTGTCAAAGGTGAGAGGGAAAGATGTGAAATACAAAGTTGGCAATGTGCTAAAGCACTCACTCTGGGTGGTGATATGAAAACGGAGATACGTGGACACTGATGAAATGAACGGCACACTTCAGTGAAAGTGACGATACAGTCAGAGAACCAGAAGAATGACGAGAAAAGAGACGAAAACCAACAGACACGTGAGAGAAAATCATGACTGAAGGAGTCAGGAGCCAGACAGATGAACTCAAGCTTCCTTTTATAAAGAGCCTAAACTCCCTCTGCTTTGGAAACTCGAGAAATTTAAGAACAAAAAATAAACAAGAAACAGAAAAATAGGCATCAATATGTATGAAAAAAACACAAGAAGGCAGGAAGAGAATATCATTAAACAAGTCTCAAGTGTGTTGTGAGAAAGGACTGTGATTGTTTGATTCTCCCTGTAAGCATCTGGCCTCCTCCTTCACTTTGTATCGCATATCAGATAAGGATTCAGCAGCAATGGCTGTGTAAACCAAATTCAAGAAAAGAGGCGTGGAGGGGAAAGAAATCCAGTGTGCATCCATCTGATTGGCTGTGCACAACACTGCTCCCTCTCTCGTGTTCTTTGTGATAGTCAGGCCCGTACGTCCCAATCGGGACTGTGATTGGCTGTTCAGAAGCTCTTAGCCATCCGACCGCCATGTTTGATGTGCTTCCACTTCTTCTGAGACAACTAACAGGAGTTCACAGTTCTTCCCTCGCAGCTGCTGGTGGAGAAACTTCCTGGATTTTTGGGTAGAAATCAAAGCAAACAGGGTAAATTGTTAGAATTGTGAAACAGTAACAAAACCCACAGCTGTTTTCACACCTGGAATGTTTAAGCTGTTTGAGTTGAACCCTGGTCACTTTCCCCTGTTGGTGTTGTTTGTTTGTGTAGGTGTGAACATAGTAAACTCACTAGGGTGCAGAACAAAACATAACAATCGCACAGAGACCCATTGGAAGAGGTTCCAGACATTCTAGTCTGAATGTGATCTGATTAGACTGAACTAAGGCACGTACGATGCCAATTTGAACAAATGCCTTCCCAAAGTCAGGCTGGGCTGCATTCTGGGATCCAGGGGGAAACCTGAAAGTGAAAGGAAGCCATTATATTTAACGAGAGTGGCTAAGGTTGATTTGATTTATTATTTATTTGGTTGTAAAATTGCACAGGGCACAATCAGAGAGAGAGAAAAAAGAGAGAAACAAGATAATCACAAAATCAACTTGTGATTCTTAACGTAAAAAGAGATAATAAACTTACTCATAGTTTATGATCGAAAGGGTTTAGGCTGAGATTTTACTTATTTAAGCATACACAACACGTACCCAATTTGATAAAAATATCTTGCAAATACTGACAGCAAAAGTTATACAGTGCATTTATAATATAAAATAAATGGAAACATAAACATCTATGTTGCTGTGAACTTCCACAAAATGTTGCATAATAATTATTTAGTCCCGTCCAGCAGTGCTGCAGGAGTGAGTGTAAAGTAAAAATGTGTCGCTCAGAGAGATAAATGATTATTTATCAGCGTGAGAAACTCGTTTCTAAACTATTTATTTACAACTGTCCCAGGCATTTTGTGCCACCTCTCTCCCCGCTTTCACAGCAAATGGAAGAGCGCTGCAACACAACACACATACACACTCTCTCCCGGTCTCATTGGCAGTCAGGGACACGCTGTGTGTGTGTGTGTGTGTGTGTGTGTGTGTGTGTGTGTGTGTGTGTGTGTGTGTTTGTAGCTCACTGCACTTGTGCATTTTGCCATATTTTAGCGGCTCAGGAGCCTGCGGGTACATCGTGTGTCACTCACTCAAGCTAATCTCAGAGAGCCGTTTAGTTCAGGACCGACACATCACTACCCTTTCCTAATGTCTGGAAAGACGGTCTGGAGCACAAGCGGAGTGTTTTGCTAACCTGCAGGAAATATTGATGACAGAAATCCAGAAAGTAGCTAAGGGTTATCAGAAATGTTTCTAGGTTGTTTACTATGTACTTTTGGGGGGGAGTCAAAGAAGGGTATCTGAAAAATGTTGGAAATAGCAACAAAGTAGATAAAAGTCGGCAGTGCTGTTGGGATGTGCAATCGATTTGCAACTCAGAATACACCACGAGGGAGGAGCTAATAATTGGCAAGTTTTGTTTTTATAATCGCTCAAAACTCTGACCTTAATTGGGATTAAAATTAAATTAATTGAGCAGCCCTAGTTCAGCATGCATGAAAAACTCAACAGTGACCAATTCTAATCAGAAATTAAATAAAAAATGGCTTTTTAGTGTTCCACACCTTTAACATTTCAAAGACATAAGATATGAAATCTGGATGTTCGATTTGGTGTTTTAATAACAGAAACCAGTTCCTAATGAAACGAGTAGAAGATGAATCATTAACTATCTGTGACTGAACACTAACTCAGAGAAATGTGAGCATCTGAGAATAAAGAACGCATGCCTAATAGGCTGGTCACAAGGGTGCCATGAGTCTGTTTGGTTTATGCCCCCCTGGTGCCTTATGCATTTGCTGAAAACACATTTTAAATAACTGCCATTGTATTTTGATGTTGATTTATTTAAAGGGACACCAAGAAGTTTTTAACACTTCAACCATTTCCTTTAAAAATGGGGTTCAGTGATCATGCTGGTAGAAACTTCACATGGGACAGCAGAAACAGCACTTAAAGGTGCAATAGCAAATTTGGAAAGCAAATTTGCCTAAAACATGTTTTTCATGCTTCTTAACAACATACTAACATAGTATAGCTATACAGGTACGGTAGAGATAAAAAATAAATAAATTAATTAAGTGGTTCCCTGGGATTTGTTACTAAACCTCCACCAATAACATGTTTCAGACCAAAAGCAACCATTGGACTATCAGGTTGACTGTCTTGACGAACCTCCCAGAGTCCTCCAGTGTTTCCCTTCCATAAGCTTTACCATGGTGCTGCACCACGGCTGAAATTCCAGCACCACTCCTACAAAACCCTGTTGTATTTTTTCCAATGGTGACATTGTTAATACTTCAACTGAACATGCGCTGCTTCCTGAGGAAGTAGCAGGAGCCACTCACCACACACGGGATTTCTGGTACAACGTTTGGATGGTAGGGTCAGAATTTAGCATCAACACCATGAAAGCACATATCCATCCTGCCTTGTATTAACGGTTCAGGCTGCTGGTGGTATAATGGTGTGGGGGACATTTTCTTGGCACACTTTGGGGCCCTTAGTATATATATATGTAACCAGGCGACTGTGGTCATGTTGAGATGAGGGTGTTTTGGAATTTATAACTGGAGGATATGAAATTACGGGCTGATGGTGACCTGGCTTTGTTGCTACTGGAACTGTAAGTAATTATTGTACAATAGTGTGGATCTTTATAATTGGTGGCTTAATTAGTAAGACTTGGCTCATGTTAGTGTTAGCTGTTCTTAGTGTGAGTACAGCAGACTGCTGCAGAGTTGTTTATAACAGTTCAATTTTCAAGCAGTAGGCTGGAGAAGCTTGAAACTAGGGCTGCAACAACGAATCGATAAATTCGATGAAAATCGATTACTAAAAGCGTTGGCAACGAATTGCGTCATCGATTCGTTGTGTCGCACAACTCTTCCAAAAGCGCCCCCCCCCCCCCCCCCCCTTCCCGCCCGCGTTGCGCGCAGACCAGAGCAAGTCAGATCAGCGCGAGGGAGAGCCGCAGATCAGCGTGAGGGAGAGCCAGTACCGGCAGATCAGGCGAGGGAGAGCCGGCAGACTTGCGCTGCTGCGAACCGGTTCCGCATTGTCGCGCAGCGATCCAGGCAGCTGCTTCCAGCGCACGGTCCATTCTCAAAGTGGCGCAACCAAAAAACTATAATTAGCACACGATCGTTCATGTCCGCACATGTTCTCTATTTTCTGTCTTATTTGTGCCTGAAGCGCGCTACTGCGGAGCTCATCACCTGTGCTGTGGTGATGTCACCTCACGCAGCATCGAAAACGCGCTCTGCGCTTTTCGGTCAGGAGATCCCTTTGATCTGCTCAAAAGTAACTGATGAGGTGAAAAGGTAAGAATCCAGGCAACAGATTTTCTGGAGAATTATGAGGAGATGCAGGAAGATGAGAGACAGACAGGACAGGAAAATAGTTAAATAAAAACAAGAAAACAAAACAAAGTGTTGAAAAGTCAAATGTAGGTAGATTTATCTCCACGACAAGTTTTTACCAGTAAAAAACAATAAGTTATACACATGTCATAATTATACATCTGATACAATTCAGATCACCTTCAAAACTCAGTCACACACCCAGGGCCGTTTCAAGACATTTTGGGGGCCAAGGCAAAATGCCCCCCCCCCCCCCCCCCCACCCCATAACTGGGCTCCCCAGAAGCCTCTGTGTAATTCATGCCCTCTCCAGTAGTGTTAGTTATACGGTGTTTATAAAAGCCCCTCAGACATTACTGACATGTTCTAATATTATCAGATGAAAAACTAAATTATCAGACATGCTGTCTCATCTGCTTCTTTTCTAAACTTGCAAAAAGTAACAAAACCATTTGAAAGCCACTATTTGTGGATTCTCTGAAAGTTTCCATGGAGTGTGTGACAACTTATTTTTTCATTGATCCTATCGTCTAATCTCACAGCTGAAACAAGCATCCTTAATCATCTGTGCACAGGAAGCTTACCGATGCTGTAGTAAAACAAAAGGTATAATAATTTATTATTAATAAAACCTTGTTGCAGCACTAAAGCAGAAAAATTAGATTTTGCATTAAATATGCAAAATATTTACATATGAATAGTTTTAGAGCCCTTTAATTGGCAGAATCTGATATTAATTTAGTTCTTACAAAAAATGGGTCCCAACATGGTTTGTGTGGCGTTGCCATAGTGTGACGTCATAGGCACAGATCCCCTGTCCTCTTGTTTGGAAATGGAAATATGGTCACCCTACATTAAACAAACTGTCCACCCGGGCTTTTGCGCTGCACAGAGACGCTTCGCTGCCTACGACTGAACGTCAGTTGAGAGTCAGTCTCATGCAGACTGACCAATGAAGAGAGGGCCTCAAGTTAAGACCCTCTCCTCATTGGTCAGTCCACACGAGGTGGGTCAAAGGTTACTCTGGGCGGGTTACGTGTTGTCAGGCATTCAAGTATTGAGTATATTTACTGCATATTACAGTAAAATATTCTGTATGTGACCACATTATGGTGATCCTTGGGTCGTGATGATGGAGCCCTTGAATATTGTTGCCCAGGGTACAACAAAGTGTTAATCTGGCCCTGGTTCCGCCGTCACATTCCCGCAGAAACTGGTTGATCACACCGGGGCCAGACTACTAGCATGTGGTTTTACAACCACAATGTCCTCAGAAGCAAAAACGCTTTTAAAAGGGAGGGAGGAGTCCTAACTGTTGCTGCAGGCGTGTTGTGTGAGAGTGCAGTTATATACTGGTTAATATATTTTTGGGTTCAGTTGCTTTCATGTGGCCTAATGTGAGTCTATTTGGGATCATTGGAATGATCAGCAGCATTTCTTGATGTGACTTTATTGCAGTTGCCCAGGGCATCATCGCAAGGAGGATGGCATTCATTTACTTTTGTTTTATTTGGTATTTTTTCAGTCAGTTTTGGAAATAGTGATCAATTTTGATTAATTCACAGCCTATGTTTAATTACATTTAAAATAAATGTGAACAGATGAGATCAAACAAAACAGATGAGAATTGCCCTTAAGCTGTTTAACTTGGACCAAGCATTTTAGGTCACAGATAGATGTAGCTTAGGGTCTCTGTCTATACACCTTATAAGACAATTTAGGTGATGGCATGTTGTTTTTCTGCTATTGAACTGTTTTCTAATAATGTTGTGTTAAATAAAGTGAAGGAAGGAGAGAAATAACGTTTCCCTAGCAGTTTTTAAAAATTTCCCCATGTAATCCGATTAATCGATTAATCGTGTCGAGACCCCATCCGATTAATCGATTATCCAAATAATCGTTTGTTGCAGCCCTACTTGAAACTGTTTAGTGTTACTTTAAACAAAAACTCTCGCTGATTTTTTTGCAAGACTCTGGGAAATCTTAACTTGTAATAGGTTATCAGTTTTCATCTCGCAGACAGACATCTTGATTATCATTTGAGCTGATCAGTGTTTTATTTAGTAAATAATTCACAACAAAGTCAATTCAGACTCCACTCTGTGTTCTTGTATAAATTGCTGGACAAACCCACACAGAGGAAATTGGTCTGCATATTTTAAGTTTATATTTAATTTATGACAGAAGCCAAAAGCTACAAACCAGAATGCCAATATAAGTCTTTACCAACGTATCTCCTGTACTCCTGCTGCTGTCCAGCCCGCTTATCTTCTGGTTTTAAAACCTTGTGAGAACATTTCTGATCCAGTATCATCAAGCCTCAGTGGATGTAGAACTAACAGGATTCCACAGCTGTTTTGACAGGATCAGACCATTTTACGATGCTTCAACTTTGCAAAATGTTATTTGGCCTCTTATTGATCATTTCTGGCCACTATCACTTAGCATGTTATTTAACTTGTGGTTAATGTTTAGGGAACTGTATATAAACCGCAGTAGTGATTGTATGAATGCCAAAGCTAACAGCTTCACAGGAAGTAAAAGCACTTAGACTAACACCAGAATAGCACATTCAAACTGGTGCAATAGGGTGGTGTCCTGGTTTAAGTAAAGAATAAGGCCGATGCAGTCAGGGTACATGGAGGCCATCCCATAATAGTAGAAAGCTGTGTGATCCAACCTGAGAGCTAAGATGGGTTAGACGTAGCCCTTTCCAGGTAAAAGGCTCGATTCCAGAAGGTTTTGGAAGATGTTCTGCGTGGACAAATCCTACATTTCTCATCATGATTCTATGTTTAATGACAGAATTCTGGCTACAGATAACTGGAACAAACACATGGACCCGTCGCTCTCACCTGAGCTCATCCGGGCTGCCGATGGGTTGAGGGTTTCTCAGCTTGGAGTCCAAGTTGTAGTAAACTCCTCCCACCTCTCTGACTCCAATCCAATGCTGGCGTTTGAGCGGCAGCCGGAGGGGCCCCCAGCGCAGATTGGACGGCACGTTCAGAATGAAGCCCTCCACATTGGAAAGCTCAATGCTGCTGACATCCCTGGCACCCAAAAGTCAGGTTTAAAACATAAACAACACTTTAATTCACCAATAACAACAATGATTATCTTTAGAAGTGTTTTTGTTGTGTTTATCAGGAAGAAGTCATTTTACAAAAGTCCACAACTTTAAGTAAGAATGTATTTTTGAGTTTGCATACAGCAACTCATACTGTAACAGCGTACCATCAACAATCAACAGAATCTAGGTTGTTTTTGTCCCTTCATTAAAAATAAAAATGATTTAGTTCCTGTTTTGCTCAAACTCAAAAGGCAGGAATTCTTTTTTATCACTAAAAGCACATCTGTGGCGGTCGCTGCTGACAAGTAAGGCTGATTGCGAAGAAAGCAGGAATGCTGATAAAACACTCTCAGAGAATTTGACAATCCTTTGAGCTGCCGAGAACTTACAGAGCTCACAAACTGGCTGAGTTTAAGTGGAAGATGCAGAAAGCTACTGAAGATCTGACCCCTTGTTTATATTTTAGGACTGTTCTGTCTGCTCTTTGATCTCACACGTCAGAGCTGTTCGGAAATATTTCCTGTCCTCATTTGGACTTCAAATAAAAATAAGAAACAAAATGAGGCAAACATAAGTAAATCTGTTTAAATTTGAGATAATAATAGCTATACCCAATCATCATGCAAAGTGATCTGGGAACCAAACTCAATTACTTAAAAATCAAGAGAAAGTGATGTGATCTGCTTTTTCAGTTTTGCTGCTTAGATAAAAAGTTGTTACTGCATTTGAATTATCACATAACAGTTAAACATACAGCAGGAAAAATAAGTATTTGACACATCTGCATATTTATCTGAATTGACACAAAATCTGCACCAGATGTTTCCATCAAGCCAAATATTAAATTCATACAAAGACAACACCTGGTGGTGAGTTGGCTCAGATGGTGGGAGAGGATGCCGGTCAGACCAGGCAGGGCCAAACGTATCGCGAGGGTCTGCTGGGAATGTCTGGCAGAGTCTCCTGTCAGAAGGAGCTTCAATTCCCACCTCCGACAGAACTTCCAAAATGTTCTGGGGGAGGCGGGGGACACTGAGTCTGAATGGACCCTGTTCCGTGCCTCAATTGTTGAGGCGGCCGACCGGAGCTGTGGTCGCAGGATCGTCGGTGCCTGTCGTGGTGGCAACCCCCGAACCCGCTGGTGGATACCGGCGGTTAGGGATGCTGTCAAGTTGAAGAAAGAGGCCTATCAAGTCTTTTTGGCATTTGGGATTCCAGAGGCAGCTGACGGGTACCGGCAGTCCAAGTGGAACGCGGCTCAGGTGGTTGCCAAGGCGTTCGGTGAGACCATGGAGCAAGACTTCTGTACGGCTTCAAGGAGATTCTGGTCCACCATCCGGCGCCTCAGGGGGGAAAAGCAGTGCGCTACCAACACTATCTATAGTGGGGACGGTGTGCTGCTGACCTCTACTCAGGACGTTGTGGATCGGTGGGTAGAATACTTTGAAGACCTCCTCAATCCCACCGACAAGTCTTCCAGTGAGGAAGCAGAGTCTGGGGACTTTGGGTTGGCCTCTCACTGAGATGGATAAAAAGCTCCTCTGTGGCAAAGGCTCCAGGGGTGGATAAGATCCGCCCGGAGTTCCTTAAGGCTCTGGATGTTGTGGGGCTGTGTTGGCTGACGCGGCTCTGCAATATCGCACGGACATCGGGGGCAGTCCCACTGGACTGGCAGACTGGGGTGGTGGTCCCCTTATTTAAAAAAGGGGACCGCAGGGTGTATTCCAACTACAGGGGGATCACACTCCTGAGGCTTCCTGGTAAAGGTCTATTCAAGGGTTCCGGAGAGGAGGGTCAATCGGATTGTTGAACCTCAGATTCAGGAGGAGCAATGTGTTTTTGTCCTGGCCGTGGAACACTGGACCAGCTCTAAACCCGTAGGAGGATCCTGGAGGGTGCGTGGGAATTTGCCAAACCAGTCTACGTGTGTTTTGTGGATTTGGAGAAGGTGTTTGACTGCGTCCCTCGGGGGGCCCTATGGGGGGTACTCTGGGAGTATGGGGTACCAGGTCCTCTGATATGGGCTGTAAGGTCCCTCTATGACCGGTGTCAGAGCTTGGTCCGCATTGCCGGCAGTAAGTCGGGCTCGTTCCCAGTGAGAGTTGGACTCAGGTCTCTGCTTTTTGCAGGTGATGTGGTCCTGTTGGCGTCATCAGAACGTGATCTTCAGCTTTCGCTGGAGCGGTTCGTAGCCGAGTGTGAAGCAGCTGGGATGAGAATCAGCTCCTCTAAATCTGAGACCATGGTCTTGATTCGGAAAAGGGTATGCCTTCTCCGGGTCAGGGATGAGGTCCTGCCCCAAGTGGAGGAGTTAAAGTATCTCAGGGTCTTGTTCACAAGTGAGGGAAAACTGGAGCGTGAGATCGATAGGCGGATTGGTGCTGCATCTGCAGTGATGCGGGCGTTGTACCGGCCTGTCGTGGTGAAGAGAGAGCGGAGTCAGAAGGCGAAGCTCTCGATTTATCGGTCGATCTACGTTCCTACCCTCACCTATGGTCATGAGCTATGGGTAGTGACTGAAAGAACGAGATTGCGGATACAAGCGGCCGAAATGAGTTTTCTCTGAAGAGTGGCTGGGCTCTCCCTTAGAGATAGGGTGAGAAGCTCGGTCATTCGGGAGGGGCTCGGAGTAGACCCGCTGCTCCTCCACATTGAGAGGAGCCAGTTAAGGTGGCTCGGGCATCTGGTCAGGATGCCTCCTGGACGCCTCCCTGGTGAGGTTTTTCGGGCACGTCCAACCGGGAGGAGACCTAAAGGTAGACCCAGGACACAGTGGAGGGACTATGTCTCTCACCTGGCCAGGGAACCCCTTGGGATTCCCCCGGAGAAGCTGGCCCAAGTGGCTGGGGAGAGGAAAGTCTGGGCCTTTCGCCTTAGGCTACTACCCCCACGACCCGACTCCGGATAAGCGGATGAAAATGGATGGATGGATGGATGGATGGATGGATGGATGGACAAAGACATCAGAACATTTAAGTATACAAGTTGAGTCATTATATTGAAATGACACAGGGAATAAGTATTAAACACACTTTATTAAATACTTTGTAGAAAAGCCTTTGTTGGTGATTACGGCTTCTATACGCCTCTTGTCAGGAGAAACCAGTCATCTGCGTTGCTCAGGACTGATTCTGGACCATTCTTCCACACAAACGCTTTTCAAATTTTTAAGGTTTCTTGGGCCTCTTTTATAAACTTTGATCTTCAGTTCTCCATAGATTTCTATGGGATTTAGGTCAGGTGACTGACTGGGCCATTCAAGCAACTTGACTTTTTTCTTCTTTGAAACCAATTCTTGTTTCCTTGGCCTTGTGTTTGGGATCATTGTCTTACTGAAATGTCTACTCTCTTCATTTTCATCTTCCTGGTAGATGGCAGCAGATTCTTATCCAGAAAGTCCTGGTAAATTTCTGTTCATCCAGCCTTCAATAATATTAAGTCTGCCAGGACCCCTTGGTGAAAAGCACCCCCACACCATGATGCTTCCACCCCTAAACGCAACTGTTGGTATAGAGTAATTGGGGTGGTGGGCAGTGTTGTTTCTTCTCCAAACCTGGTGTGTAGGATACAGCCAAAAAGGTCCATTTTGGTTTCATCTGACCATACTATAGTCTCCCAGTAATCCACAGGCTTCTACAAATGCTGTTTTACGAACTGTAAACAAGCCTCAACATGCTTTTTGTTCAATAATGGAGTCTTGTGTAGTGAGTGTGCATGGATGCCATGGCGGTTCAGAGCATTGCTAGAGTTTTCTTTGAAACAACAGTACCTGCTGATGCAAGGTCTTCCTTAAGTTCTGCCCAAGTGGTTCTTGGCTCTTGGGAGAACTCGCCTGATAATTCTTTGAACTCCTTGGACAGTGATCTGATGTGGAGCACCTGATTGGGGCCGGTTTATGGTGGCCTGATCCTCTCATTTTCGGGTAATGGCCCCCACAGTGCTCACAGGAACATTCAGCATTCTGGAAACACGTCTATAACCTTTCCCACCAGAATGCTTTTCAACGTAAAGATTACAAAATTCTTGGGAGAGTTCATTGCTTTAACCCATCATAAAGCATTTTCCGTGTCCCTCCTGGGTAATGAGAAGCCTTTATAGGCCATCAATTAGGAGTAAAGCAGCTGAAATCATCTTAGGTGTGTTCTTGCTGTGTCTTTGTAAATCCATGCTTTCGTTCTTTTTTTTTTTTGCTGAAAGCTCAAAGCTGAAATCAGTTACTACTGATAGGAGGCAGGTTTCACTCTCAGTATTGACAGATTTCTGGTGATCTCCTGGCTTTTTATGCCATTTTGCACTTTATCTTCATCCATCCATTCATTTTCCTCTGCTTATCTGGGGTCATGTCGTGGGGCAGCCGATTGAGCAGAGAGGCCCAGACTTCCCTCTCCACAGCCACTTGGGCTAATTTCTCCAGGGGAATCCCAAGGCGTTCCCTGGCCAGCCCTGAAACCTAGTCCCTCCAGCGTGTCCTGGGTCTTCCTTTGGGTCTCCTCCCGGATAGAAAACCTCTCCAAGCCCCTATCAGATGACCGAGATTCTCACCCTATCTCTAAGGGAGAGCCCAGCCACCCTGCGGAGAAAACTCATTTCAGCTGCCTGTATCCGCAATCTTGTTCTTTCAGTCACTACCCAAAGCTTGTGGCCATAGGTGAGGGTAGGAACGTAGATCGACCGGTAAATTGAGAGCTTTGCCTTCCAGCTTAGCTCTCTCTTCACCACGACAGATCAGTACAACGCCAACATCACTACAGACACAGCACCAATCCACCTATTGATCTTGCACTCCATCTTTCCCTCACTCGTGAATAAGACCCAGAGAAACTTAAACACCTCCAATTGTTATCTTCACATGTTTAATCCTTTTCCCCTGTCTTTTCACTTTATTACACATAATTCAATTTATGCACTTAAATGTTTGGATGTCTGCATGAATTAAACACTTCAGTTGATATTAACATGTCTTGGAATTTTTGTGTCAATAGCCTAGAAACTTATTGGTGAAAATGCTGATGTGTAAAATACTTATTTTCTCTGCTGTATATGTGGCTGCTGCATCAGCTAGCCTGACACAGTAACAGTTCATCTAAATGTTAATGTATTTGGCTGATGATTTTATCCAAAGTGATTTACAACTGAGAATGGAACAAAGCCTTTACCCTTGAGGCCGACAATAAACTGCTTAAAAGGGAAGAACACTAGTAAGAATAAGAATCTGCAAACCAAAAAATGGCTACAATTCAGTCAGTGTATGTGTAGCTCAGATAAATGAACTATTATTATTTTTCAGTGTGATAAACTGGAGGTGTGGCGTCAGAGCACATGAAGATAGCCAAATACTTATAGCATGAGTAGGCAGTAAACTTTCCTGACGTCTGGAAGGACAAACCGGAGCTCAGGCTGGGTTTTTGCTAATCTACAGGGAATATCAATGACAAAGTTACACAGAAAGTAGCTATGGGTCCTCAGAAATGACGCTAGTCGTTAAAGAGCAAATTGCAGGTTAAGGACTCCCATGAACCAATGTCCTGTGACCTGGTTCTAGAGCTCATGCGGGCTACTGTGAGCTGGATCCTACCCAGACACCAGCGAGCCAGTTGAGCTGGTATTTCTAAAAGCTGCGCATGATCCTCTCCTGGAGGTCAAGGCAGTAGTTCTGATCTGGTTCCGACCCAGAAACCAGCTCGACTGGCCCGCTGAGCTGAGCGCCTCTTCTTGTGGTCGGTTTTGATGTGATCTGAGCTCCAGAAGTCTGCATTTAATTTTTTAAACTCCACCACGGGTTTCTGGAGGCCAGCGCGGACCTCCCTGACCTGGTACCGACCAATGTGGGCTACAGAAGTCCCAACTTTTCAGCTGCACACAACGCCCTCGGGCACGGAGATTAGCGATGCACCAATATGAAAGTTTTGGGCTGATACCGATATACTGACATTATTCTAAAATACAGATTTTGTATAGAATGAAAATTATTAAAGCTGAATTTACCCCATTATGTACACACACCACACACATTTACACTTCTGAGATGATTACAATCACTGTCACATGACATGACTAAACAAATACACATCTCACCCCCCACCTCACCCTCTGAAACAGATAAACAAATGGAGACAAGATGGAAAAAATATTGGCTGTTAATATCAGCCTAGTTTTATTTATCGGACCGATACTAAATGTTAACAAATGACTAACATCTGCCGATACCGATATTGATGCTGATACATTGTGCATCCCTAACGAAGATAGAGGCGTTTCTCTTATCTGGAAACCCATGGACTCGATGTCCAGACAGGCTGGAGTTGGTACAGCCTTCACAAACAACACTTTGTCCAAATGAACACAATCCAAAACTAGTAAACACACACTGACTGGATAACATGACCTCTCTACCCTAAAACTACCCACTCTCCACACTGAGCTGAGGCTCAGCTTCTAACTCCCTTTTGTTACGTGACATCAGAGGTTAAGATTTAGAAAAAAAGAGCCCTTTTAGAAGCTATGTTGAGAAAGGTCATATTTTACTAGAAAAGCTGTGCCGTTATGTATTTTAAAACAAAATATCCACAATAAGCATTTAAAATAGTATTTTTTGGACAGCGTTTTATATGAATTAGAAAAAAATTGGTTTTGTTTGTTTTGTAACAATATTGAAATTCCCCTTAAAGAAGCTGTCATAATATCAGTTATAACTTATTTCTTTAGGTAAATGGATGCTGTTGTGTGTGTGTGTGTGTAAATGTAATAAATAAAATAAATGTAAGAAAATAAACAAGTTTTCCAGATGGTTATGGAAACTGTGATAGGACACAAATGGGCTAAAGATAACTTAGTCCAGGGAGAATTGGGACGACCACCACCTTGATAAGGAAACAACAAAAACTGGAAGAATGTAGTTCGTAGTGTGAGTAAAAAGTGAGTCTGCTTAGCCCTAAAGAGATGCACTTTTTTAATTGACAAATAAATAAAAAAACTTTGCATACCTTCTTTTATCCCACCAAACTGCCTCAAACCCTCGAGTCTGGAGAGCTGCCATGATAACATTTACATCATAGTTCCCATTACCCAGCATGCTCTTTTTGTGAGGTGTCACCATAGTGCTGGGAGATAGCCTGGATCAAGATTACAAGAAGAATCATCCATAGCCTTTAAATACAGCTGCTACAGATGCATGCTGGCAGAGCAGTGTCCTCACCTTTGGTAAATCTCTTGCAGGGTGTCCCGATTGAAGGCTGTCCCATCCTGGAAGACGTTATTGAGTGCGTGCAACGCGCACAGTTCCCTCCGCTGCTTCTCGTGATAAATGGCTGGAGGAGTCAAAGACATTTGGAGAGGAGCTGGTGAGGTGAGGGAGGTGGAGGAGGATGAGAGATCCTGCTGCTGCTGGATGTCCCTAGGATCTCTGCACCTTTTCTCCTCTGCAGCTTCTCCCCCTCCTCCTTTTTGTTTGCTGACCTTCCAGGGCATGCAGCCCAGCTCCTGAAGGCCTCCTCGCCCCTTCTCCTTCCACTCACCAGCAGGATACGGAGTACTTCCCATCCTGTCACGTGCTCCTCCAGCTCCGCCACTACCTCCGCAACTACAACATTGAGGATGCTACATTGGTGGCAGGACAAAAGTTCCCATGGCAACCTCTCAGAAGAGAGGAGTTTGTTAGTTTCTGTGTACGCTCTTGGGAGATGTTGCAAAGTAACTGAGGAACACCTGCTCTCTTGAAAGACGTGTAAAGTAGAATTACTATGATAAATGTTGATCCCAAAAATACAAGATTCCTCCTCAGAGGTGTCATCGATCAAACTGTCATCACTCTCTTGTGTGTTTCCACTTCCTCCATCCCCTGTGTAGCTTTGCAGTTCTTCCCATCATCAGACAGCTGACTATGAAGCTTCCCATTTACTGGAACTGATGTTACCAGGGTTCAACGCTGCGCAGACGATCCAGAGTTATTATCTGTAATGGTTGAAAATAGGAAAATAGTGAAAACTGACAAACATTTCCTCCGACGCTTCTGATAACTATACAAAAGGGGCTAGAAATGCAGCCAAGCCGCATTTAGCTACTATATTTACTGAAGGTGATGGTTAGCTAAAAAGAGGCTGCACAAAGCTCAGGTATCTCGTTGGTCAGCAGACCCCAAAATGACCAGAAACAGCTTCCACGGCTAAAATTGAGGAAGCAAGCTGTTAGTGAACTAGCTAAAAACGACAACAGCTAAACAGCAGAAAGCTAACCCTCACATTAATATTAGCACTACCGCAATTGTACTCCAAAATCACACGCGTTCAGAAGTAATAACCCACGTTTGTAGCTGATTGTTGCTGTTAGTCTTTTGGCTGTTAACGTGATTACAGCAAACACAACGCCTCATTCTACGCCTAATATAACTCGATTTTATCCTCCAGCGACCACTCACCCGTTCGCTTCCCATCGGTGGCGACACCACTTGACTCTTGTAAACCACACTAAAAACGGAGTCAGCTGATTTCCCTTTTCCTAAACGCTGTCCAGTCCTTTGTCTTTAACACTTTTTCCTGTTGTGGCTCTCGTTCTACTGTTTCTCAGTCCCTGAACAAGGCGGGCATGCGCGGTAAGGTCTCCCTCCCTGGCTCCAAACCGCTGTCACCGCCAGCGTCTAAAACGTGGGAGAAGAATAGGGAAAGCCGTTGTAGCATATAATTCTACATCGGCTGCATCATCGACATATACAAATATGTCTACATGGGCTACATCGACATACACAGCTGTTATGACTACAAGATTTACTCATTAAAATATTGTTGCTGAAGAAATCGACTTCCCTGTTTTTTGAATAACGCCAAATGTATACATATTATGATAAAACTTACTTTTATTTACTTTATGTTGACCATCTCTTTTTTTCTGATATTCTTTAGTCTGTATCATTTCTTTTTATTTGAGCTGCTTGGAATATTTGTCCTTCAATAGTTAGGCATTTTGAAAACTTCTAAAAAAACTATTGAAAAAACTTAATATGAAAATTTAGTCTTTAGTTATAGCTTGAATACCAATGTAAAACGTATCAAGAGGGCATTAGCGGCACACAAAGACTAACAGGGAATATTGCAGCTAAAATATTGAGAAAAGTCAAAACATCCAAATGCCATTCAGAAGCAAGTCAAAATTATTTTTCCATTAAAAAAGATAAGTTGGTCAGTAAACAAGACAATCATTGAAAATGAGGTGTAGTTTTTGTGCTACTTCTGCAACAGTATCCACAGCAGAACTCAAAGAACCTCCTTCAAAAGTGTCAAAAATACATCTGAAGCTTATAAAGTAATAATTATTGATACTATTCTCCATTAGTATTTCTGGAAGTAATCAAAAGACCACACCTCACATTCAATCACTTGTATGAAGCATGAATTCAGTGTGCCTATTGTAAGAATAATTTATATTTAAAAGAAAAAATAAAATTTTGATTTTACAATGAAAGACCTTTTGTTTTAATTTAAACAAGGTACTGTAATCTTCAGGATTGTTTTGTTTAAAAAAGTTACCGTCCTTTCCAGAAATAAGCATGTGTGATCTCGTGTGGGAAAACGTGCAGTGAATGGGTTTTACATGTTGACATTTCCACATGTGAAAGCATGCTCTTCCTGCACGTACACATATTTTTTACATGTGTTTCACCTTTGTTGCATTGTTTATTTCTGTGTGATTGTGGTTATTTTAAATGATGAAATGTTTATAAATCCTTTTTTATATATTTATTTTTGTTAGTTGGTTCCAGGATAGACTGAACTTTATGGTTTTTATGGTTATTATGGTTGTATGACACAGTTAAACCTTCCTGCTGTTTCCAGGAAATGTTGGTTTGTTTTTTCCTTTGATATTTAAAGGTGTGGTTGACTATAAAACATTTTTAAATTATTATTTCTGATTATAATCAGTTACTCTGTGTTTTTATGCAGGCTGAACATGAAAACAGTCTCCTACACCTATCTCCAGCATTCTGACATTCCTCACACTGTGATGTCACACTGCGAATTTGCATTCATGGCCTCGCCAATCTTGGCTAACGCCCGCCCACAGGAAGGTTTTTTTTTATTGCTGTGAGGAGAGAGAGAGGAGAGTTCATTGGTGACAGTGACTTTGCAACATGGCCGAACGTGTTCTGTTAGCCAATCAGAAGCGAGGTGTGTGCATAACATTATTAATAATGAGCAATCCTGTCATTTTTAGCCCACCTCTGCACCAGCTAACTTCTGCATCTCAGAACAAGAGCATCATAGCTTTTTAAATGACTCATGAGGCATTGATTTACGCTAAAGAACATCGCAAATCTATTGAATAAATGAGTAAATCACACCTTTAAGATGGAGAACTTAATTCATAAACGTGTCTCAGTGTCATCTCACTCTTCAGTTTAGTGTTTAAATGAAGGTGAACTGTATTCAAAGAGTTAACGGTGTTTACTTCTGGGATTCACGCTGATTGTCTCTTTGGTCTCCTTCATGTGACTCAGTTGTTATCTCCACATGATGATTAGTCTTTTGTTTGCTTTTTAATTCAGAGCCACTCTGATGTTTACAACCACATCTGTTCTCTGCAGTCATCAACTCAGGGCAGTGAAAATGGAGAAAAAATACATGACATTGTTTTTTATTTGATAGTTTTAGTCAAAATAGGAGGAGAATTTACAAGTGATAAGCATTTAGGTGGGAGAATTAGTTAAAAATTGGATAATTATTCCAGTGGAATTTGTCCAGATCTAAGATTCCTACAAAATAAATAATTTGAACCAAAAAGGGCGATTTTCACAGCTTTAAAGTTGTTTCAGGGTCTTTTGGAGAAGACAAGAGAACAATCCAAACAGCATAGTGTGGTTCATTTTTGCTCAACATCTTTAAAATTTGATACTTTTTTATGAATAAAAAACTGCGGGAGGGCAAAGACACACAAGCTCACGCAGATGAGGGCTGATGCATATTATTAGTAATGATGCGTGTTGGAAACAGAAAGGAAGCCAGTCCAAATGTCCCCCATCAGTGTAAAAACATATGTTTGATTAATTTTTTTGTATCATTTCCCATCCAGTCGTTCACGCTGACTCAGAACCAGCTTTTAGCTTCTTATTTACATGCGTCCTAGTTTTGTAGCCAGTGCCGAGGACATGTCAGTGAGCAGCTTCTCCCTCAGGTCGTCCTCTCTCCTCTGCAGCTCATGGATGAAATGCCCCCTCACCTCCTTTAGCTCTATTACACGCTCCACAAGACAACTGTACAGACTGCTCCTCTCCTCTGGTGGGAGGCCTGGCCGGTTGTCCACAAGCTCTGCTCTCTGTTCACACAGTGACAAAGCTCTTTTCAAGTTCCTCGGATCCGCCTCCAGCAGCTGATCTAGAGTCTTCAGATGGTCTGCGTGAGTGATCACTGGGATAATGTACCCTGTGACTCCCTCTCCAAATAGCTCCAGGGTGGACTGGATTGCCTGGATGGGATCCTGATTGACCCCCATGCTGGAGCCCGGAGCTTGGATCACCAGTAGGAAGGCATGTGGACCAGGACTGGTGAGCTGGAGGCTCCTCAGAGCCTCCCTGGCTCTGATGTAGCTCCCAAGTGATGATCCCAAAATATCTGGAGTGTCGATCACGGTGAGCTCTCTACCATTCATGGTGGTGCACCTGCTAATGCTCTGGTTCAAAGCTTCCATGGATGTGTTTGTCTCACTGGTACCTATCAATGTGTTGGCAAGGGAAGTCCTTCCTCCACCTCTGGGTCCCAGTAGAACCAGCCTCAGGTCCGATTTCTTGGACGTGCCGCTAATCAAATCCAGAATATTGTTGAGTCGTGAATCTGACTGGGATCCTTCTCCAGATGATCCTACAGACATGACAGCTTCCTTTTTATAACAACACTTCATAGTTTTGCTGAAAAATCCTTAAGAAAAAAAACAAGTAGAATAAATACATTTGTTTTTTGGTTGAAGCATCAACCTTTCTAGGTAATAGGCTGCTAAAATCCTGATTATAAGGAAACACATTAAATAAACCTGTCAACTGCCAACAACGAGACACGACTAACAGAACATGAACACAAAGAAGAACAGATATGCTAAAATTGGACAGATTTGGTGTTAAATAAACTATAAATCCTACATTATGTCACTCTTAAGCTCAGTTAGTATCGCTTTAACCTTTTCAATTGGAACACACTGAGTCTGGGACCATGGTGGGAACCAGTCTGAACCTTGACCACAGAAAGCAAAGGCCAGAGCCGTCTGAGGAGCTCAGAGAGATTATAGATGTCCATGTTTGATAGAAAAAGCTCCAAGACCAGTGAGCACATTAAGGTTCATGTGACCCAGGAGGTTTCTATCATCGAGAGAGAAATGACTTTGGACGGATGAGACCAAACTGAAGCTTTTGGATGCATCACATCAGCTGTATGGTGACAGAAATAACAAACAATCCAGACAAGCTGCAATTCAGACCTGAGCCAGCAGCAGATGACTGTGATCGGTTCATAAATGTGATCTAAAGGTTTTAATCTATGGCATCTGTCTTTATTGCCATGGCAGCATCAATATTCAGCTGAATTCTCTTCTTCAGCCTTCAGAGAGTACAGACGCTTTTTTCTCAGCTCCCTTATCGGCTTCCCCAAGGCTCTTGTCCTGTCTGCCTACAGAGCACTTCTCTGCATTTCTCCTGAAACCACTACTCTCTTTTTGGAAATATGGACTTAATTAATTGGTCATTCAACGTGATTGACAAAATTTTCTCTACGATGAGAACGGAGAAGGGGGCTCCCACCTGTCCCGAGGGGACATTCGCATCGGGATATGCACTCGATTCTTGGGAGGTCTGGCGAATCGTGTGCCTCTCTCAGCTGTCCATCGAGGACGTGGAAGATTTGTGGATATTCGGCCTGATGATCACTGGATTTCTTCTGATTGGAGTGGGAGGATATCTGGTTTTCTGGAAAATTGGGAAGACGGGAGCGATTGGAGTGCGACCCGTACCCACGGAATGTGCCGCTCGTGCGGTGACCTCACAGACTGGGACGTTACTCGAGGTGAACCGTAAGCTGGACAATGTCCTTGCGGCGTTGCCTGTGTTAGTGCGCAAGATGGATTTGATCTCGGAGAGGGTCGCCGGACGATGCGGGGATGTGGAATGTAAAATTGGCTTCACTGGTGGACATGAATGACCACTTAGAGACTACAAGACGGAGGGGAAGATTATCTCTGCCTGCCCTAAACAAAGTCATGTTTATCCTTATCTGACGCCATAGCAGCCTCTCAAGGCTGCCTCAACACACCCCCACAAAAGGAGGAATGCCGACAGATGCTGTGTCCCGACCTTCACCCTCTCCCTTCAGGCTATATCTGCAGGGACCTCAATGTGCTCTCTGTTCCTTATCTCTCCCTCCCACCTGTTGTTCTGCAGCTGGTCGATGCGCCGCAGTGGCAGCTCCCATTGGAGGCTTCAGGATCCCGCCCACCCCCACCTCCCCATTGGACTCTGATGTTGTACACGTGCTGTCTGTGCTTCCATGTCGGGTGTTTTTTTGCATTGGAGTGCTACACCCTGCTGGTGTAACCCTGTTAATGCCTTTTTTTTCCCCTCCCTGAACTTTCCTCATGTAACACCCTTTTCATCTAACTATTAAGGTAGCGCGACTCATGTTGCGAATGACCGCAGTCACCAATTCTTGTTATGTGTCCTACCCACGTATGTCTGATCTTTGAATTGTGTGTGCTGAAACTGAATTTCATTTCTCTGTATGTCCTGCACATGTGGAGAATATGACAATAAATGACTCTTGACTTGACTCTTGAATCAACAGTAAAGTCTGATCTGTGATTATTTCAGAGATGGTTGCGTGTTAGTGATGTTCAGCGAATCAGAGACAAGCAGAGAAAATCAGACAGCAACATGACCTGTGATGATTCTGATGATAGGCACAACCCACTTGAAGTAGGAGGAAGATGCTGAGGAGAACCAAATTAAAAGGTAGCATAATTAGAGTCATCATGTAAATTGTTCTCCTAAATTGGTCCTTTTTCTTTATATTTGGATTATTTCTGTCCATTAATGGGAAAGTCAGTCCAGCATAAAAAAAAGAAATAATATCCAACACACTCACCAACCATAAACCTCCACATCCGAGACAAACATCTAAAAACGCTCCGGATTCCTGAGTCACAAACGGAAAAGTCAGCTTGTGGTTTTGACTGGATGGAAACAAAAGGAAGGGGTCGTACCACGGAGGGTTCCCACGAGGCGGCCCACCCAGCCCCAAAGAGCTGACATACCTGAGGCAGGATGCAGAAGCACACATGTGGTTCTGGTGTTACAGCCATGTTTTCTCTTAATAAAGTGAGCAAGGGTCAGCGGTCACAGTGTGTGTTTAAATAAACTCACCAGTTATGGAGCAGAAGAGACGGATCGGCCATCGGATCAGAGCGGGGAGAGCTGAAGACAAATCAGACGGCTTGAAATACAAAAACTGATTCTAAAGGCTTGTTAAACACCTCCTTGTTATGTTGGGAGAAGGTGGAGCTACAGATGCTTTAGTCAAATCCTAAAAATCAAGTTAAATTAACATAATTTAGTGCTTTAAACCTCCATGTAAACAAACCTGATTTGTGTAGCTAATTTGATTTGATAAATAGAGAGAACATTTATTTTCACCTACTCATATTTAAGACTGAAACATTTTAAAATAAAGCTCACCTTTTTGAGAATATCACTGAACTTTGGTTAAAATAACCACAAATCACCAGCTTTACTTTGTCTTTATTGTTCAAGCAAAGATTCCATTTTTACACACATTAAATCAATCCTGCCTGCATGAATCATTTTTCAGTGATTTGATCATAAGTTCGCCCTGCGATGGACTGGTTCTCTATCCAGGGTGTACCCCGCCTGATTGCCCATTGACCGCTGGAGATAGGCACCAGCCCCCCCCCCCCCCCCCCCCCCCCCCGTGACCCTACGTGGACAAAGCGGGCTCAGACAATGGATGGATGATCATAATTTCATCATTAGTTTGTTCAGTAAAGAGAATCACGTTTACAATAATCCTATTTAATGATAATCATGACAATTACAGGTCGCCTGTATGTTAATTAGAACATTATTAAATATCTAACAATAGCGTGACTGATAAAATCTGATTTTAAAAGTCCCGGACAGACATATTCTACACATCTGTTGTGACCTTTGACCCAGCCCTCACCCTGGATTCTCATGTCAGTTCTCTTGGTCGCTCTTCCTTCTTCCATCTCAGGAACATTGCTAAGCTGAGTCCCATTCTGTCCCGCTCTGAACTTGAGACAGTTCTCCACACCTTCATCTCCTCACGCTTAGACTACTGTAACTCTCTTTTCACGTGTCTGAGCAGAACCTCTCTGAACCGTCTACAGGTGGTTCAGAATGCCTGTGCTCGGCTTCTGACCAAGTCCTCCAAACACACCCACATCACCCCGCTTCTCCTCCAGCTTCACTGGCTGCCAGTCAACTTCAGGGTTCATTTCAGGATCCTGGTTCTGGTCTATAGGGCCTTACATGGACAAGCACCATCTTACATTGGTGATCTTCTTAGTCCCTACACCCCAGCAGGTCCCTGAGGTCCAGTGATCAAAGCCTACTGGTTGTGCAGCACCAGGCTAAAGACCAAAGGTGACAGATCATTTGCTGCTGTGGCCCCCAGACTCTGGACCTCTCTCCCCCTGAGCCTGAGATCAGTGGACTCAGTGGACTCCTGTAAAGCAGCTGAAGACTCACTTGTTCAGGCTTTGGTGTGACCTTCTGCTGATTCTTCATACCTTCTCTTCATGGTGCTGTTTCTACTAATTCTGCCTTTCTCACGATTCTGTGATTTTCTTTTTCCTATTCATTTGTTCCTTCTCACATTTTCAATTTTTCCTTTTTTCCAATTTTTCATTACAATACAATTTTTTATTGTTTCAATGTTTTTATTTCTTGTTCTTGTGAATCGCCTGGTGATTTTTATCTTGAGAGGTGCCATTTTAAAAATGGTTTCTTCTCATTCTGCTCTGTCTAATCCGTCGATCCTTAAATGATCTATTTCAGTTTAACGAACTCAGCAGATTCTCCATAATCAAAAAATGAAATTCCAGCATGCAGCGGCTGGTGGAACCGGGTCTGGACTCTGTGGAGGAGAGTTGTGTCTTTGCCAACGCTGTAGAAGGACAGAACACCAGCTCTGTGATCCAGATACACCCCTATCCTGGACGACCGAGGACCAGACACTGGAGTGAGGACCTCATTGTGCCAAAACGTGTAGCTGTTTGAGGCACAGCGTAAGGACCAGGATTTGTCGTTATATCCAAACATACTGTCGTTTGACTTGCCCGCTCTGCTGATGCTCCTGTACGCTGCTGCTACATAGACTCCATCACCCTCTAACTCCACCTCCCAGTAACAACGCCCAATCAGACCCTCTCTGCTCAGAACCTGCCACCAGTAAGTGAATCGGTCTGGATGATGAGAATGAAACTGCTGTAGCTGGACTGGTGCTGCTTTTCTGCTTCCTTCAGTCAACATCAGAAACCTGTACGCTGAGTCTGGGTCCAGTGTGATGCCTTGTGAATATTCTAAGAAGTGGGCCCGGGTTTTTGGTTCTGGTTCTGACATTAAACCACCCAGCTGAGAAGCTGTCAGTGACGTGTTTGACTGGTTGCCTCTCAGGATGTCCTGTATCTTGTCTCTAAGCGTGGACACAGCTGCTGTCACATCCCTGAAGTCCCTCGGAGGATGGATGATGGTGCTGTATGAGCACGTGGACCCCCCAAGGGCTGACACTGAGGCGAGGTTCTGTAGAAACACGTTGAGGTCTTCTGTGTGTGAGAGCTGCTCCAGCTCAGCATCTTTCCTCCTCAGCTCTGTGATCTCCTGCTGAAGCTTCTCCTGAAGCACTCTGACTCGACTCATCTCCATTTCCTGTTGGGATCTGATCTGCTGCTTCACATCAGAGCTTCTTTTCTGGATCAGATGAATAAGCTGAGAGACGATCTCCTCACTGTCCTCCACTGCTTGATCAGCAGAGACACTAATGGTCTCCACTTGCTGTTGGAGCAGCTTCACGTCTTTCTCTTGGTCCTGGATTACTTGCTGGATTAGCTGTCGACTCACCTCCAGCTCCTTCTGCTTCTCAGCTCTTTCTGCTGCAGCTGAGACGGTTTCATGACCTTTATGGTCCTGCATTAAACAGACATAGCAGATAGATTGTTGGTCAGTACGGCAGAAAATCTTCATCGCCTCATTGTGAAGAGGGCAGATGTTCTCCTGGAGGTTCTTGGAGGGCTTCACCAGCTTGTGTTTCTGCAATGGTGGAACATCATAATGATTCTGGAGGTGCACCTCACAATAAGAGACCAAACAGACCAAACAGGACTTGACAGCTCTAAGTTTCGCTCCAGTGCAGATGTCACAGGTCACATCTTCAGGTCCAGCAGTTTGAACATCATCAGGCGCAGCATAGTGTCCAGTCTCCTTCAGCTCCTCTGCTAACTCTGCCAAGGTGATGTTCTTTACCAGGACAGGCCTCGGTATGAAGATCTGTCTGCACTGAGGACAGCTGTGGATGTGCTTGTGATCCTCTCCATCCCAGTAGACTTTAATACAGTCCATACAGTAGCTGTGTCCACAGGGAATAGTCACAGGATCCCTCAGGATGTCCAGGCAGATAGAACAAGAATACTTGAGATGATCCAGCTGAGCTCCTCTCTGCGCCATTTCTCCTCAGTAAAAACAAGTTTCACTTCCGCGTACAAGGGAGTGGTTTGAGCCCTGATCTCAGCCTCATGTTATGCTGTAAATACCAATTGTGACAGCCAGTTAAATATTTGTAGATCTGATGGGGAGGAACAAGGAGACATTTTGGCAACGCAGGGCTGGGTTTTTATTGGACTTTAACCTCAGGAAGTGGGAAAGGAAAAGGAGGGGTCTGCGATGCTTTTCTGGAGCCGTTTTTGCCATATTGCCTGGAATGCTCTTCACACACAGATAGCATAATATATTAAATAATCAAATTTGCCAAAAATATGATTGAATCTTCTCTGAAAATTTATTGGAATGTTTACTGTGTGAAGTGCCTTGAGACGACTCTTGTTGTGATTTGGCGCTATTTAAATAAACTTGAATTGAATAGAAACGTTCAATTCTGGAACAACCTCTTCCAATCATATTGAACGTCCCAGTTTTAATTTTAGGGGCAGTAGTAGCTCAGGAGGTAGAGCGGGTTGCCTCATGATCAGAGGGTCATGGGTTCGATTCCAGCTCCCGCCAGAGGTATCCTGCTGTTGTGTCCTTGGGCAAGACACTTCACCCAACTTGCCTGTGTTAGTGGTGGTCAGAGGGGCCGACGGCGCCAAATAGCAGCCTCGCCTCTGTCAGACCGCCCCAGGAAGGCTGTGGCTACAAAGTAGCTTACCATCACTAAAAGTGTGTGAATATGAGAGTGCATGGAAGCGTCTTTGAGTGTCCTAAACAAGCGCTATATAAGTTAGATGATGATGATGATTATCACTATTATTATTAATGACTGGATCCCAAGTTATGCATCAAACTGCTCCTCTGGACATCTCTCCGTCCTCTGCATGAACTCGATGTGCACGAATCGCACGTTCTAAGGTCGGAGCAGCTAAAGAAGAGGAGAGGCCAGAGCCGGGCTGCCTAGTGGAACAGATTGCTCAGTTCTGTTTACAAGCTCAATTTTAAGAGTTGTTTTACATGTTCTGTTCTTGTTGGGAAACATTTAGATGATAGAGCTGCTGTGTGCATGTGTGTGTTGTGAGCCAGCAGAACTGAGAGAGAGGAGAGCCAAGTAGGCTCAAGTCAGGTTCTGGAGGTTTTATCCAGTTGTCCATGGGGTTTCCCCTGACTGTTGGCGACACCGAGTTGCCGTGACTTTGGGAGTCCACAAGTGCCTGTATCAGCACAGAGAGTTCAGATGGAGGAGAAAGTAGGTTCAGGCTAGCCTGGCAAGCCAGACTAAATAAATGTATTATTTAGTCTGGCAACGCTCCATTGACAGCTCTCGGTTGTGGGGCGGGTTCTACCGTTGTCTTTCAAATGATCTCCGCATGCTACTGGACAATGAATGTGACATCCTCTTGTTTCACTCTGTTGCATCATCCCACCCACCAGGCATATAGAGTGCCCTGATTGGCCCACAAAGCGGATAAAGCTCTGTGATTTGTTCACTAAGCAGATAGAGCATTATGATTGGCCCACCATTATGGACCAATCACAGCTCTTTATGTGTTTGAAACCCCTCTAGAGAGCTGTGATTGGCCATCCAGAGTCCTGGTAGGAGCTGCAGAGGTTCCAATGGAGCATGCCTAGACCATTCTTTGCAAAGCAAGAATTTGGTCTAGTTCACTAGGCTAGGTTCAGGCAGGATTTGGAGTCTTATTTCCAGATATTTGGACATTTTGCCTAGGACCGAGTAACAGCAACACGACATTACCACTGACTCTGTTTGCTCGCAAAGTTAATGTTTCATCTCCATGAATGAAACAAGCCGAGGAGTTCTGCTGTGTGGTGGAGTCGCTAATGCTAACGGTTAGCTTCTACTCGCAGAGACATTCTCTGCTGTTTCCTGGACGCTAAACCAACAACAGCCTTCCCCGTCGGGAGTCAAGTCGGGTGAGTCCAAGAACGTTAAGTGACAGTGAGACGTAAATCTGTCAGGCTTTTCTAATCCTAGAGTTTCACCGTCTATTTTCTATCAGAAGCTAATGCAGGAGATAGATGTAGGAGACTATTTTCATCTTCCTGCATGCAAAACTCATATTTAGTCACACTGAATTATCTAAATCGTTTAGCACAAGCTAAGATGTGTGGATGTATAAAAAAATAATAATTGCTTAAAGTTTTAGTTCATAAAATAATTTTCTGTCTTCATCAAACTCAGTTTGAGGAAATAAAAATAAATCTGCTGCTGCTGTTTAAGCTCCTTATCTGAGCAAATCAATTAAACGCCATGTGAGTGTGTTTGTGAGTCTGAGAGGTCATGTGACTGACTCTGAGAAAACCTGTAGAGAAGATACCCCACCACAGCAAAAGCTCCCATCTGGGCGTTGCTGCCGCTCATCCACCAACCTAAACAAGAACAGGAGAAGGACGTAAGGCATTAACTGGTCTAAGCAGCTATCCTTCCATAGTATGTAGATAAAAAGTAATTCACAATTGAGTTGTATTAGAAATTTATTATCTATGAAAAATTGTGTGTAAATTTTAAATTGACGACAAATCAGCCTAGTTTACAATTAATTGAACATTTATGAAAAAAAAAATAAAAATAAAATAAACACATTCTCACTGGCGACGGCATCCTCTGTGTTTTTATCACACTGACACTCCATTTCCCAGAAGCACCTCTTCTCCTGCAAACTGTCAGCGAAGAATCCCTAAAAACTCAAAGTAGCGTGCCGTTGGACAGCAGCAACGTCACGCTGATAAAGCTGATCTGTTTAAATCCCAGAAAAGTTTTGAACACGTAGCAGACGTTTCAAAAACAACAAAAACCTCTAAACAGATTAACACAAAACTATTAGAATAAAAATGTTTCAGCAGATTTATCCCGCAATCCTCTCCCTCTAGTTTAACCTCTCTAACCAGTGACGGCTCACACGCGGTCAAAGTTTTCTTTGTGATGTGTGCAGAAGTTTCTGCCTGCTCTGGCCTGCCCTCAGCTGGAGCACTGCTCTTTTTATTGGGTTACACAATCAGGTGAGGGTTCAAGTATGCTGCTAAAGCGGAGACACACCCTCTTCCAGCTACAAGCAGAACTGGAAAAGCTACGTGTGATTTACACAACATCAGTATAAAATTAATGCATGCTCATAGAAAAAAAGTTTTATTTCAAGTGATCAACAAGGATTTTTTTTAGAAACATGGTTCGAATATGGGATTTAGAAAAGGCTAAACGTCTTCCAGAACATCCAGACAGCGTTTTAACATCAACGGTTTTTAAATTCCAACATTTAAATCTAGCAGAACTTGGTTTGTGGACTCGGTCCTCGTTAGCCTAGCTTTTCAGTCAGAGCATCGATCAGCTCCTGTTTTTTTGTTCCGGTCGTCCGAATCCCAAACTGTTTACAGGCCTCCTTCAGCACCGGTACGGTCAGCTTTCCCAGAGTGCCGTTCTGCAGGTGGGCCCTCAGCTCGTCTTCCGTCACCTCCACTTTAGGTTTCTTCTCAGCTCCGCCTCCAGCTTCAGCTGCAAAGAGACGAGTCAGCCTGGTAGAGGAACACTACCAGTGAATAAACAAATCAAAGCCCGACTGCTGACCTGTTTTGCGTTTGGGAGCAGGTTTATTCTCTGGGTTGTAACCTGCAGGGTAGACCAGGTCTATGAACTCCTGGACCAAAGGACCCAATCGGTGGTCAATCTGGTCCACCTTCGGCACTTAGGCAGAGAAATGAAAACAGTGTGAAACGAAAACAAACTTCAGAAGATAGAAAAGGTGACTCTGGATTGAGTTTTATCTTACTGATGAGATCCTCGATGTCTTCTGGAGCCATCATATCCAGAGCCAAGGCCTCCAGGTTTCTGTAATGCTGCTGGAGAACCGGGTTCTCAAAAGTACCACTCCTGCATCACATCACACCATGGAAAACACATTTTACTAACTATTAAAGCAAGTTACAGTTTCCTACAGCAGCATCTTTCAGGCTCCTCTAGACTTACATGTATTTAAAGCGGAGTTTGTGGACTATCTCCTTCATCTTGTCCACTTGTGTTTGCGAAGGTGCTGGACAACGAGGAGGATCCAGAGTCCGGATGTCGTCAGCGTACGGCAGGAAGATAGCGTTGAAACCTGAAGAAAGCACAAGAACCATCACCTGCTGGATGTAAAACAGTTTCCATGAGACAGAGAGGAAGACAGCGGTCTGTTGGAAAGATGAGACAAAATTTGACAGAAAAGCCTAAAAAGTATCAACCTGGAAAGTCTTTGATTTTGAGGCATCCTGCTGCACCTTTTCTGTTTATGTTTCCTGATGTTTTCATTTGAGAACTGACAACAGATGGCAGCTTAACCCTCTTATGGCCGTAATCATAACAGGGCCGCCTGGTATTTTTTTAATCTTACGGCTGTAAAATTGTAATAAAAAGCGCAAAGTGTGTGTAACTCTTCTCCTTTTTTCAGAACAACCTCAGCTTTCAGTGTATGGTTTGTATTTAGAATTTATTTCTATTAAAGCCTTTAAAAATCAGCTTCAAAGTGAAAAAAGCAAAAAACGGATTTGAATTTTTTACATTTATTACTGAACAGGAACTTCAAAATGACTGGGCAAACCATTTAAACTTTGAACTGTAATGCATTCTTAAAAAAGTTAGAACCGTGGTATCTTTTTTTTTAGCAGTTTTTAGGACCATTTATTTTTGTAAACTTTCAGACGTTTTTATTTGATGTGGTAGGCCTTGAAGCAGTTTCTCTCCAGCTGCAGGCAGAGTCCCTGCAAATAATAAATATAATTTACTTATAATAATTTACTGCTATACCAAAAACTTTTGTTTTAGCAAAAATAATTATTTATTGTAAAAAGATAAATAATGCTGGAATGAAGTTGAATCTTACAATTAGCAAATAGTTGAGGGTTGTTCAAATAAAAAAATAAAAAATAAAGACTGAACAAACATTCATACCCTGGTTCACCGGAGATCTGTCCTTCTTCATGGTTACTGTCTTCAGATATAAGCCTTCTGGGACACCTAATAGATCGTGTGGATTTTCTTTGAGGCAATTCCATAATTTCATGCCGACTTTTTATGCTAATTAGCTTCCCCGTCCCGTTATCCGCTTTCACCGCGGCGCTGCGCTCCGTTTCAATCAGGCTGTACAGCAGGATTTCCCCTCGTAGCGATATTTTCCATAACTCTGATTGCTTCATGCTATAGATCGTTGGAAAGCTGCTTTTATGTACTTTTAGGAACCGTTTTTTGAATCTGATCAGTCATTCAAAAGTTATAAAACGGAGCATTTTGGATGACAAACTCAGCACGTCTCTGAATCTGTGTTGTGATTCGTTGAGCTCAAGACAGGGAATCCCGGTGGCTACCGTAATGTATTGTATATGCACGAAAAGCCCCATTTTTAGTCTTTTCAGCACTTTTGGAATTTTACAGATATCTTGAACGGTTCATGAATTATGGTAATGAGAAGTGCGCATGTCCAATCCCGTCTGCGGCCACAGGTTGGTAATAAGAGGGTTAACCCTTGTGAAGGTAGCAGCTGCAGCATAAAATACTATAATAATCTGAGACCCTGTGATATTCTGGCTGACGCTGGCAGAGGTGATAAGTGTCCGCCTCGTAATCAGAAGGTTGCAGCAGGTTCAAACCCCACTCAGTCTGTTTCTGCCGATGTGTCCTTGGGCAAGACACTAACCCACATTGCCCGCTGACACACTGGATTCAAAGCGGGTACTGAATAACGAGCGCTACTTCAGGAAACATTTCTCCAAATGAAATAACCAGAAGTCTACCAGACTGTGAAACATAAAAGAGATTCCACTGCATCTCAGACGCGCTGTCGCTCCCAGCTCCTCTTCAGCGCCGCTTGCACACACTGTCAGCAGCGAGATGTGGAGAAAGTGAGATTAATGCTCAGATTTCTTTACTGTTACCTCCGTGATGTTCTCTGTGTGTAACGTGTAAAATATGAGGCACGAGTCATTAACAAACGTACTCACGGGCAAACAAATGAAAAAATAAACAAATCGGCTCTCGTAAAAACATCTGTAACGGCTCAGCCCATCGTCAATGGTGAATAATTCGTCCCATTGCACAACCCTAACCTAACCTATGTGTGTTTGTTTTCTATTGTACTCCTTCAGACCTCAGCACATTGGTTACCTGGTGGTGTGATCTGGAAATTCCCCTCATCAACCTCCTCCAGCTGCGGCACCAAGGCCACAAATTTAGGAGGGTTGTTTCTGCGAGAGATGCAGCGGCAAAGAGCGAATACGCTCCTCTCGTTGCACTTCTTCAACAACGCAGAAAACAGACAGGCACTACCTGAGGAGAAAAAACAGAACACATTTGATTCCTTTGACAAAGTGATTGCTGTAAGTAAAAATCACAGAAATAATTCTACCTTTCACGCCATCCTCCTCCGGATAGACGAAGACAGCTGGTCGGATGTGATGATGCAGTTTGAGCTTCTCCATGGGTTTGAATCCAATCAGAAACAGACCTGGGTCGTCAAACTTCTTCATGGCGTCCACCTCGTCCCTCTCCATCACTATCTGTTTCTTTCCATACACCTAAACCACATGCAAACATGTTAAGAAGTGTAAATTCAGTCTTGACAGATTAAAAAAACACACCAATTACAAACCTGAGCTTTTTTTATTTCACTAGGCAGCAGCAAACTACCGGTCTGTGTGTGGAAGGTTCGGGTTTTACTGCGAACAGGCTCATTACTCTCCCTGTAGAGTCTGACGGGACCAGGTTTCCGAGCTGGAAGAGCTGTTGCATAAAGTCCCACGGCCACATTCAGACCCTCGCCGAGACACAAGCGTAACCTGAACACAACAGAGTGACGTGTAGTGCAGAGGTAAGCTTGTGGAACAAGTAACCCATCATTAAAAGAGCAAAGGGGGCTCCCTACCTGGCCATGGTTCTCTTCTTTTGCTCTTTGGCTCGTACTCGTCTGTGGAGGTCCTCCAGTTTCTCACAGGGCTCCACCTTCAGCCCCAGCTCGCTCTCATCCTCGGGAGGGCTCACGATGTCACGAAAGAACAGAGAGACATCAAAGCCGCCTGGTTTCATCAGGTGCAATAAATCAATAACAACACCTGAGAGAAGAAAGCAGAGTCAGCGGAGCTCTGAAATAACTCTAACATATCATATTAAATGACCAAGACACCAAACTACCAGGTTGGTTTGGGTTGCTCCCCCCCTAGATGAGTGCAGTTTTCATTTGAAAATTACATTTTATATTTTCCAGGGTTATTTTTTTCTTACACTGAAATGTGTTTGCTGATCTGAAACATCTGAGTGACACAAAGAAAAGCAAAAGGAGAACATGTCAGATGTAATTACAAAGACTGTCTCAGACCCACCGGTCTCCTTGAGGTCACTGGCCTTGGTGCGGGCCTGTCGGTGCTTCACGCTGTCTCCCTCATGCGGGTCATCTCTGCAGGTGAAAATCATCAGTCGTTTATGTGAGAGACGAAGCTTGATGTCACTGTAGAGGTTGGCACAGCACCACAGGGCATCTCCTAATGATGTCTTCCCACTACCCATGGTCTGTGCTGCCAGCTGGGCACCTTTCTCCCCCCGCAGCGCATCCACTTCCTGGACTCTTTTGGCACCTATTCAAAATTCAAAAACAGCACATTTTAAAATCACCAATAAGCCATTTGTGTTGATGTTCAACAACAAAAACTATAAAGATGAATCTGTTTACACGTGTGTTTGAATGACAACACAATGGATAGTGATCAATAATGTGCAGTTTCTCACCCGGTTCGTCGAGATCATGGTAGACGTAAACATGCTTAAATGAGTTCCTGGGGTTTTTGCTCTGCTCGGTGCTGTAGAACACCAGAGCTAAGAGATCCCTGGGACTGCTGATGATCTTGCTGGTGTACACACTCCGCACAGCCTACAACAACAAACGCTGTCACACATCTGACAGCCTTGTGATGGATTCCTGACTTACAATCACTTTCAGCTGTTAGACAGAAACCGAGGGTAAAGGCAAAAACGCATCTTACCTGCATGGTCATGTCAAAGTTTGAGGGCTGGTCATCTTCATTTTTGATGAACATCTCTTTGGAGGCATCAACCAAGAACACCAGACTGTCTCTCCCAGTGTTTTTGTAATCTCCTGTCAAAGACACAGACCTGGTTGATTTATATAACTTAGTAAGTCAAGGTTTACTGTAAAATTGAGCAGGAATGAATAAGAATTGATCAGATGCCAAACTCAGGAGAAGGACCCGTTGTTTATCCCACCTCACCTCCAGAGAGTTCTCCTTCTTCTTGCTCTTCATCCTCTTCCTCATTGCGGTAGTATGCGTTCCACTCTGCCATTTGATCTGAAATTGGGTTCTGGAATTGGAAGCTTTGTTTTCTAATCGATCACATGACAGCTAACCTCTGCAGTAATTCTTCAGTTATATTTAAACAGCGTAGTTTATTCATTTTAAGTCCGTGTGTTTCAGTATTAATCTGCTCCAGCAAATAATAATAATAATAATTTTAATTAAATGCATAAGTGTACTTAAAGTAAAACTTCAGATATCTACCAAACTTTAGCTCAACATTAGCATAGGATGGGTTAGCTTGTTATTAGCGCCTGCTCTGTTATTTGCAACTTCCGGTCACTCAAGTAGCTATAATGTGTTTTTAATAATTTGTTTGAACTTGATTAAATTAAATTCATTAACAAGCTAACGTGATATAAGGTTATAGATGGGATATTTACCAACAGTGCACTGATACAGATCCAGACCAGATCCAGACAATTGTACGTGAACGCGTCACTACGGAAAGCCTCAAGAGACAAAAAAGTGCAGATTTTTGAGAGGCATTTGATGGCGGAAATTAAAATGAAGAAAGACACCGGCATAAAATGTCTTCAGTGTAAAAAAAAAAAAAAAAAAAAAAAAAAAAAAAACAACTAACCACATACTTTTAAGTAACTAACACTGAAACCTAAAACGACTCAGCGCTAAAGTAGCTATTAGGTAAACTATTAGTCAACATTAGAAATATTTGCCATTGTTTTTAGATTGATGTAGAGTTTTAATTAAAAATATAATTTAACAGAAATAAACTTGTCAAAAATTAAAACTGAACAGAACACAAAACAAATGTGATTGTTTGGCTCCATTGCTTTTCCGTAAATGTGACGGCTATCCCAGAGCTATACCTGGATGACGCTTCACTGTTTCTAACCAATCGTAATATTAAAGGAGGCGGAGTTAGCGCGTAAACGCGGAAGCAGATTTTGACAGTCATGTTTTGTTTATTTGACAGTGACACAGCATAAGCTAGTGTAACTCACCACTTTTAAGGTAGTTTATTTTAACCATTTTGTTTATTACGTCTTTTTTCCTCAATTTGTAACTCCGATTGTATTTGCAACAGTTACATCGCTTGTTTTTATAGCAAACTAGCTTGCTAACTTGGTGGCTGTAAATTAACAGCAACTTTGTTCTTAGACATTTGAAACCTTGTTTCGACTCATGGACCAAAGTGGACCGTATCCAGTTAAACTCTACATTTACGACGTGTCCAGAGGCATGGCCCGCGCTCTGAGTTTTCAAATGATTGGTGAGTTTTAAACTTTATCTTATAGTTTGGTTAGCTTCACCAGAGAATGCATAAAAGCAAAGTTGGGAGGACAAGGCCCACGTAGGAAAAAGTAATCTCAATCCGAGTGTTTTTATTTACAGGGAAACATCTAGAAGGGATATGGTGAGTTTATTATTCTCATATGTATTCTTAGTAAAACAGCTGTTTAATACGTGTTAGGTCATGTTCTGTTTTCTGTCAGGCACACAGCTATTGTTGTCCATGGAAAAGAGTATTTCTTTGGAGGAGCAGGCATCGGGAGTTGTCCACCTGTAAGAACCAGCTCCTTCCTTTAAACGTACAACAAATGAATCACCTAAATCCTGTGGTACACCTGTACTCCATTATGCTTTTCTTTCTCAGGCTGGCACCGTCCTGGGCGAGCCTGACTCTATTGTGGACTTGGGCTCCACTGAAGTGAATGAAGAGATATTGAGAGAGTATCTCAAGTCCTTGTCCGAATCCACATTCAGGTAAGAAAAATAAATCCTGATGACCCTCATGGAGGTCAGGTGGGTTGGTGGATGAAAACGTGTTTTTAGTCTGTCACAATTAAACATAATAAATAAAAATAAATAAATAAATAAATAAATATATATATATATATTTTTTTTTCTATGTACTTGTGATTTTTAAGGAGATGGGAATGAGGTTACAGCACCAGTTTATTTTTACACCACAAAAAAGCAGAAATGCTTTGATCCTTTTTATATTTATTTTTCTCTGAAATTTTGCCATTCTGTTTCATTCACATCTGGTGTACAGTGGCGACAAGTACAACTTGCTTGAACACAATTGCAACAGTTTCAGCAGTGATGTGGCTCACTTCCTCACAGACAAGAAGATCCCATCGTACATTACAGAACTTCCTTCTGATGTACTGTCCACGTGAGTCAACTCAAACTTTAGAGGTAGAGTTTTCCCACCTGCATGCTTCTGTTTGATCATTTGAATTCACTGTGTGCTGTGTTTTCCCTACAGGCCTTTCGGTCAGGCTCTCCGGCCATTCCTGGATTCCATGTCCATAAGTCCTGGAGGCAACAGTGTAACTGGACATAGATAGACTGAGCCTATGTTAAGGGCTTAATTCATCCTCTCGTGTATAAATTGGAGGCTAAAGATGTTTTATGATTGGGTTATGTGCAGAAATTCACTGACATGCAGAAACAGACTGAAGGTTGATTACAGAAGAAGCATAACAACAATGACATAATTTTACTTTAATCAATCACTTGCACTTCCTTAAAGGCATACCTTCACCTTTTGCTCCTCTCTGACTTTTGCCTTACCTCTTTCATCTAATCAGCCACCGCTCATAACCTCTTGAGATCGTTTTTTTTTAAAAGTTGCTACATTTTCTTATTACCTCCTCATTTAGTTGTAACCTATACACAAGCTACACTGAAGTGAGATTTTTGGTTTTCAAGAAGCTGAAACTCGGCTGAGTGTATTTTTGTTACAATCACTGAAACTCTCCATTGCATCGATTATGTTGTTGATAAAACTAATTTTCTTTGTCTTGTGGTCAGAATCACAAATCACGTAGGCCAAAGTCAGACTTGGTGGAAAACTGTTCTGCTGGTTTGTTTTCTTTTTTCTAGGTTCTAGAATTCACAAATGTACCCACCTAAAGTTTTCTCTCTAGTGTTTAACACCATACTATTCAGTAACCTATAAGGGCATGGGATTTTACAGGACCAATCATTTTCTTTGTCTCAAAGTCAGACTTTTATTTTTATCAAGTGCATTAATAACCTATTTGTGTATTATTTTATTTCACTATCGAAAACAGAACCAGGTATCAATACACCAACTTACATATTATCTATGCAGGGAATCATATTTTTGTGATTTATTGATGGCATCAAGACAAAGTCCTAGGTTTTTCCTAATGACTAATTTCTGTGGGGTTCTTTGAGATTTTAAACAAATGTATTATCTTTGTTGCAATTATTCTATATGTTCCTTAAAGAATGTATTAAAATATTTGATCTAATCAGAAAACTAAATGCAGATAGCCTCAAAGGCAAAATGTCTAATTATAGTTTTTATTTTATTAACTAGTTCAAATTTGAGATTTATAACAGTTTGTCTTTAACTTGTAAAAATGCTCAGGAAATATTAAAATATTTGTCTTTTATAATGGAATAGTTTTCAGTCTCATTTTTACTCACTGATTTTGGCCTTTGTGGAAACCTGATTAATAAATTAGCAAAATCCCTTCGTAGAAAGATGTCTGTCAATGTTTATATCTTTTTGTGTGTTTGTTTGTGAAAGAACATGAATAATTTTAAGATTTAGAAAAGATTTACCTCACAGATCAAATTGGTTTGCCTCATCTTGGCAAAAATGGGTACGATGTGTTAAGCTCGGAAGGCCAAGCTTATTTTGATACTAGAAGAGATGTATATCCTAGGTTAACCTCGACAGTTCTGGGTTCGAACGTTCTATTCACCTTATGTTTTTATTTTTTCACTCATACAGTGATGTGGATAGTTGAATTAATGTAAACAAGATCCATCCATCCATCATTGTCACCCGCTTATCCGGAGTCAGGTCGCGGGGGCAGTAGCCTAAGTCGAGAGGCCCAGACTTCCCTCTCCCCAGCCACTTAGGCCAGCTCCTCCAGGGGAATCCCAAGGTGTTCCCTGGCCAGGTGAGAGACATAGTCCCTCCACCGTGTCCTGGGTCTCCCTTTAGCCCTTCTCTCGGTTGGACGTGCCCGGAAAACCTCACCAGGGAGGCGTCCAGGAGGCATCCTGACCAGATGCCCGAGCCACCTCAACTGGCTCCTCTATAAGATAATACATATATATGCATATTGAGTTGTATGGGTTCATGATGTACCCATCATTGTAAAAAGAACAAAATTGATAAAGAATAAAAAAAAAGATTTGCCTCTACATAGTCTCCATGCAGTATCTCAAGTGGCCACTTGGTGGTGCTAATCAATTACCCTCTGGGATTAATAAAGTATTATTGAATTGAACATAGGATCAAGCTGGTCATGAATGTAAAAAATCAAGGCCACCCACTCTTGGTCCCTGCTTTAACCCTCTGAGGCTCAAAATAAGTTTTGATAAAAGGTCGAACTACTAAGTCCTTCAGGGGTACTTCTGAGTTAAAAAATGCTCATGAAGTACGTAAGTGGAGTAACCAGGTAGGTAGGTTTTACCGTTGCAAATCTGCGACGCCTGCCTCCAGAGAGTTGATGGTTTCATCATCACCTGTTCAGCAGCTGTTGAACTCCACAGAAGCCTGTCATTAATCCACTGATTACAATCAGGTGTGTTGGAACAGAGAAACCTCCTAACGTGCAGGAAGGTGGCCCTGGAGGACCAGGATTGATTACTGGTTAAAGCGCATTGAATTAGGAATTAATTTGATAAATCTCTAGGTAGAAAGCAAATTGTCTTCTTAATTAAGACAGAAACTAAGATAAAGACTGATGTCACTCAAAAAGCTGCTTTATGAACAATAAAACAGTGAGTTTGTGTATCTGTTATAATGGCTATGAAGATGAACCACAGGATGGAATCAGGACTGGCTGATTCTACACGTCAATCTGAAGCTCCCTCTCGGTAGGCGTGAACTTCAGCAGGCCGAACGGTCCGTAGTGGCTGTGTTGGGTCGGCCCTGAGCCAAGTCGACTCTCGCAGTGAGAGGGTTGCAGGCTCTTATCCTGGCTACAGCCCTTCTGCATAGAGTCATGAACGTAATTTTCACTTTAGAAGGGGGGGGGGGGGGGGTGTCTTTACAGTATGCTCTAATGGGAAACAGGCTTCAACACAAACTGTTGTTTTCCGCTTTGTCCTAGAGCTCAACCAGTGTCAATTTAATATAGCGTAATATTGTTTTTGGATGGTAAAAAGTGCAGGGGTCAAAACTTGACTTTGGAAAAAGTGGGGGGGGGGGGGGGGGGGGGGGGGGGGGGGGGACATGCCTACCCCCCCCCCCTCCCCCCCCAAAAAAATTACGTCCATGCATAGAGTTAACATGTTTTCCTCATTATTATTGTTTTTTATACTGAGTCAAGTTTACCTGAACTGAGCCGTGTTCAAACGGGCGCAAAACAGAAATTTATGGTCATGGTGAAGAATTAATGCAGATATGAATCAGCAGCTTCAGTATCTTCAGAAATTCATTACAGAGCAAATTTACACTCTGATCAAACCATTCTCTTGCTTCAACACAAAAACACAAATAATTAGTCCAACTAATTATTAACTGAAGCTGCTTTTAAAGAGACAGTGTGTGGCGATAGGGGGCAGTACATACCTAAATCATTGCAAGCAAGCATTATTTTTGTGTTCAAATAAGACCTTACCAACAGATGGCCATTAGGGTCAAAAATCCCTCCAGCAAAACAACAAGCACATCAGACTCCCTTTCATCACTGGCAACGAGTGAAGAGGTAAATGTATAAAACAACAACGTTTATGAATGATGAAAGATTTGTAACAGTTTGTTTAAAATCAGTAAATTTTGTCCTTATGGGCTCCCGTAGAAGGAAACAAGGCATCTAATATGGCTTCCCCCAGAGACTTTGGCCCACTGTATTTTAGACCCAATTTTTATGGATATGTGTTAAAGCTTTTCAACAACTGGGCATCATGTGAATAATTTTCAACAACATTCTGATGGATATTTCCAGAGATTAATGGTAAACACTACACATTGTCTCTTTATATTTGTGTATTGCTTCTTGAGTTTGGCTCTTTGGGCACTAGATTTGGCACCTTTAGTTTTCAATATGCACCCGAGGAATGGAAATGAAAACTAATTCAGATGACCTATTTTCAGTGAAAATAAAACGCTAGTTTACATGAAGAAAAACAGGAGGAAATCATCCAGTTTTCCAGGAATAAAACATTGCAATGATATATCCAGAGTTGTAGGTCGCTGTGCTAAATGAATACATATAAAGACCTTGTTAAAATTTATGTTTTGTACAAAGAAAAACAAAATCAGAAGCAAAGTCTGAAAAATGAAAAAGGAAAGAGGAAATTCGGTGAAGTCTTTATTTTTCATCTTTAAAAGTGCCATTAGTTCCTAAACAAATGTTTCTAAACACTTTTAGGTATAAATTATTTAATATGAAATACAGATGAATATAGTGTGTACATTTATTGTTTGTGCATACTGGATTTCACTTTTTAATATACCCTGCTAATTTGTAGGCTTTTTAGAGCAGAAAATGTAGAAACTTGCTTTGATTTACTGATTTTAGTTTCAGACAGGCTAGCAAATCTGCCTCACACAAAAAGAGATGTCGGTAGGATTCTGTTGTCGACAGTGGTTTTACTAGATTTAACTTGTGTGAATGATTTTCGGCACCAATAATAAAATCCATTGCAGTAAGGATGGCATACAGTACGAAAGACCTCTATTGCACATTAAAAAAGAAAAAAAGCACATCTAGTTATTTCTTTCTCATCAGTGTGAAAAAATATTTTACGACAGCATTAATTGAATACAGCCCTTCTTAAAAAATAAATACAGGAAATGTCTTTAAAGAAACAATATTTATAAAGAAACAGCTAGATTTTTAAAATATGTTGCACTACAAAAACAATAAAAGCAAATACAGAGTAGTAATGTACAAATATGCAAAAGTATTATCATAAATACATGAGTATAGTAATTTAGTGGACTTAAAATGTATAGGGGAGAGATAATACACTGCAATCACATAAATAAACATCAGAAGCACTTGGTCATTGCAAAATATCATAACCTGTAGCACTATTGCTCTTAAAATAAGTTTAGTCTCCTTTAAACAGTAAATATTAAGACCAAGTACTAGAGGGAAAGAAGCCAAGCCAGGACTAAAGGAACACCAAAACACCAAACTAACTGTGAGTGTTTGTGGATCTGTAGAGTTTAGCCTGCAGGAAAATGTTTGAGACTGAAGATGTTTGGATAATTGTTGATCAGAGTGGAAATCTGGAGGGTTGTTAGGTTCAGTCAGGTCAAACCAACTGCTTCTTTTTCACACTTAAATATTTCAGGTCAGCAAAGTAGCCCCAGACCATCACACTACCACCACTATGTTTGACAGTTGTTATAATGGTTTTTGTTTCCTGTAATGAGGCCAGCAGGCCTTTAGATGTTGTTTTAGGGTTATTTTGTTCTTTATTTTCTTAAGAACGGAGCACAATGTGTTGCTTTTTGAGGTATTTTAGCCTACTTCTTGTTGTCAGAAAGGTTCTAATAAATAAATAATTTAATTCTCCAGGTCTGGTTGTGATCAGATCTTGGTGCAACTAAATTTAGCTTTTCGAATAATCTGGTTAATTGTAGATTATTCATGATTAAATGAGGGGTGTTGCTTTTTCACATTGCTGGTTCAGATACATTTTTTATTTTAAAGTAACACTAAAGTGTTTTTAACAGCCATTGCTTTCGAACTTGTTTCAGTGGCTCTTGAGTCACAAAACTTGAAGATTTTCACTGCTGACCAGAAACTGTACTCAACAGTTTTGTGGTTTGGGTAGCAACACTAGTGGGAGGTCTCTATCTGCTTCATGGTAAGAGCTGTTTACTGTGCCAGTAGCTAATATAAAGGCTAGCATTTAGCTGTTTCATTTCACTGACCATTAATAAAAAGCACAAGAATAATTTTGCTTTTTTGTTGGCATCATGGCGGAGCCTAGAAGAAAGTGAGAGAGTAATGTCTTTAGAGGCGAAGCAAACAGCTAAAACCAGAGTGAACATCAGCGTGAGCTGCATTTGTTTGAGGAAGCTAAAGGAGGCTATGAAATCACAGGCTGATGATGACCTGGCTTTGTTGCTACTGGACTAAGTAATAATATTTTTTGTTCGACAATATGAATCTTTTTACTGGCTTACTTAGTTTCAGTTGGCTCATGTTAGCATTAGCGTTAGTGCTAGCTACAGCAGGCTGTGGCAGGGTTGTTTACAAGTTGTAATTTAGCTTTCAACCACTAGGGGCAGGGCCGGATTATCATTGCAGGGGCCCCTGGGCACAATGTGCTTAGCAATGTGCTTTCTGTCTCTCTCTTCCTCACAGTGCTCTTCTGTCTGTAATAACAAAAATGTTGTCAATCTGTGGGACAGTGGGAGCAAGTGAGTCCACTGTAAAAGAGATCCCACTGTCCAACTACAACAGAAAGTAATGCAGGATTATTTAAAATATTATACAGTTATTGAACAGTTTGCAAAGATGAAATATCTGCATGTTTTTGTTTGTCTCCTGTCTCCTTCCTTCTCTTGTCTCCTTCCTCCTCTTGTCTCCTGTCCCCTTCCTCCTCTTGTCTCCTGTCTCCTTCCTCCGCTTGTCTCCTGTTTCCTTCCTCCTCTTGTCTCCTGTTTCCTTCCTCGTCTTGTCTCATGGCTCCTGGCTCCTTTATCCTCTTTTTGTCTCCTCTTGTCGGTCTCGTCTCTTGCCTTCAGAAAAACTGCTTTCTGGCCATTCTATTAGTAAATTCATTTACGATGTCATCAAAGTCCAGATTCCTGACAAGCTGAGATTCAATAGCCATCAGTGACAGTGCACTGAGGCGCTGTTGAGTTTGTGTTGTTCTCAGTTCATTTTTTATTCATGCCATTTGTGAAAATGATCCCCTTCACAATTTGGTAGTTAGAAAAATCCGCAGGGCCACAAACACATTAGGGAAGATGGACTGTAGACTATTTTTTAGCCCGAAAACGATCCTGGTTCCACTTATATTACATTATCTATGTGGACTCTCTGGGGATTATTTTGAGCTGAGAGGCGCAGAGCTCTGATCGTTGATGCACTCCAGACAGATGCGTCCTGAGCACGGCCACAGTAACATTATCAAAGTCTCGCCACCTCAAAAACAAATTTAACACGCAATCGTTTATGTCGCCTAATATCATTTCATGAGTTCACCTCACCGGTGAGGTTAGCGCGCACAGTTAAACTGCCGGCGCACTCCGCTATTTTTGCGGTCGGTAAATCTTTTTGAACTGCAGTTCAAAGGTAACTCATAAGTGAAAAATATGAAGCCAGGTAGCCGTTTTTCTTTCGGACTGAGAAGAGATGCAGATAAAAAACAGACAGGACAGAAAAATAGTCAAATAAAAACAAGTTCCTTTTTGTACCTGGTGGTTGCAACAAACAGACACCATTGAAGGTAATCAGAAGTGAGGAACATAAAATGAAATAATTAGTTTAATGTTTAGATCAGCAGGAACTCTGAGAGGCTGCAGGCTCATCAGTGAGTTTGCGGCTGCTGCTCAGGGGGAGGGGAGAGAGGGCTGAAGCAGCTGGGGAACAGTAAAGATGCAAAAACTACCATTGTTAAAAGACATGTGTGTTAACTTAGAAAATGTGGGTGCAATTTTAATTACTTGTCAACTTTTTTCTCCAACGTTAAGACTGCTGCACAAAAATGAATAAATAAATAAATAAAAACTGCTGCTCGCGTGGGCCCCCGGGCCTGTGCCCCGTTTGCCCATATTATAATCCGGCCTTGATTGGGGGGAGAAGTGAGAACCTTATTAAGTGTTGCTTTAATAAATTAAATAATTAACTGAAAACTGCATTCATATTTACTCGGTTCATTCTCGTCTGATGTTGAAGTTTGTTCTTATATCTGAAAAAACAGAAGAAATCTGTAGGAGGACAACACTGCAGTCTGTTCGAGCTTTTGTTTTTCTGCCTCACCTGAACTGACTTTCATTTGTTTAGTCCAAGCTTCCTACTGTAAACAGACTTCACAATTCTCCAGAGACAAAATCCCAGAGTGAGTAGTAACACAAAAGCTTAGTGGAAGCATTCTTGAACACACGTGTGGTACACTGTACAGCTCCTGAGGGTGTTTTAGCCAAAAAACCTTCAGCAACAAGTCGAGTGAAGGCATTGCGTTAACAGCTGCAATTGTGCACAATGTCCTTTGCAGTCCAGATCTCAGAGATCAAATGAGGGATGTCAAAATGCTCCAGGCCTGGAAATGCCTTATCAAATTCCCCTGCAATTTGCCCCGTGGGTTAGACGCTACACACAAACCTCTACACACTCAGAGTTCTGTCTCAGAGTTCAATAGTGAAAGAACCAGATCTACATTGACTTCTATTCTTTCCCTTCCCCCGAGAAAGGAAAACACCAATGTATGTTGTGTTTTCTGTTTATCTCTCCTCTTTCCTCCTTTATTCCCTTTTTCTGAAGAATCCCAGCCTCTGGCTCCGGCACTGTCTCTCCCCCACCTCCTCGCCCCATATCTGGTTGGGATGGAGGGTGATGGGAGCTGACATGATGGTGGCATTGTCCTCACCATCAAGTTAATGTGACCCAGGGGAAGTTGTCCCTTTTTGCTCGGCCTGATGGCGAAGAATGCAAAGTGTGTTTCATCGCGGAAAAAAAATGTCTGCACGGAGCGCTGCAAGGGGAAAGGAAGGAACAAACGTGGAGATTGACTGAGAAGTGCAAAACTGAAAAGCATAAGGCAAAGTAACAAAGGAATGCACTGTGAGAAAAATACCAGTACCTCTGACATGATTCATGATTACAGTCGTTTTATAGAAAGATTCAGTGGCAAAAGACCAGAACATCTTGAAGTAAATAATTAACAATTACATTAGCTTGAAGTAAAACATAAATTGAAACTTTTCTACTTTGAAACACATCAAAGTTGCCTTTTCAGACCTTTACACCACAAACAGTTTTAAATGATATAAAAGCTGTTTGGACAAACATTAAAAGATTTTGTTTCCCATCATTTGGGAGAAAAGATCACCTTTTAAAGTTTCAAACTATATTTCCAACTACAGAAAAATAAATAAATAAATGAAGAAAAAAAAATACATTTTGTTCATGCTAACAAGCGGTTTAGAGCCCTACTTTGTAAAGATAAATTTGAGAAATTACGTAAAATGAATTCCACTGTCTGTGAATAAGTGGAAATATTTCTTAAAAGGTTGGTACCGCCGTCATTTCACCCTCATACACTCATAGCACTGTGTAGGTTTTACTGTTGACAAGCATTGGGTGACGTTAGCTTGATTAAAGATGGCTGCTACAGGTAATCAGCTTCAGTTGCGCCCCCAAGGGGTGGCCAAGAACCCCTTCCTGGAAAATTGTTGGTCTCCCCACAAGTCTCCCCGAGGAAGACCTCCCCCACTTTAATAAATTCCTATTCATGTTCACAAAAACTATTCATTCATTTTATTTAATCAAGAAATAAATCTTAAGCACAATAAATAAATAAGTAAAAAATGTATGTGGCTAATCATCACACTTTCAGAAAGTATAAAACTGATTGTTTTTGTGGATGCTTTTGTAGCAACACACAAATGAAACTGTTCTTAAAACGCTAAATCAATAAATGCTAAAATGTAAATAATTTAAATAACTGAAAACTTTTTTTTCGTAAATAGTTTCAAATAAATGTGTCAGATGCACATTATTTTCTTAAGGACAAACAACAAAAGAGCACACAATGCACATGTAAAAGCTAAATGCTCTTAGTGTTACCATCATCCTCTGGGGTTGAGCCATTATTTCTAATTCTTATAGTTGCTAGGATGACATATTTCTACAGGCCTAACATAGCTTAGATTTTTCTGAAAATGTTAAATTTTGGTGGATTTTGGAAGATTTGAACAGCAAACAGCTTAAAAACCAATTCTTGGTCTAACTGATTTTATTTGAACATTATATAGTGAAAAGTTTATAAGACACATTTAGCTAACAGCTGTCCTAAAATAACAGGAAGTTGGTAGTCTTATATTTAACTGTAACAATATTTAACTGACTCTAGATTTGCTTCACTCTAGTCTTATTTGTTGTTTTGTTGCACTAATTTGAAGATCACATTTCATAAAAGTAGACAAACATCTAAAAATGTTCTTTTCTGTTTTTGTTGTTATTTTAAGATAAGTAGTACATGTTTCAATTAGATTTTTGAGGCACAAGTTTAGAAAAAACAAAAAAAGTGACACATTTTTATCTAGTTACAAATGTTTTGTTGACCAGAGTATGTGGCTATGACAGTGGTGTCAATCCTCAGTTTTACTTTTAAAGCACATTTAATTTAATTTGTATTAGTATTCTTTTAAAAATTGTGTGTTGCAGCGTATGTGAATGCTTTTCTCAAAATGTAGCTTGAGAATCTGGAGGTCTGACCACAGAAACGACGAGGCAGTGGAATGTCTGTTTACACTGAGAATGGTTAAACTTTGTCCAGCTAGCACCAATTTTATTTTTTTATAGATAAATGTTTTAACCCATTTCACTTGCAGCTCTGCTAGCTTGTTCTTGTCTACTCCAACATGGGAAAACCAACTAGCTTCTGTTTCTAGAAGGTGCTGAAAGTTCTCCTAGTCCTCTTCACATTGCCTGATCCACCATGTTTGATGGTTGAGACCCTGAAGGCCATGCGGCACACGGAGACCTGAGAGGTTTTAGGATGAACTCTGTTGGGTCAAAAGTCTGTTTTCTGTACGGTGGTCTCTTAAATCTGACTTCTTCTGTGACTGATGTGTTGTCTGAACTGTCCCAAAGGGTGGCCTCTGGCTCTCACCAAAGTTCTCTGTGTTTGGCAGAAGTGATCAGACGGTCACCTCGGTCGCACTGTGGGTGGAGTAGCTCTTCTGCCTGGTGTGGTGGTAATAGGAGGGTTGAGATGTAAGTTGCCCCTGGACATGCTGCCCCTGCCCTGCTCCTCCCCCTCCATACATCCCTCCATAGGGCTGAGAAAAGACTTCTGGCATGTTCTCTATGCTCTGCTGCCTCCTTGTTGAGTAGCCGTGTCTCCTGCTGGAGCCATGAAGGGAGGAGGTGTGCGATGGAGCAGATGTCTGCCTGTGAACATGGCGGCCAGCGGGCTCCCAGGCTTTAAAGGCAGAACTGGAGACAAGGGGATGGGTGGTGGTCTTTGGGAGGCGTGAGTGCTCAAGATGGCTGGAGGGAATGGAGATGGAGAGAGGGGCGTGGATGTCGTGCTGAGCTGGCAGAGGTTGGTGGATGTATGACTTCTCTTTGGGCTGGAAGGCAGGAGGCGCTACAGGCTGGTACTGGGAGAAGTCCATGACGGGGTAGCTTTTGTAGTAGCTCCTGGAAGCCGTGTCCACTGTAGAGATGGAAGGAGAAGAAGAGTCGGTTCACACATCTAGAACAAAATACTCATTAACCGTTTTAATTTAACCACTAAACATCTGACAGGTAGGATTTGCTACAACTCCACTTGTTTTGGGTCGGATATCTTTTATTGAACATATTTATATTAAAGGTACAAATAGTTTGCAGTGGGTTTCTGAGGAAAAGTTATGGACAATAGGCACCACATCTGTTGTGTGTAGCACTTTGAACAAGCCCACATTGTTAAAAACAGAGCTTAGTTCTGGCTAGACTCTGATTTCTGACATCTTATTGGAACGCTAATCCCAGAATCACACGGTGACTTATACAACCTTTATTTCATGAATATTTTACTGTCATAGGTTTTTCGTGAATCACAATTAGAAAATTTTCTCATTTAAAACATATTTTTAATCCTTTTTTAAATATTTTTTATACTTTAATAATTTTGTTTTGTTTCTGTGAAGCGCCCCGTGATTTTTCTCTTGAGAGGCGCTATATAAAAGATAATTTCCTTACTTTCTTTTCTTTCCTTTTGTATTATAATTAGTCTGGCAGAAATAAGAGATTCCAATCAGACATGTTACACACTAAACTTGAAAGTCCTAGCTAGCTTTGCTGTTAGTTTCTGCAGCAAATAACCATAAAATTCTATGTAAATCAAAAGTGAAGTTCAGACAAAGCACTGTATCTCTGAGATTAGAGTTGTTTTATGTCTTTATAAGAAAATAAAATCAGTCTTCGGATTTTTTAATTTAGGTGTGGCCATAACAATAACATTCAGCTTTATATCCATATCCATATTTTTCCCTGGATTAAGCTAACAGGACTCCCTTTACTTGCGTCACTTCTGGTATGGCAGCAATTTGAAGAAAAATGACTCTCAAAGACAAAATAATTTATGTATGTTTTTTTTTTAAATTTAGAACGAGTTCCTATTCTGTTTCTTTAAACTTTTGTTCAAGGGAGCCTTTAACCTGCAACATGCTCTTTAATTTTTTTCCCAATTAAGTTAAGTGCATGTATCAAGGCTCAGGGTCTAAAGTATGCTGTACCAAATGGTTAAGGAAATTGGTACAGGTTAAAGATAGCGGTAATTCTCTTTGGATCCTTCCCTAAAACTAGCTGTTAGCTTGTCAAGCGGGTCAAAATTAACCTCTTTTTCTAAAAAGGTGTGCTGATGAAGGTTCTCAGTTATCCAGGTCATGGTAATCTAAAAGTGTTCAAATGTCCAGTTGCCTTCATTTGAACCCTTTTGGGAAAACTGAGGTGGTTCATATTCCAGAAAGACGAGACAGAACAAAATTTGGAGGATGGGGATCTTACCTTCATGTGAAAAATTAAATAAAAAGTCAGCGATTGCAACCCAGCAGACCACATTGTGTGGAGAAGAACATTTTTGAAAATGAGGTCATAGTAAACTTAGACTTATTATCTCTCTTCTTAAACTTGAGTTTACTTTTAGAGTTATTAAATTGGTCATAGTTGGATGCAGCAGTGAGTCACATCAGCCTGAAATGAACAGTGGTCTGTCGCTGGCCTGAATCATAAGTCAGTCAACCCAAAATGCATTTGTAGTTTCAAACACCTGGGAGCAGAATCAGCTTCTCCTCTAAAAGTTCATTGGTTTGCACCAAATGTTCGTGCATGTTTTTTTTTTCCACTTTGACAAGGAAAAGGTGAAAACTTAAAGGAAATCACATTATTATCATTGTTAGTAGAATGGTGGTACTTATAATAATAATAATATTAAAAAACGGGAAAAGATTTTGTTTTCCAGCCACAAATAAATTTGACCTTCTCTAAGAAGTTCAGAAACCTAAAATCTGTCCAGTAACATAAACCAGAGTCAGAAATGGCAAAAGAAGGTCAGGAAGGACTTGAAGAAGATCTAACAGGATGGCTAGTTATTTTATTTTAAATTGGTGTCTGCCCTCAAGATGAGTGAACACTAGCTTCTTTCCTCTTTCTGAGACCTTGGAGGGGAGAAGACAGCTGACGCAGAAAGGAACAGCGAATCCGAGGAGTGAAACGGAGATGATGGAGGTAAAGTTACGCGTGTTTCTGTGTGTCACAGTAAAGCAGAAATGTCACAGAGAATTATTGAAATAAGCTCAAAACTCTGAAGTCATCTCTCATAACCCAGTTTTTGTGAGCGCTTCCATGTTTTCTGTCAGGAGTTTTTAAGCCTTTAAAGAACAAGTTGAACGCTCCAGTTGAATCACAATATTTTCTTTCTTTAACCTACTTTAACCAACACGAAGTGGGTTTGTGGGCTCTCAGCTTCATCACCCGGCAAAGGGGATGAGTGGTAATTCACCGTCACAGTTTCAACCTGAGGTACGTCCTGTTGTTGGAATGTTTGTTTTCCTGCATCAAAACCCTTTAGTTACAGGAAAAAATCTGATTACATTAAGGAAAATTCACATGACACGACATTAAATAAGTGTCACTAGAAAAATGTGTCTGGCTTACATGTGAATCACATCACAAACAGTCCAATTCCAGATAAAACTATCAGACTAGTTATAATAAAATACCAATAAACCAACATTTGTGTATCTGGGAGCAAATTTCATCAAAACTTCCCTTTCTGATGACTAAACGTGTGAAAGGGATGTATGGTGGTGCAGCTGCAGCACAAAGGTTAGAATCTCAGCTGTGTTCTTGTTGCATGACGTTCTCCAAAGAGAAAAACAACAACATCAATCCATATGATGGTAAATCAACAGTTTTACAGTCAGCAACAAGTAATCCAGGTAAGGACCCGGCTACGTTCTCGTGACATATTAGGCTGCTTTCATATAGGGAACAGTGGACACACTCATGTCTTACATCTGGAAGAATCAGCGTATTTCTGGCTTTTTCCATTCTTTCACAATTCAAAGCGAAATGTGAGCCGCAGAAGCTTTTCCCGTTTGCACCTTGTTTTAGGCATGGCAGAGTCCCAAAACAATTTCCCAATTCATGGAAGGATCACGTGACGTGTGACAGACATGGATGAAAAGCAACTTTAGAACCTTGTTTACTCTCAAAGTGCACAAGCTCGTTCCTAGGCCCGCCCCATTAAAAAACACAATTGGCAGCAAGCAGCTGTATTTAAAATGACATTAGTCGTCAATGACAGTGCATGAGTTAGTTCAGGCTGAGCATAAAAATAGTCTCCTACACCTAACAACTGCATTAGCTACTGATGGAGCATAGATGGTGAAACTCTAGGAATAGAAAAGGCTGACAGATCTACATCACACTGTGATTTGGGCTTACCCCTGCTGACTCACGACGGGAAGGCTGTTGTTGTTTTAGCGTCCAGAATCAGCAGAGAACGTCTCGGTCAACAGAAGCTAACCGCTAGCATTAGCAATGGAAACACACGGCACCATGTTGTTACAAGTTTTTACTTCTCTCTGTCCCTAAAAGGGAGACACGTCTGATCTTCTGATCATCAGTCAGTAACTGACCCCCGCGCTCCTCTGCAGCAGAACGCACTGAAAGTTCAACCCTGAACTGGTTCTCCTAACATGATCACAAACAAGCCTGCATGCACTTGAGTTACATTTCATTCACGAACACACAGAACATTAGCCTGGCCTGCACAGAGAAAGAGTCTGACAATTCACAGGTAGAGAAGCACATGAGGGGCGGGACTAGCCAGCTCAAAATTAACCAATCAGATAAAAGACAGAAATGCCGACTGTACTGCGCGACGCTGTAGTTTTTTAGCTGTAGACAAAAATGGCATCTGGCAACGGTGCAAACATCTTTCTTTTAGAAGAAATGCCTTTGGCGCTTCTACTTGTTGTGGATTTAAAGACATTCAAGCCATTGAGAACAGAGGAAATAGCCGCAGCGAACTCCGCTGCTGTCTATGTTGTTTATGAGACTGAGCGTTGTTGTGTGTGACGTCCGCGACGCTGTTGTTTTTTAGCTGTAGTCAAAAAAAATGTCAGTGTTGTGTCATCTTCAGGTAAAACTCTGCACTACATTTGAATTTAAATCTGCCATTGTTATTGGCTAGGAGGTACACTATGACGCCAGCTGGTACATTATGATATCACAATGTCATTGTGAGCCTGTGTGTGTGTGTGTGTGTGTGTGTATTTGTTAGCAGCTCCGCCCTCTCGGTCTGCCAGGCGACAGTATTTGTTGTATTTTTCAAACGGCAAGTGGGAGTGGAGTAAGACTCTGGTAGGGCTGACTTTCTCTTTAAATCTATGTTGAAACATGAGGAGATGTCTTGACCTCATAATCCTTTCTTCCCGTCTTCAACAACTCAGTGACTGCATTGCATAGCTTAGAACGTGATTGGATCACGTGAAATTTGGAAAAACTCCGGTGTGGAGGCCATCATGATCCTGCTTGTTAGTACTTAACAAATAGCTGCTACTTTCCTCTTCCATGAAACACTTCTATTTCAGCAAGTTCCTGCAATGTTCCTATAAAAAGGTCCTATGACTGATCCATGTTGACACCATTCTGACATGACTGTTATGGACTGGATAGGAAAGCAAGCCATGCTAACATGATGGGATCTTACCAAGAACCCAGGAAGACCATCCATAATCTGGCTGATTTTTGACATCAAAGCAAGTACTTCGTTATACGTGTGGAACTGACCCAAGGAGCTAGATGCTGGGGATATGGTGACCTGATTAGGGACCGGGCCTTTGTTAGGGTAAATTAGACCATTTTAAAGGTGACAATGTGCATTTTTCCTAGTGATAGGGGCAGTAGTAGTATATACCTAAATTATTGCAAGCAAGCGGCATTTTTGTGTTCGAGTAAGACCTTACCAGTGGATGGTCATTAGGGTAAAAAAATCCCTGGGAATACAACCTCCAGCAAAATGGCAAGCACATCAGACTCCCTTTCATCACTGGCAATGAGTAAATAGGTAAATGTGTAAAACAACAGTTTGTGAATGGCAAAACTTTTGTTACAAATCAATAAATGCATTTTGCCCTCACAGGCTCTCGTAGAAGGAAAAATGGTGTCTAACATGGCTAACCCTAACCTGCTCCCATTTATTTTAGACCCGATTTTCATGGTTATACGTTATGAAGCTGCCAATATTTTTCAACAACTGGGCATCATTTAATTCATTTTCAGCAATATTTCCAGAGATTAATGGTAAAAACGATGCTTTGTCTCTTTAAGGCCCAAACAGACCTTTGAAGTGGAAATATCAATGTAAAGAGCAGAGCAGCATTCAAACCTGTAAACTTTCTGTAGATTATAAATGTAGCCTTTGGCTGACTAGCAGTAGGCTGTTAGATAAGGTGGGACACCTTGGGTTGGACACTGCTATGTTAACTTTTAAACCCACTGTGCGAGGGCAACAGCACTCGGGTTTTGTTCCAACCGGCATGAACCAGGCCCAGGAGCTTAATTTGTAGTTACATCACAAAACCTCATCTGAAGGCACAATGAAAGCACAGTGACAATGTACAAATAGTGGACCTTTAGAAGGGGTGAGTTGAGTCATTCTCTTGAGTGTGCAATCATGTACTCTCAGTATCAAAGGACTTTAACGTTCCCCTAACCGGTGGCAGGCAGAGGAGGTGTGGCGGCTCTACTTTAGGATCATCTGGAGGCGCCGTCATCGTTTGACAGATTCTGTACTGCTGTCTTAGAGTGCTGCAAAGGTCAGGGTGTCACTTGGCATCAGCATCAACCTGTGAGTGTGGGGTGTTTCAACTTACCCACGGCTTTAAGGGAGGTGTATTTGTTCAGTCCCAGAGAGCTGTGGTTACTGTGCAGGTGTGACAGCACTTGTCCAGCTGATCCGTATGCAGAGTTATTCAACTGGTACTGTTCTGCAAATAGACCAGTTTGAGAAAAACAAACACTGAATTTCTCCATACAAACAGGACAAGAATGCACTGAATATTTGGTATTTTTTTTAAATCACTTTCATGTCTGTTTGCATCATATTAGTGCTTGTTTGTGTGTTCAGTGGACCACTTTAGACTGAGCAAATCAGTATGTGTATTGATGTGTTGCCAATCGGATTAGCTATGTTCTAATCAAGTTAGTGAATGAGTGTGTGCACGAGTGCTCAGTTCATTACATAATATTAATTCTAAAATGAAAAGCAGCATTAGAAAAAGAAGATTTCATCTGGTTTGATTTTGTCTGCGCTGGAATAGACAGATATGAATGCTGAGCAACTTCTGAATGCTAATCGCTTAAGTAAAGGCATGAAAACCGGCCAAAGACTGGAACTCCAGAGCAGAGAGAGAGAGAGAGAGAGAGAGAGAGAGAGAGAGAGAGAGAGAGAGAGAGAGAGAGAGAGAGAGAGAGAGAGAGAGAGAGAGAGAGAGAGAGAGAGAGAGAGAGAGAGAGAGAGAGAGAGAGAGAGAGAGATGTTAAAGAAATAAAGGATGCTCTGCTGCAGAGTTAGGAAATTACACCCACCAAGCCAGAGGGGTTGAAAACGTCGACTTATTTTCCACGGTGACTACATTTTATATCACTTTGAGCTGCTACCTTAAACACCACACACAAACACACACACACACACACACACACACACACACACACACACACACACACACACACACACACACACACACACACATGCACAGTATGATAAAACATGGAACATTCTACCAGCTAATCTGCTTAAACTAGTTTTTTGGGGGTGGACCTGATGACTGAACTTCTACATTATTCACTGATTTTTGAAAACATTTTTTCTTGCTGAATCGATTTAAGTCTTTGTATAAGTATTTTTAATTTAATCTTCTTCATTTAACCAGGCAGGTATTGTGTAGCATATTGAAGAAGGAGGGAAGAGATCTTCTATTTAAAAAAATGGTAAATAAAATTTGATGGATGCTTCTCAAGATTTAAATTGATTAACTCTTTGACTGGCAGGTCAACTCCTCTAAAGAAGACACACAGCTTAGCCAAAAAAAGTGGCCACCAAAAAACCTCAGCTTTGGTTACAACACACATTTGCTGTGGCGTTGTTTTGATAAGCCTCTGCAACATCACCAGATTTATTTCCATCCAGTGTTGCAATAATGTTTCTTTAAGTCAGGCAAAGCACTGGACAAAAAACCCAGATGAACAAAGAGAAAGCTACAAAATACCACAAAGAGTTTTAAGCATTTCATCAGGTTATAATTCCCACGAACCTGTGATTTTTGCCTCCCACACAATTTTCTGGTACAAAAAAAGAAATGAACCCTGAAGCTGACTGGCACCACCTGCAGACAGTTCAGGGATTTTTACTCATGACAAAATAACGAGATGATCAGTAACCACAACAGTGTAAGGTAACCTGTATGCTCAACAGAAACACAACTCAGCAGAAAAATGGTGGTGTTGCTGAACATTTTGCTCAGTTTTATGGCTTTTTGTTTAGATTCTGAACCAGGAAATGGCTACAGGAAGTGAAACAGAAGGCAGAAAACTCCAGAGCAACCAGTGACTCCGCTCCCCAGCCAATCAGCGCCCAGAATCACGATGCCGGCCTGACTCAGCCTTGCCAAATACCTCAACGGAGCAGAGACTAAAAACAGGGGAGAAAGTAGAGGGAAAATTTCGAACTATGCTGTGGAAACTGTGGTCAGGCCGAGCTGCATCGGTCCAAGTTACTCTGAGTAGCGTTCCTGGAGAACTACATTAAGCATGAGGAGATGAAGGTGTGGATAACAGTCTCAAGTACAGAGCGAGACAGAATGGGACTCAGCTTAGCAATGTTCCTGAGATAGAAGAAGGAAGAGCGAACAAGAGAACTGACACGATAATCCAGGGTGAGAGCTGGGTCAAAGGTCACACCAAGCTTCTTGACAGAGGGTTTGGTGTGAGAAGCAAGCTGACCAAGACAGTCCCTGACTTTGGAAACCAGCTTGTCTGGGGCACAGATGAGGATCTCATTCTGATCTTCATTCAGCTGTAGAAAGTTCCCAGCCATCCAGGTTTTAATAGAGTCTAAGCAGGTGTGTAACAGCTGCAGCTTAGACATCTCATGGGGCTTAAAGGAGATGTACAGTTGGATGTCATCTGCATAAAGATGGAAGGAGAACCCTTTAAAAGAAGAAGCAGATAGAGGAGGATAAGTAGAGGCCCCACCACAAAACCTTGTGGGACACCATGGGTGAGGGAGGTGGTGGAGGGACGAAGCTTGGAGATGGCCACAGAGAAAGAACGTTCCGACAGATAAGAGAAGAACCACTCCAGAGCAGTTCCTGATAGGCCTACCCAGTCTCTCAGCCTCTCAGTGATGGTCAACAGTGTCAAAGGCTGCAGTCAGGTCCAGCAGGACCAGAACAGAACAGTCCCCTGCATCACTGTGAGTCATTAGAGACCCTAAGAAGAGCTGTTTCAGTAGAATGAGCTCTACCAAAACCTGACTGGAAACTAGATGTATTTATTGTTATAAACCAAAAATACTACTCATTATTAAGAACTGAGTGAGTGACACAGGACAGCAGAAATGTGAAATTATCATTGATTTGAGTTTTACAGCAGCTACTTGGTAGCTGGTAAAATCATTTATGAAATGTAAAATTATAGATTGTTTTTGTAGGGGCACTGCCTGCTAAAATCCCTTTAGAAATCCCCAGGATGTCTGTTTTTCAGACCGTTTAAAGTGAGTGAGTTATTTTTTATTATTTATTTCTTTAACTTATGTTTTTCAGGAGGATAAACCGCTTGAGATGTAACATCTCGTTATCGAGCAGGTCCTCCTACAACACAACCAATAACAAATAAGAGGGCAGAGTTAGAAAGTTATAACAAACTTAAAAAAAAGAAAAGAAGGAAAGTAAATAAATAATAATAGTAAAATTAACGATATGTATAAATATATATATACACACGTAAATATAAACACATAAGCATGGATACATGAATACCCACACGTGTACATACGTACATACATACCTATATACAAAATTAAATTAAATAAAACTGCTGTGAGGCACTCAAAGAGCAATAAGGGCAAGAAATTACATTGTAAATAATCCTAAAGTGAAATAATATCCCAATTGAATACAAAGTTTGGCAACAAAATACAGCATGTTAGCCAGTGAATGCACAAAATCATTATAATAAAGATTAAACAAAGCAACTACAGCTTGGCTTTACATAAGCATAAACAGTGCGGGAAAATTGACGAATTGTTGAGAGGGATCTTAATTCAGTGGGTAATTTATTCCAGTCCAGAGGAGCTTTAACACAAAAGGCAAGTCTACCCACCTCCTTTTTAAAACGAGGAACAACAAATGATGGAAGAGTAGTTAAGCGGGTGGAACACAAGGAATCAGTGGGAACCAAAAGAGTTTTTAGATAAAGTGGAAAATCAAAATAAATGCACTCAAACATAAATATCAACCAATGAAATTGTCGTCTAGCTTTTAAAGGCAGCCAACCAAGAAGCTCATACATATAACAATGATGAGTGTTAAAAGAACACCGCAAAATGAAACGACACAAACTGTTGTAGACGACATCAAGAGACCGCAGGCTAGAAACTGTTGAGTTTTGGTACAAAATATCAGAATAATCAATAATCGGCAACAGAAGCTGAGTGACAATGCGCTTGCGTACAATAGGTTCAAAGCAATTTATTGAGTTGTAAAGGATACGTAAACACCATGTGACCTTAAGACATGTCGTGTGAATGTGAAATTTAAAAGACCGCTCTGGCTCCAGCCAAACTCCTTTTTTAATAATCTTGTTCATAGGCAGCCTTATGCTACACACAAATCAGCAGGTTTGTGTTCATGTGTGTAAGCTAATGTGTTAAAACACCACAGGCACGCAATAATATAGCATACTGAGCTGATGATGGACCAGCAGCTCCAGGGTAGAGAGGTAAAATTAGCCATTAATTACAAAATAATGCCTGGCAACAGGTTTAGTTGGAAAAAACAAATCAGTTAAGACATAAATGCATCTAAAATAGTTTAAAGGTTCAGAAACATGAAACACTGATAGGCTATGTTTAGTGTCCGTGCTGAAACACACACTGTGTACTGTTGTACAATTTTCTAGAGCTTAATAAAAAAAGCCACAGAGCCTTTTGTCTCAGTAGATCACCAACGAAGCAGCCAGGAAAGAGATGCAACTGTTTTAAACAGGAACTTCTGTCATGGTCTGCATCTGCGTCTTCCCCATGTGTCTCCTGATGTTCCCCATCCCTCTCTAGGTTCCCCTTTTGTGTCTCATAGCGCCCTCATGTGTCCTTTCTCTGCATCTCATTTATGTGTCTTCTGTTTGTAGCCCTTCAGATCTTTCCCCTCAGGTCCGGTGTTCATTCAGTCATCCCCAGCCCCTCCAGGTGTAGCTCCAGCCTCTTTGTCCCCAGCTCGGAGTGTGTGTGTCATTCCCCAGCTCGGTGTTTGTGTGTGTGTGTGTGTGTGTGTGTGTGTGTGTGTGTGTGTGTGTGTGTGTGTGTGTGTGTGTGTGCGCGTGTGTGTGCGTGTCCTTCCACAGCTCGGTGTTTGTGTGTGTGTGCGTGTCCTTCCCCAGCTCGGTGTGTGTGTGTGTGGGCACACACACACACACACACACACACACACACACACACACACACACACACACACACACACACACACACACACACACAATCTGCTTGGTTTTTGAACTGAAACCATTGTTGGTACTCACAACCACGATACATTATCTGAAAAAATGTGTTTGTGTGTGACTGCAATGGGGAAAGTAATGAAGGGAAGTGCAGAGTGTGTTTGTCAACATCAAGATGAAATATGATCATCCTAAAACACGAGCCAGCAATGGTACAGATAAACGGACTCAAGTCAGTGACAGATGTGCTGTGATTGCTGTAACAACCAAAGTT